GGAAAAACTAGCAAATTTATAAAAAAGGAGGGCATAAGTCCAAAAGCCACAATTTACCTATAGTCTGCTGTACATACTGAGGTACATAGAGAGAGGCATCATTATAACGTACTACATGTATATATCCAGTCCAGCGAAGTACGAAGTCCGGAGGAGACAGAAAGTCGTTGCTCAATAACGCCCGCCACGTCCACGGCCGCGGTTGTTGTGACCGCCTCTCGAGTTCCCGTAGCCGCCACCGCCTCCACCACCGTAGCCGTTGCTCTGCTGGTTGCCACCATAGCCGTAGTTTCCACCAGCAGTGTACCCAGCCTGGCCACCATAGCCCCCGCCTGGATTGTATCCTCCCTGGCCATATCCGCCACCGCCTTGATTGTAGTTGTTGCCGCCGCCGCCATAGCCGCCATAGCCTCCTCCTCGCCCTCCGCCACCGTATCCTCCTCCTTGGTTGCCGTAGCCTCCAGGAGGTCCGTTGGTGTAGGCAGCGCCGCCACCACCGTAGTTACCCCGTCCGCCGCCACGACCACCACGCGAGGGTGAAGTAAAGTCGTTGTACTGGCCTCTGGAGCTGTTAGACGACGGCTGCTGGTAACCTCCACGGCCACGCTGGTAGGACTGATATGCTTGGTATGACTGCTGTTGCTGGTAGCCGCCGTTAATGTACGATGCTTGCTGCTGGTACGGCTGATATGATCCGCCGTTCTGGTACCTGTCCTCACCACCACCGGGACGGAAGCCACGGCTCTGATTGTTATACCCGCCGTAATTGTCACGGCCGCCACGTTCAGAATGGAAGCCGCCTCGCCCGCGACCACGACCGCGCTCGGGACCGCCTCGTCTAGCCACCTCGAGATCGTGAGCATTGAGAACCGGCTGCGGCCGTCGAACACCAGGGAGCAATATCGAGCGATGAGGTGTTAACTGCTTCGGGAAGAAGTAGAAGGCCGACAGCGAACGGTCATTCTTGATATTCGGAAGGTCCTGAGAAGGCAGTGGCGAGAAGTACGTCGAGTCTGGTATACAATCCGGGTTAGGGAGCAGAGATCCATTGATACCCTTGCTAAGTTTCGGATTGATCGGCAATGGCTGCAGTCGCGGATCAGCACAAGATAGCTAGTAGATGAGATGATACGAACCTCATCTTTCTTGCGCTTGCCATACAACGCCTCCAACGTCGGGTACAAGGCGTGCGCTTCGTAGACGAAGAGGAAGTTGTTGCCCCATTGGTTCCGCCGTTTCTCGTCGTCAGAAAGGTTCGGATACCTGGGGCCCATCGCATCTAATAAACGTTTCTCGTCGATGAAGGGCAGCAACGCGACACCTTGCCATGCCATGCGCTTGCCGTTCATATCAATCTGGAACGTGGAAGGATAAAAGTCAATGATTGGCGACGTGTCCTCGGTCATAAGATCGTGGAATGTTGCCGGAATGTGCGATCGACTATGGACCCAGACCCAGACGGTGAGCGATGTTGCACATAAAAGGAGGTGCGCTCGAAGACATCGTACCTTGAGGCAGGGAAAACGCCCATGAGTTGCTCGAAGGGCTTGAAGGGTTGGCCGAGCGTGAAGTCGATGTCCATCTTGTCGAGATCCTCGAAATCGGCGGCGAATGGTGCGAAGTGGAAGGGGTAGTACCAATGCCACGACGGCGTCTGTTGACGGAACGTCAGGTCGCGTTGTATACGGGATGACCATCGCACTCACTCCTTGGTAGTAATACTGTAGCACCCACGCCATGCCTTCGATGTAGCTCTTCGTGACCCTAGGTAGATCCAGATCCGCTCAGCCTTATATCGCCTCGTGCACGCAGCAAGACACTCACTGCTTCCTAAACTCTTTATCACTGTACTCCGCGCCGAACTTTTGGGAGTAGTACCGCTCTCTGTAGCCCGGTTCCCACAATCTAGCAGGCCGAGAAGTTAATCGAAGTGCTTCTTTCACGCAAGCGACAGATGCACGCACTTCACCTGATCTTCTTGATCCACAGTGCCGTCAGGATTCACCTTCAGGACATACGACGTCTCCGCCTCCGCGGGCGCGTCGTCATCATCCGAAGGGCCGAGGTCCTCCGGATCCTCAGCGTCTTCTGCCTCGACCTCGTCGATACTGCGCTTCACACCATGCAATTCGGTCTCGATAGCGTCGGTCATGAAGGAGTCCTCGGCCCCGGCAGGAATCTCCTCGCCATCGACATCATCGGTGCCGTCCTCAACCGGAGGCACAGGCTCGACAGACATAGGAGTTTCAAAGACAGTCGTACTCGAAGAGACAGGTGTCATGCCACCCAGGCCGGGGATATCGGCATCGTCGGTAGTGGTCACTGTCGCAGTGATAGTCGCATCCGGAGCACTCGATGGCTCTCTAGCAGGGGCACTCGCAGCAACAGGGGGAGGAGGAGCAGAGTTCGCAGTAGTGGATGATTTTGTCGCAGACTTCGAAGGTTTTAATGGTATGAGGGAAGCCATCTCGGCCTTGAGCATCTCAGCCGCACTCATGTTTGCTAAACGAATTGCGGCTCGGTTCGCAACAACGTCACGGTTCGATCCCGCCAACGCCAGAGAAGCGGTAGGTGTGTGCGTATCAGTGTCCGCATTCTTTGGGCCACCCAAGCCAATGCTATCGGCCTTTGCAGCGAAGTCAGGACGAGGCGGGAGTGATCCAGGTGCAACAGGAGCAACAGTGAGATTCAGTGACGGGGAGGGACCAGCAGAGGCGCCATTGGATCCCGTCTCCTTCTCAATCTTGCGTCGCTTCGCATTCTGATCCTGTCTCTCCTCAGCTGGATACATGCAGTGTCAGTTTCAAGCAGGTTATGTCGGAACAACAGTACTCACCTTCTCGTCTTCGCCGGAATATTTCGTCTTCACGCCTCGCAAGCCCCTCAAGAATGATCTGGGCCCTCGACAACTCTAACTGACCATGGTTGGTGATGTAGCCACCCATGCGCGGCAACTCAGTGCGCCAGATCTTCAGTAGAGTATCAATAGCGCCTTCACGAATCTCAAGGGATGGAAGATGAGGCAGGAAATCATTTCCGACGAAGAAGATGAGGAGAACCCAGTCATCTATGGCCTGTTCGAAGTTGAACGGGAACGGTACATTCGGCACGTTCAACTCTGCTTCAAGATATTCTCGTAAGATCGCGACATCGAGGAATATGAATGGCTTCTTCTCTGGCGGAGTCTTCTTAATCTCCGCCTTTGTCCCGGTACATTGCGCGGCGTAGTGCCCTTCTTGACCGCAAATACGACACGCGGTACGACTGCCCTCTTGGTGGAAGACATCCTCACGCAGGACTCGGAAGTGAGGCTCATGAGTGGCAAGTGAGAGCATGATGAGGTCCGCATCCTAGCAACGGCGTAAGCAGAAAGAAGATACCCAAGTGGATGCCACATACTAAACCATAAATGACGTGGTGGGTGTTAGGGTCATGACCAGGGTTGCTCCGCTGGCGCCGGATGAAGTCCATGATTTTGTGTTCTCCCTCACCGGGAACACTCGCGTCGGATATTATTACTTGAACCTGTGATTGTTAGAGATGAGACGATGAGCTATAAGTAACAAGAGATTAGACACGACGACGTACGTCTTTCCAGCCAGGGTCCGTGTTCATCTTGTACACGACCCAATATCGAAGAGAGCTCGCGAGCAAGTCCATGAACGGCGTGCCAGGAGTAATCGCATTACTGTCCCAAGCCTTCTTGTTCTTCTCTTCCTCGCTGAGGGTTTTGCCCATGGCTACACCGTTTGCTTGTTGGTCGCAGAAACTTGCTTCAAAGATCAAGAAGCGACGCACCTTCCCACATGGCTATTGACTCCTTGCGAGCTTCCTCCTTCTCCTTGGCTTCTTGGGCGGAACGGAAACGACGAGATCGTTGCTGGTTCATCTTGGCGCGGGGAGCGACACCATCTGGGAGAGGTCAGCCACGAACGAAACGTACGACAAGGCAACTCACCGATGGCCATGAAGAGAAGCTTACGAGGTCGTACCATGTTCACAACACGCTCAGTGTAGCTGAAGATCTCAATCATCATTTCCTCTTCAGTTTCCGGTGCAGGCTGCAGCGAGGGAATAGATGCTCAGCCCAACGGCGTATGTCGACAAAAGGGAACTGAGATCATACCTTGCCCTCTGGGTGCGTGCATGGATGAACCTGACTCAGAAGTGAGCGACGGAGCAAGAGTATATTGACATAAAAGGACTCACAATACCGTTCATATCGAGATAAAGGCTGTCGAACTCGACACCATTGGGGTTTGGATCGGCTATATTGACAGGTACGGCGACTTCATTGCCTTCGGTGTCGGGTATTGTGGCTTGCTCTGCCTCTATAACAGGAAGAACTGATGTGGAGAGTCAATAGACAGCATTCGGGACAGGAGTATTATGAACCCACTAATTTTAGGGTACTTTTTGCTGAGCCAACGAAATAGTGCCGGAACACCCTGTGCGTATCCGTCAACGCGCCATACGCAGCTAGACAATAACACAACGTACCATGACTATCCTCTAAAAGACACGGGGATATGTTCTGGCAAAGAATGTGTAGCAGGAGAGAGGTCCTGCAGCAGAGATGGCGGCAGGAGGGAAAGACACTGACAGCATCGAGTGGCCGTGGTGGAGACGCCACGGTGACCCTCAGGTAAGCGAGGGGTCAGGCGCCCGGACCGCAGGGGCAGGTAAGCGCTCGTGAGCCTGACTCGATCCAAAAGCGAAACTCGCGTGCAGTAACGCCTCAGAGACTCCATCTGCCCTCCGCGACTTCGGAGATCGCTCTTTGCACCCTCACAAAAAAACTCGTGCGACAATGGCACCTGCCCCGACACTAGACGTGCATCCTGTAAACGGACCCCCAGCAGGAGAGCCCTCTGCCGGGCAGAAGTCCCAGAAGCAGATGCAAGTCTTCGATAAAGATCTTCACCTGTTCATGCGCTCGGGCTAACGACTAGACATCTCAGGACAAAGGCTGAACGTCGCGAGCTTCAGGAGAAGCAGCGAGCCGCCAAGGCCGCAAAGGCCGCAGCGAACGCTCCAAATGGGAAGCTAGGAGGCAAGGCTGCAAAAGAGCTCTCCGCCCTCGCGGGTGCTCCGAGTAAGAAGACAGGGCGTCCGTCAGATGCTGCATCCAAACCTCCACTCCCTGGTCTAGTGAAGGCAGCGCAGGCCAAGGCAGGCCAAGCATCCCTGGCGGACCAGAGTGCGAGGAACCAGGCTCGCGGCCTTCTGATCTTCTCGCACTTCGGCTTGCCGAAACCCGTCAGCGCCGCGAAGGGCGATATCCATCCCGCAATTGCTAGACTCGCTCTCCAGTTCTCCACATTCAAGATCACTGGTGCAAATGCGCGGTGTATAGCTACTTTGACCGCATTCAAGACAGTGCGTACCTCCATAACTTCCTTGAATCTGCAAGGTCCCAAGAATGTATCAGGTTATCCAAGATTATGTCACACCGCAGAACAACACCCTTTCTCGTCATCTCATGACATATCTCTCGCCACAAATCAGCCATCTCGTCGCAGCCCGGCCAATGTCTGTCACCATGGGCAACGCTATCCGGCAATTGAAACTGGACATCAGCGGTTCAGACATTGACCTTCCAGAACAAGACGTGAGTCAATATATCATCTTCGCTGGCTCTTTACTGTGTCTTGCAGCGCATGTCGTGTACGGTGGTGTCGACAGCGCGAAGTCATGCCTTCACCGTGTTCTCTGCACAACTCATCGTTGGGATTGCAAACCATTGGGGGCTGCTTCCAGCAGCTCTTCCTGAAATGTCGATCGCCGGTCTCCAGAAGGTTTGCTCAATAATTTGATTTCAGGCGAAAGACGTTCTATTCCGGAAGATCGATACATACATCCGAGAGAGAATCATCATCGCAGATCAGGTCATCCAGGAGACAGCTGGTAACAAGATCAAGGACGGTGATATAGTCCTCACATACGCCCGGTACGCTGCTCTTCGGTCTCATCTGGTGCCCTGACCTCATTTCCATCACTCGATAGGTCATCAGTAGTCGAGAAAGTCCTGCTTGAAGCTCATGCCTCTGGTCGGGAATTTTCCGTGATCGTCGTGGACTCAAGACCAATGTTAGAAGGTGAGTCTAGCTTTTACGCCGCCTATTCCGTCATAACTGATTTCATCATCACAGGAAAGAGATTACTTGCCGTTCTGTCTGAAGCGGGCATACAATGCACATACCTGTTGCTCCCCGCTCTGGGTTCCGTCATAAGCGAAGTCTCCGTCGTCCTTGTCGGTGCACATTCAATACACACCAACGGAGCCGTCTACTCTCGAGCCGGCACCGCGCTCGTCGCGATGATGGCGAAACGACACTCCGTGCCGGTGGTTGTATGCTGCGAAACATACAAGTTCTCTGAGAACATACAATTGGACAGTTTCACGAAGAACGAGCTGGGTGAGCCAAGATATCTACCATTCATGATATCCGTTCCTGACGACAGTCCTTAAAGCCCCACTTGGCGACCTATTCTCGTCCTTCCCCAACAACAAGCCCCGCGAATATCTTACACTCGAGAACCAGCCGCACCTAGAGATTCTAAACCCTCTGTACGACCTCACACCGCCGTCTTGCATCACCGCTGTGGTGACCGAGGTCGGCGTGATCCCTCCCAACGCTATCAGCTCAATACCGGTCGCCCTCGGCCGACTCTAGTGACCAGGCCACGTTTCTCATCCGCTCGTCGTGTCATGTTATGATGTCCCATGCTCCATGTCCGTGCACATCGACTCATTCCGCTACGCATTCGCATCGCAATCCCGCGCTACCCGCACTCGCACGCCTCTTACAACGTGACTTATACTGTATCGGTTGCCCGTTTCCATTCTCTCGATTCTCGTCGTTGCTCGTCGCTCGCACCCCAGCTTAGGTACAATAGTGGACAGAGGTCGTCATTACGTAGTCATAAAGCGTTTGTATATCTTTCATGTGTAGTGATAGCGTCGAAGCAACCAAATACTGTATCCCTCTCACGCGCACAAACACGGAAAAGCAGAGAGCACGGGCGTGTGAGATTAGTATAAAAGTATACGCTTAAAACACATGAGAGCAATTAGAGTTCCGGCTTGCCCGGTCCTTGGCTGGAACGTGCGAGCTGTTTCTCTATCCAGTCGAACGCGATGTCAGTGGCATGCTCGACAGGCTTGTCAAACAGGTACGGAAGCACTGGGACGATAGCGAGTCCGGTCGCGGTGGGCCCCCACGTTCGGACGCGCGGGTTTTGCACGTTGGCGAACGCCTTCTTCGCCTGCTTGACGGCCGTGTGGATCGTGAAAGCGGGTAGCGCCCTGAAGACGGAGTCAAACTGATGAACACACGAGCAGCGACGATCTTCCGGGGCGCACGTACATCGACGCGATGGATTGGAACACGGAACGTTTGGCCGCGATGAAGCCCAGACGTGCTGGCTCCGAGAAATGTGCGGCTTCGAGCGCGGTGGGCCCGCGCCGGTGCGCTTTGTAGGTTTCGTAGCCAACATCACTGATTGGAGGGGGAAAGAAGGAGACACATATAAGTGGTCGCAGCTAGAGACACCAGAAGCACATGGTGCGTTGCTCACCTGGCGAGGTATATCCACGAGATGCCATAGGCTGCGGTTACAACAGCAGGGTGGACGACGGGACGGAAGGCTTCGCCAACGTCACTGGTCTGGCGTAAACCTCTATCGATAGTCAGAACGACGCGGATCGGTGCAGACTCACATATGCGATGTATCGGTGGCCCGCGCGTAGGGCCGTCCTCAGGCGCGCGCCATAGGCCATATATCGCGCGGCAGAGTCGGTGGAATCAGCATCCTTGTCGGAGAGGTCCTCGAGCTTGTCCTCGAGCTTGTCTACGACCTGGTCCTTGAGCGGCTGGGACATGGTAGAGCGGGAAAAGAGACGATCGCGCGGGTCAGGTGGACAAGGGACGGATAGGAGAAGGTGGAACAGACAAGAGTGTGGCCGGTGGACGCGCGGTGCGGGCTGCCGCGGAGACTCGGGAGACGGCGGAAGACAAGACACGCCCATATCCGGCGGGCGGCAACGGCCGGGGCCAAGCAGACGCGCATGACTGGGGCCGGATTGTTTCTGCGACCGTCGAGTCGAACGTGTCCGGTCACCTCTCCGCCAACGCCCGCCATGGCCACAGTCATCGCCCGTTCCCAAGATACCCCCCAGCCTGTCGTCTCTCCGCCCCCGGAGGCTACTGAGGCTCTCCCAGACAAGATCAGCGCGTACTACAGCCTTGTCTTTCCCAACTTCACCTACTATCTCCAGACACTCACTGTCACCATCGGCCGGCGGTGTGTTCCTGTGAATACTGCCTCAACCTCTGATAATCCTCAAGTGGACGTGGACCTCGGTCCGCTCAAGAGCGTGTCGCGCTTGCATGCGAAGATAGAGTACGACGAGGACGAGGAGCGCTTTGTTCTCCTTGTCATCGGCCGGAACGGCGCGTGGGTGGATGGTGTCTGGTCAGGAAGTGGTAGCAAAGTCCCCCTGGGCGACAGGTGCGTTGGCCAGCTCTCGCTTTGAAGCTAAACTTACGCAGCACGCGCACAGGTCGCAGATACAGATTGCCTCGCGGACTTTCCATTTCATCCTGCCACCTCCAGCACCCCCGGAGGACTCGCCCTCGCCTAGCTCTCAGTCCTCAGGTAACCGAGCACGTTCCCCTTCTGTCGATATCACCACATACTCCCCACCATCCTCATTGCCTTCCGAGTCGCCACCCCCTGTGCACGTTCCCACCGCAGCCGTCAAGATACCACCCTTGCCGGAGAGCGCACTGCCGAATTCGAACGCAATTCCGCACAAGGCGAATTCGAAGAAGCGCAAGAAGCCCGATGCCCCGTCGCCCCCACTAGCAGCTCCCGAGGTTATGCCATCGAAGCCACAACTAACCTATGCACAATTATGTTATCGCGCTATCAAGGCTCTTGGTGGCAAGGCCTCCTTGCAGGAGATCTGCCAGTGGATCAAAGATACTCACGATTGGTACAAGTACTGTAGCAAGGATTGGGAGGTGAGATTGCTTCTGTGCTTATCGTTCGAGTGCATTCGGCAGCTGCATGTGCTCTTATGCATCCATTGACGTCACTTTGTTTTAGAGCTCAGTCCGGCACAATCTATCGTCTAATCCTGGCTTCAAGAAGCTTTTGCGCGGCAAGGACGAGAAGGGGAAAGGAGCGCTTTGGGGTGTGGATGAGGCGCACGAGCATGCATTCGAGGAGCTCGACGCGCGCAAGAACGCCGTCATTGGCGGCACCAGTGGGAAGGATGGGAGGCTGAGCGGGAAGAAAGGCAAGGCTATTCCGCTAGAGCCCCCGCTGAGGCGAAGCATCAAGGGGGAACCCAAGGGCGCGCCATTGCCTCCTCCATTGACGTCTGCGCCGCTCGCCTTCAAGACTTCCAATCCCACCTACCTGCCGGGTTCTGCGTCCACATCTGCTTCTCCAGCACCACTCGCAGCCCCTCTACACCCGGCCGTGAAGGCGGAGCAGGTGCCTGTCGCGCACGTTCCTCCGCCTCCGCCTCAGCCCCAATTGTCACCTGCCCCAGCCGGGTCTCCGCCTCTCTCAGCGCCTTCGACGAATCCTGTTACGACTCGTGCCGCCTCGCCGCCACAAGCGTCACCACCTCCATCCGCATCCGGACCTTCCTCTGCAGCGCCGTTGTCTGCAATTCCGGCCTCTGTCCGCATCCCGATTGTAGTCGGCCCCGTCCCGGCGTCTCACAACCCAACCGGACCCGCTTCGCCACCGAAGCCTATCGTGCTTCACGAGAACACCCTTATCCTCAACCCCGAGATCTTCTCCCACTTGACGCCCCAGCACCTCCAAGACCTCGAAGCTCTCGGGGCGCAGAAGGCGCTCGAAATCCTACAGGCGTATATCGTGCGCTACTACAAGGAGAAGCTCAGGGCCGAGGGTGCTCGAGGTCGGGGCCGCGGGCGTCCTCGCCGTGGGCGTGGAGGAGCGACAGGGCGAGGATCGGCGCCTGCAGGGGCGTCCGTCCACCCTGAGACTACATCTTCCGGTCCGACTTCGACCTCTCTTCTCTCCCCCCAGGATTCGAAGGAAGCCTCTGGGACGCCCTCATCCACAACGGCGCCTCCTTCGAGTGCATCACGCGCTGCCCCTTCCGAATCCCCCGCCGAAGCTCCGTCGCCGATCGTCGTCGTCGACGATGACTCCTCTCCAGAACAGGCCGAGGAGCACATCGCGAAGCGCCGTCGCCTCGATGAGCCTGTCGTCGATGTCATGACCATATAGAGCGTCCGCGTTGCGCGCCGCATATGAGCGACTCGCCCGTGGCGTCACATTGGTTCTCTCGCTCTCAATAGACTTGCTGCGTCCTATCGGACCACCATCCATTCTGTAACATTATGCATATAGCCGATTCCGGAGCCACATTGTACTCATATTGAGCATCGTATCGTACATCGCTATAGTTCCGTCGTGTGTGGGGTAGCAGAGTAGTAGTAGGCTGTTGAATCATGGGGGGCGAGTGTTGCCGCTCAATGCTAGCCATTAACGAGTACCCCGGCCGACTTCTCTCGGTCACCTGTCGTCCGCCTCCATTGCACCCGCCCTCCGCTCCGGCAACTTGCCTGGAAACCGTCCCTTCCAACATTCCAGCACCTTCCGTGCCAGGTCGCTCGGGCGGGTCTTCTGCCCAATTACGTTGGCGTGTGCGAGGCGCCTGACAGCGTGATAGAGTTGTGTCGACTGGGAAGCCGGGGTTAGTAAGTGGTTCTCCGAGACGCAGAAGGGAAGGCTTACCACAACAATGTTGTAGCTCATCAGGTCCTTCTCTTCCTCAATCTCTTTAATTGCTTCTATCATCTCCCTAAAGCGCTGCTCAACCACAGGGCGCTCTGGCTTCTCCTTAGCCTGATGGACTTTGAGGAAGCTGGAGATAGCAGAGATCCAGCGCCTTGCCCTCCGAACTGCAGGGTTGGTGGGGTCAAGAGGCTTGCCACCTAGATAGGGGTGTGAGTGTGTGTCAAACTGCCATTGTGGGCTATACACACTGGAGGTTGAGCATGTTGTGTCTGAATTTGAGGTTGGTGGTGGTGCAGGGAGATCCAGGAGCAGGGGAGGTGTGCCCCATTCTTCTTCTAATTGTTGTGGAGTGATTGAAGATGGCAGGGGTGATGGGGTGTTTGAAGAAGGGGAGGGTAATGGCTCATTTGAAGAAGGGGGAGGGGCAGACTGGGCAGGGCATGATAGTGATGATGATGGAGAGGAGCTCTGATGATAGTGATGATAGTGTTGTTGCAGGTGACGTAGTGATGTAGAGATGATGGCAGTCTGCACTTTGGTATCTAGTGAAGAGAAGCTGTTGTCCTCCAAGTGGATCTGCTGAGGTGAAGATGGAGCATACATCTCCAGCTTGACTCTCTGTGTTCCTTGTTGGTGAGACCTTGATTGAGATGGTATAGCCAGGTCTGGTGGACTTGACGCTGTGTCCTGAAGAACAGCAGAAGATAACAACAAAGACTGCCCATGGGAAGAGGGAAGAGAAGGGAGTGGTGGTTGTGGTGGTGGTTGTGGTGGTTGATGTATAGTGGAAACCAAAGGAGGAGACTGTTGTTGAAGAGGTGATAGGATTTGTGTGGATGTTGGTGTAAAAAGTTGTTTAAGCATAGAGTGCAATTGATGAACTGCAACCCAGTGGACATTGATATTGATATGTGGGGGATTGCTTAGTGGCTTTGCTAGCCAACCAGCTACTTGAATGTTGTAAATGGCAATAGAAAGTGAACCATCTAATAAGTGGTTAAGTCAACATTATATTGCCTCCATCCACAGTAGACAAACCTTTATGTAAGACTGGTTCTCCAATGTGTATACCACCACACATAGGACATATATGATACTGGGGCTTCTGATTATCTTGATAGTAAGGGTAAAAACGATGGCCAACAAGTTCAGGTGGACATATAGACTATAGAAAGTTTGTTAGTCCAGATGTCACCACTTATATCATGTGACATACAATGGGTATAGAGTGTATCTGGTGGTCTATGACTTCATTGATTGGCTGCATGCTGGAATGATGGAGGAAGAGGGGGGAGAGGGGAGACAGGGAAGACAGGGGAGACAGGGGAGACAGAGGAGACAGGTGAGAGAAGTGGGTGGTGAGCTGGTCCTTATATATGCTGATGGCTGACTAAGCTAGACTAGTTGCTGATTAATTCAGACCATATCTAGACAAGAATGAACCTTTGTTTCCCACAGGCAGACAGAACAATGAGAAATTGACCAGGGTCTAGGATATCTCCAGACAATGCTAGAACAGTCTAGACAAGTAAAATGTTTGGACCAGACTAGCCACCATGTCAATTACAACACAATTCCAAGCTTGCTAAGTGGCACCATATATTGAGTGGCTCTAACCAGCATAGGTACAATGGACTTGACCTGCAGTCTAGCATGAAGAAATCCTACACATGGTGACATGTGACATGAAATGACCATTATCTCCGGGCTATGCAGAGTATGGGTTTGACTACCAGACATTCCATGTCCACAATGTATCCAACCAAACACGCAAGCGAACGCCGCGAAAGGAACAGGCAAGCCGAGGCGGCCGGAGGTTTTGACGTTCCTTGTGATTGGAGGGGGCAAGCCAAATACCAAATCTTTACGTACCTACCGGCGGGACTCCGGACAACAGCGGCGCCACGTACGGTCTCCTTATCGGTCCTCCCACGAACACGTATCGTCGTCGAGTGCTGCAAGCAGTCAAGCTCGGTTTTGGACCAGAGCAATATGGTCAAGCCCGGACGAGAGGCCGCAATCAAGTCCGCAGAGGTAAGGCAGTGGCGTGGCGAATGCCGGGCTTGAGCACAGGGCGGAAGACGAAGACGATCGTCCGCGTGCTCGACCCCATTCGCTGGGAGAAACGGGTTTCCACGGTGGTTGGAGAAGCGTCGTGCGACGAAAACGTTACTCGTCGAGCAGATGACTTGTGTCCACGGTCACCATGACCAACCGCGGCTAGAGTCCGAGCGCAGAAGCGAGGCAGCGAACGTGCGTGCTGCACGGGTGGCTGACGCGAAGGAGGGGGACGCATGATGATACGAGGAGACGCCCGATAAGGCGGGGGCGGGTTCGTCGAGTCAGACATATCTCCGAGCGATATGTGCAGCAGAGGCCATTGCTCTGGGGCAGCTGCGGGCTGGACGAGACAGGATCGCAGAGGACAAGGGGCAACGGAGGCGGGCAGGTGGAGGCAAGGGGGCGGGGTGCTTTGTCAGCAGGCGGGGGAGTGAGTAGCCCACGTGCGCAATTCTGGATGCGAGGATATCGTCACTTGCGAAGGCAAAACTCTGGGTGGGACAACATACTCGTCGCTCTGCCTTCGCTCTGCCTTCATTCCTCCTCCTCCTCTCCCCATCTCCGTCCCAGGCCCAGATCTGCGCACAACCAACGTGCCTTGTCTCCCACTATATCTCCTCCGTCCTGTGCGGCCACAGCCCTTCTCCTTTTCTTATTTTCCGCCGGGCAAGCCCAGCACAACCCCTCCTGTCGAACCTCTCCGTCGCCTCTTAGCGATCGTCCCTCTCGTGAATGACTCCTGCCTCTGAGAGCTCTGGCTCTGAGAGGCACTCATCTCCATGTCCACCCTCCCCCTCCACCTCTGTAACCGTCACTCAGGCCTCGTCTCCGACCTCCCCAACCGGTCCGGCCAAAGGCCGTATCTTCGCGTTGCCACCCGGACCCCCTCGCGCGCACTCACATAAGATCCGCCGCAAACGCGGCTGGCGCAATGACAGTGAAGATGCTACCGAAGACTCTGGCAATGAGACCCCGCAAGGCTCTCGCCCCTTTCGCGCGTCCTACCAGCGGGCCTTTCGCAGAGCGTCGGAGCGAGCAATAGCTATGTCCTCTTCACGTGCGTCCCAGCAATCCGAGCTTTTTCGTACTATCTCCCCGGCCACCGCACGTCGCGCGGCTCCTCGAAGGCCTCCGTCCCCCGTTGCCTCTACTTCGTCTTCCAGTTCCGATCGCGCCGTCCCGACCAGCTCGAACACAGGTATCGGTCGCAAGGTCGCTGCCTCGTTGGATCTGTTCAAGGAGAGCGCACCCAGCCCTTCGGTAGAGAAGAATGAAGTCGAGGCTTTCGACCTTCCGAGGCCGGAATCATCGACAGGGAAGCGCAGGTCTGTCGTTGAGGTCAGCGAGCCCCAGTTCGAGTTTGTCAAGCGGTCGGATTGGCCTGATCGCGGGACGGCCGCTATACGGAGGGAGAAGAGTTCGACCGGCCTTGACCGGGTTAGGACGCGCGAGAGCACGAGTTCGGTGACGAGCTCACGGGACCAAGACTTCCGTAGACGCAAGGAGCGGACATTATCTCGACGCGAGACGGTGCTCACCGATTTGGCGCAGTGGCGCGCAGCAGTTGAAGCAGGCCGTGCTGACGAGGATGGGCGGGGTAGACCACGAGAGCGGAGTGTGTTTGTCCAGGAGCCTCTACCGGATGCTGTTATCCTGTCTCCTCCTGGGTCAGAGTCTTCCTCCTCTGTATCTTCCGCGTCCACATTCCACCTGGAAACCAGACCAACCGTCTCGCCATCGCTGCCACATGTCGTCCCTACATCGCCAAGTCCTCCAGTCCGCACCCATGATCTTGCTCCTTCGCCCGTTATTGATCGCCGACTCTCTCCACTTGATCTGCACGAATTGCCTCCACCTGTGCACCGCGCTCCGACACGGTCACACTCTCCGCATGAGCCTCCCATTGCACTCCCAGTTGCCCTTCCTAGCGTCCCGCAATATTCTCACTTCTTCGATTCTCCTTGGTCTACGGATGACGACGATGAATCCGCTTGGGAGTCCGCATCTGCGACGACAACCACGTCCACAACCTCTGCATCTACTCCCTTCCCTCTCTCCCCATCACGAACAAGCCCCCACCCCCAGCCTCGCGTGCATAATCCGGAGGACGAGGATGACGAGCGACATCAAAGGGCCATGTTGTCTCCTTATGACGACCTCGAGCTGACTCAGGCTGATACGTCGCCTAACACGGACCTGGTGGCCAATCTAGAGGCTCATTCGCAGGAGAGCTTACCGCATATTCCATTGCGGCCGTTCCGCAATCAGGTTGGCGGACACAGCGCGATCTACAAGTTCACTAAGCGCGCTGTGTGCAAGGTGAGAACCAGCCTTTTGCGTTCCGTCAGTCATTCAGTCAAATTGAACCAATGTGGATGTTAGCCGCTAGTCTCCCGCGAGAATCTCTTCTACGAAGCTGTCGAGCGTGAAGCTCCTCCTTTGCTTGACTTCATCCCACGTTATCTGGGCGTGATGCTGGTCAGCTACCGCCGAGTGCCCAAGAGCTCGAGTCTTTCCCCGCAGATCCCCTCCGCCGCCCGGCCCAGAGGTCTCCTCACCGAGTCACAGTCTCCCCGCCCGATATTGCAGAAGTCGGCGAGCGAGAACCCTCGTTCCACGCCGTCATTCCATCCGGGGCAGGAGGGTGGAGATACCGACACAGAGGAGGCGGAGCTTCCTGAGGTCGCCTTGGACTACAATCGCCACATTATTCCTGAATGGTTACTGCGCGGCCGCCGCAATCGTGCGATGTCCCACTCAGTCACTTCGTCTCCTGCCCCTCCAGTCGATCACCGTCTGAGACGGCCTCATCTGAACGGCCTGAACGGTATGACTGCCTCCAGCCCGGATCTAGGGATGTCCACGCTGCGTTCCCACCACGCTTGCGCCGCTTCCCAACGACACCCGGCCAGCAGACTTGCGTACTCGCGGACAGTCGAGGATGTGGACAACCGGACACCGATGAACTCACCGCGGTTCCCTGCCCCTCAGCTCACAACTTCCCTGTCAGGACAAGGGTCTGTGTCGCCTGGTAGCCAGTTCCAGACGGGATGGTTCGGCGGTACCGGTTCTACTGTCGTGAATACACGGTTCAAGGACCATGTGTTCAGCACTCTGCTCCGTCGATTGTCCAGGCACGCTTCGGGCAAGACTACGTCCAGCACGAAGGCGGAGGATGACGGCGAGGTAGCAGACGGAGAAGGTGAAGGGGCTTCGTTCAGCGACGGTGCTGACAAGTTTCGTCGCAAGAAAAAGCTCAGCAGGGTAGAGCGATTACGGCAAGAGGAAGGTAGCGTGCTCGGGAAGCCGCTGCGGCGAGTACAGAGTGACCGTGAGATTGGACATCACGCCTCCTATCCCACGCACCCTTTGGAGCGGGATCGTGACGCGGCCTCTGGAGAGGTGTTCGACTTCGAGTCGCAATCCGATGACCCGTGCGCTCCTCGCGCCCCGCTGGAGGTGCAGGATGGCCAGTCGTTTGCGGCGCGTTCGTACCGTCGTCATCGTTCGCGCTCGCTTCCTCGTGATGTCTCCCAGCCCTGCATTCCTCACTCACCCCATCTCCCCATCGATCACCGCGAACCGGACCCAACTGTTACTCGTCAGAACCACTTCATCTTGATGGAAGATCTCACCGGTCGGCTCAAGTACTCGTGCGTCCTCGATCTGAAGATGGGCACGCGACAGTACGGGATGGACGCGACGCCAGGAAAGAAGAAGAGCCAGCGGAAGAAGTGCGACCGGACGACGAGCAGAACGCTGGGTGTGCGAGTGTGCGGGATGCAGGTAAGTGTCGTTCAGGTCCATGAACGGATACCTTGACGTGCTATTTGCACGTGTGGTCGATTTGGTCGTACCTGTTGCGCCTGAAGCTGTTCATTGGTCCAGACGGCATGGTTGTTCGGTTCGCTGACATGTCCTAATTTACCAAGGTTTGGAACCACGTCACGCAGTCCTACGTTACCCAGGACAAATACAAGGGCCGCGAGGTCCGTCCGGAAGACTTCCCTGCGGTGCTCAGCTCCTTCCTCCATGACGGGGAACGCCTGCTCGTGTACCAGATCCCGGTCATCTTGCGCAAGATCTACGCCCTCGCGCGCATCGTCAATCGCCTGAATGGGTACCGCTTCTACGGCTGCAGCCTGCTCATGATCTATGACGGCGACCGCGAAGCCCAGGAGGCGTTCCGCGCCTCCGTCCTCGACCATCCCTCGTCGCGCAGCAAGCGTGGCGAGTCCCTCGAGCGTCGGCTGGACGCGCGCACCCAGACGGAGAGCAAGCCACCGACGCTCCGCCGTTCGCACAGCGAAGACTTGCTTCTAGGCCCCGTCGCCGACCGCGTCAGCCGCCGTCGCAAGCGCGGCGAGGTCCAAATCCGTCTCGTCGACTTTGCGCACACGACGACGGGACGAGACTGGCTCCCGTACCCGCCTCCCAACGGCGAGATTGAGGAGGTCACGAGCGGGAAGGGTTACCAGGCAGAGGTCGACCCTGAGACAGGGCTCATCTACGCTCGGTTCCCCCCGCACTACCCCGACCAGCCCGACAGGGGGTTCCTCTTCGGGCTGATGAACCTTGCGGAGACGCTGGAGAAGATCTGGAACGAGGAGCGGCTGCGGAGGATCAAGAGCTCGCGCGACGACCCAACTGCCGCGGCGGAACAGCTCCCGCCGCTGTCGACGGACGGGAAGGAGGTCTTCGACAAGATATTTAGGACGCCGGACGGCGAGGAGGACTTCGGGATGATCTCGACCTGAGTCGCCTCTGCCCGCTGGACAATTTCTGGCTTCTTGTGCATATTGTACGTCCTTTCTTGTACATAACTTCTATAACTTGCTGTTTTTCTCCTTATATTCTCTTGTCTCGTCGTCTCCTGTTCATATTTCATGTCGTCTCCCCTCACTCAAGTAGCGGTTTATGTCATTCATCTCTTACTCGTTCACAGTCTGTTCGCATGCATCCGTCCGAACAATGGACCTCCATCCTACGACTTATGATGTACCTATAACCATCCAAGTAAGTTATGATGACGCACATAATTAGCCAGTCTCTCCGTCTCTATCTCGTGAACGCGCTGCGAATGCCTGTACTAGTACTTGCGGAGTTTTACGTTAGGTGTGAACGGTGCGAGTTTCATCGCCGTACGTTTTTCAAGTATTGCAGGCCGAGCCTGCGTGACGACGTACGCTGCCACAGAGGTGTGCGGGTTAAGACTCGACCCCTTGACCCTCTCGGCTTGACCCCGGGGTTTGACTTGGGGTCTGACCCGGGTCTGACCTTTTCGAGGGGTCAACACGTGATGCATGGTCGGCCCTCGCGTAGAATAGTCGACCGCGTAATACCGGGAGCGCGGGCAGGGCGCCTTGCAGGGTGAAATTGCCCAGCTCGAGCGAAGGCAGATGAAGACTCAGATGCCACAATGACGACGGGATATACCAACTATGCTACACCTTGCACCTCTCTGAGTTCTCGCTGGTTTTGGAGGGGTTTCCCAGACACGCTCCTCTGGGTCGGCATCCATCTCCATCGTGGCAAGTCTCTCGCAGCGTTCCTGAAGGCCATCGGTTTCACTCCCCCGCTTATGGATGGCCGAAACATTGGACAGTTGGAAAGAACAATTGGAACTGGCAAGAACTTGGCAATCAGAAGGCGGGTTCGTGGCCGCTGAAGGCGAGCCCGAGCTCGAGCAGCGAGCAGCGAGTGGCGGACGGCCGGCCGACCCGGCGGTTCACGTGCCCGGAAGCTCCGACGTTGATGTCGCCTTGGCTTGACCCAGGTCTGACCCAGCCGAGTACATGTCTGCGCTGCCATACACACACGTTCGTCCAGAAATGTGCGGAGTCAACGGGACGCATTGCATTGCTTCACGCTATCGTCTATTAAGTGCAGTGTATTATGGTAAGGACGGAAGAGGTTGCGAGGCCTGCGCGGATGGAATCTACTCCTCTTCCACGTATCTAGAGCGGATGTCCTTCCATTGTTTCTACAGACAGATTCAGCATACTGCACGTCTCATGCGGGTGAGACGGTACGTACTCCCTTGTTCCAGGTATCCCAAAACTTCGTGACACCGAGGTCGAAGCCGATGCTGAATGCGAACGCACCGGCGAAGATCGTCGGGACGAAAACACCTGTCGGCCAGAGCGTTCAACCCTGCCCTACCACGCGTCTCCCCGAGCAAACTTACTGTTACGCTTCACGACAGCGTTGTAGAGAGTGTTGGCCAGCTGCAACCAAGAGGTCAGATCGCGCAAAGGACAGCAGCACCGGGGGCACTCACAGACATGGCTGGTGGATGGTCGGGAGTTCGTAGTGAATCGGAGGGGGGGATAGGCGCGCGTACGACTGGTCGAGCGGGGTTTGGAAATTTCGAGGCGCCCAGCGAGTGTCCGGTGAACGTAGATGGGTTTGGGCTCGAATGCACACTTGGACTCGCTCTCATGTCCCTCCTCAGGCTCCTCCCTACTCTTAGGACACCACCACTGCAACGGACATGTGTTGCTGCGCTCTCTTACTGCGCACCCAGACTCGCTGAGGCTCCGAAACAGGATGCCAACGTGTTGATGCAGTTCGACGACCTGTTGAAAGACGACGACCCATCTACTCGGAGCGAAACCGCGACCACACCACCCCCTGTAGAGGAGGACCTCCCACCACCACCCCCTCCAAATAGCTTCCCGCGCAATCCCTCTCCCGCCAATCCGATCACCGCCGCGAAGCAGGACGGCAAGGTGTCTTCCAAGGGCGCCGTCAGGCCCGTGTACAACGTCTCGGTCAAGTCCTCACGGAACAACACGATCATCACGTTCGCGAAACCGGACGGGAACCAGCTCGTCACGCTCACGGGCGGGAAGCTCGGGTTCAAGAAGAGCAACCGGAACGGGTACGAGGCGGGGTACCAGTGCGCGGTGGGCATCATCGGAGCGATGGAGGCGGAGATGGACCGGGTTGATTTCGACTGGCATTTGTACTTGAAAGGCTTTGGGCAGGGGAGGGACGCGATGCTCACGGCGATCACGACGGCGGTGGGGGCAAAGGTGAAGCCGAAGCTGAAGCGCGTCACGGATAGGACGCCGCTGAAGATTGGTGGGACGAGGGGCCAGAAGACGCGGCGGATATGACCTTGCATAGTAAGTACCGCATGCGTGCATACAGCTTGGTCTCTGTGTTTGAGACCTGACCGTTCTGATATACCTACAGTGTTCACCACTGTACCGTGTTCCCTTCAGACCTCCATCTATCCCCTTCCTCATCCCCTCCTATGTTGCGCTTTCTGTGCAGGCCATCACATTTACTCTCCTGCAACTCACTGCTCTCGTCGTCTGACCCCCTTGCTCGCAGTCCGTGGTAGGGTCTGAGGAGCAGGAGGATAGTTCGTCTCTGAAGTACTGTATGTCTTGGACTAATGGAGATTTAGAGCAGTGTCATGATTCCGCGTGCATGATATGTCAACAAGATGTGTCTGCAGACGACTCTGTCAACATCACTGATGTAACGCTGTGTGCGTCGGGTCGCGCTGCTCGGCGGGAAGGGCAAAAAGGGTAAGCCGGTCGGGAGATGTGGTGGGTAGGGGAGGTGCTTGCGTCTGCTTCCGGCGGGCGGGCGCCAACGGATTGCTGAACGCGTTTCTTCGGCACGAGGCCGGCCGCAGCTTCATAAACGTCTCCCTCTCCCTCTGCCAATCTCCACATATCGCTTGTTTTGTCCCTCCTTCCTTCCCCTTCCCTCTCACGTCCAATCGTTCTTGTTCATCCTGACTGCTACAGCTCTTAGACCGCTACTTGCACGCTTCAGAGCGACCCAGCTGACGCACATGATGACTGCAAGCGACGCGTTCATCCCCCTGCCTCCTGCCCGTGAGATACCCTCGACATTCGTTGCTAGCGTCAAGAGCTGGTGAGTTCTTTACGAGTTGTGAATCTTTTTGCGATTCCTCATGTGTCTGGCCAGGTGGGCTGCAGGAGAGAAGGAGAGTGCTGCTAGCGAGGAACGCTTACTAAGGTGAGTACCACCAGCCTTGCTATCCGTGTGTTTCTTCGACCAACGCGTTACGCAGAAAGCTCCCTTACTTTCGACCGGCTGGATCCCAACCCCCAACACCAGATTATGCGCATGATGTTGTGGCGCAGAGCTCAAGGATTGAGCTTGATGACCCGAAGCATTTCCTCAACACCTTCGCGATAACTCCCACCAAGCCTGCGGCAGATGCACCACCACCTGCGGTAATGCTTCATGGCTATGGTGCAGGGCTCGGCTTCTTCTTCCAGAACTTTCCAGCACTAGGACGTTGGGCGGGCAAACGCGGCGCGTCCGTATACGCCGTGGACTGGCTCGGAATGGGGCGCTCCGCGCGGGTTCCCTTCCACGTCAAAGCGAAACGGGAAGACATCGATGGCCGCGTCCGCGAGGCTGAGTCGTTCTTCATCGACTCGCTGGAGCAGTGGAGGCAGAAGATGGGTCTCGAATCAATGACGCTCATCGGCCATTCGCTGGGGGGCTATCTCTCCGTCGCATACGCCCTCCGCTATCCCACGCGCGTCAACAAGCTCATCCTGCTCTCGCCCGCAGGTGTCCCGCACGATCGGAACAGCACCGTGCCCTCGCGAGAGCTCACGGACGAGCAGGCGACGGGCGCGTCGAGCGCGGATCACGCAGAACCCGCTAGCTCGCGCAAGGTCGAGGAATTGAAAGCGAGCCAGGAGGAGGCGCAGCGTCAGGAGAGCCGCTCCCGCAAGGTCTTCACGTATCTGTGGGAGCAGGGCTGGAGCCCGTTCCAGGTCGTTCGCTCCACCGTCTTCTGGAGCCCCATGCTTATCGGGAAGTACTCTTCACGACGGTTCATCGGTCTGGGTGACGAGGATACCCGGGCGATGCACCACTACATCACGAACATCACGCTCGCGAAGGGCTCTGGGGAGTATTGTATATGTGAGTGTCTAGGCTCCCAATCTCCGGGAAAGAAAGCTGACGCAGGGCCCGCTATCTAGCACATTTGCTTGCTCCTGGCGCTCATGCACGCCGCCCACTCGTTGATCGTATCTCCGCACTCAAGATCCCAATAACCTTCGTTTGTACGTACATCGTTGCCCATCACCGCTGAGCACATAATCTAATAGGCATACTAGATGGTGATCACGACTGGATGGACCCGGAAGGCGGAAAGGAGTCCGTCGAGAGACTACGTCAAGCCGGCAACGGCAATGGTCGCATGTACATGATCCCTCATGCAGGTCATCACGGTGAGCTAGTTTGACACTGCAGCAATCGGCGAATTGCAACTCATCCCTCGCTTCCAGTCTACCTTGACAACCCGAAAGCAATGAACGACCTGCTCGTCAAGGAACTCGATCGCGCCGCGGATCCCAGCCGCACGTCTTATTCTCCATAGACGCAAGCCTAGAATTATTCATACTGATATGAACTATTTCCCTGGTTCACCTTGATATTCCCTCTCCTTGGACGGACGTGACACTCGTCATCCATTCCTTCTCGGCCTTCCCATCATTTGCGCTGCATAGTTCAGTGCTACTGCTTCTGTTCACTTACTCCTCAAGGGCTCTCTGCATTAATGACTTTCGTCGTGTATCAGCTGCATAGTACAAGAACTGTAATATATCTGAGCGCATTGCACGGACATATCCACTATTGAATCTGTCCTTCGCGGGAGGGTAGAGAACCAGCGCTCGTTTGCTCGAGGCGGCGCACGCCCAAGCCACGCTCATCCCATGCCCCTCGAAGCCTTCCACGATGACCTGCATTGCAATGATATATTCGTCCCTGAGAGCCTCACTCCCTGCACTCGTGCTTCCGACGGCGAACCCTTGACCCTTCCCTTCGCGGAAGGTCAGTTCCTGAGAGGAGAGCAGTCGGAGTTATCTCGTCCCCTGCGCAGTGCGTGCGAGCTCGGAGCTACTGTAAGTAGCAGCGCTGCTGCAGCACAACAGTCATCACTGCTCGTCTGTTTGATCTCCCCGCAAGAAGCCTGGCCCGCTAACCATCCCCTTGATGCGATCGTGATGTCCAAGAGACTCAAGAGGGCCCCGCCGTACGAAGACGACCCCGGGTGCAAGTACATCGTGATCAGCGACCCGTGGCCGGGGAACAAGTCGGGCAAGGAGCGCGGGGAGATCTATTGGAACCTCCTCGCCGCTTGGGTGCGCTTTATGCTGAACAAGGAGCACGAGGCGATCTCTGTGTATTCTGTCAACACGGTATGTGTTGCGAGCGCGTTGTTGGCGACGTCGTCTGTGGATGAATGTCTGACCGGCCGATTATTGCACCTGGCGAGCAGCGCAACGATGTCATCGTGCAACTCCCGGAGGAGGCGGACATCGTGCCCATACTCGGCGCGCACCCGTGGATCAAGGTGCTCTCCAGCGGACATCCCAGGGACAGGGAACGCGTCTCGTACGTGTTCGCGTACGACTATCGCATGAAGGGCGAACCAGACAACCGTAGGTGGCCCTCTCGGCCTGCATGGTGCAGAGCATAGTCGACACCGTGGATGTGAACGTGCGGCGCTGACCGACCTTTGCGACGCAGATAACTGGCTGGCGCACTACCCGACCGAAAGCGGAGACCCGCCTGCGCATATCAGATTCCCGGTCAAGTTCCCGTACCCCCATGTGAGCTGGGCTTCACCGAAAGGCAAGAGCTGTGGGGACCTCGCGCTGCCTATGCCGCCTATGCGGCAGCCCACGCCCGTACGAGACATCGTGAGTCGCTAGAAGACTGCTGTTCGAACATGAGTGCAGTTATTTGGTGCTAACGGCGTTCGCTTCCAGGGTCGCTTCACCCCGTATGAACATCCGTCGCAATTGACATCGAGTAACATTACCGCCGTTGAGGCCATCAGCGATGGGAAAGCACAGATACAGCGAGACCACCACCAGCAGACGCCTAGGAAACCGGATCCGTACGCGTCCAGCGAAGGTAAGGAGGCTCTCTTGTGTGGCTACTGCAACTCATGGTGATATATGATTTTGCAGAAGCAATCTCTCTTCGCGCTTATCGGCAAGATACATTAGATGTCAAACCCGGCGTGAAGCGTGAGGACGGCGCACGAGTCAAGATGGAGGCGGTCAAGCCCGAGCCGGAACTATACGGACCATCGAAGTCATTCAGGGCCGCCATCGAAGAATTGCAACGAGCCCGTGCGGCAGGAGAACCTATGACCGCGTCTAACGAGCCAGAGAGCATAGGCAGCGTCAAACCTGAGGATGAACTGCATAGAGGCCCTTCGGATGCCTTGGTTGCAGCGTTCAATAGCGTGCGTGGTGGGCACCCGTCAGAGAGCCGAACACCTAGCATAGTCTGTGGGTTTGCTCCTGCTTCTTCTGTTACCACCGATACTGACACATTCGAACAGCATCAGCTGGAATAACTAAAGGCGAGAGGGAGGAAACACCGTATCAACCTTCGGAAGCGTTCGTTGCGGCGATTCAAGGACTGCGTCGCCCGCCCAGCGCGACAGGTAGCCTGAGCTTTACTCATGGCGTGACGTTGTGCTCGGCTGATCACCTGATAATTTAGTTGACGAGCTTCAAGGGAGATTTTCGAAGAATATCTCAGTCAAACCGGAGCAACAAGCCGGAGGTTCCGCAAAGTACACAACGGCGCCAGACGAGCCCGTGGTAAAGCCCGAACCTGGCGACTGGAGACATGGGACGTCCCGCCGAACGCTGGGAACGAACAACAATGATCAAGGTGATATTGAACTGTTACGTGTACCTTCCCCTCTGTCTGACTTGCACGATCAGCACGCTCTTCCCTCAAGCGAGTGAAGGAAGAATCTCATGACAGCCGTAGTGGAAAAAGATTCCGCACTTGAAGGCCGAGTGTGTTATGTGCCAGGATCTCACACTGGACGGGTCTGCTGCTGCGTTCGTGCTCGCTGACAAGGCAGCTTTCCGAACCAAGCTCTTCGTAATGTATACCTATATGTATACCTATCCATTCATTCCGGATTGACATGTCCTCCCAGCTGCCCATGTACCTCTGGACCACTTGCTTCTCAGACATTAGCACCGGACTTGTGTATGCCTATCAGGAAACATCTAATGTATCGATGTCGTATTTGCTACAGTGATGATGGTATACTCTATTGAGCGTGAAGTCCTGTCTATGCGAATCGTCCCAATGCGGCTTTTGCGGATAGAGTATAGTACGACCTGATCCCCGCACACTGAAGTCAATCTCTATCCCGATGCAGACCGGCGACGCTTTCTAGGAGTAGATGCCGGATTTCTGTCTAGTGAATGCGATCAACATGCTCCCCGCCCCGGTCGCAAGTGCACACGATCCGACGAAAATCTCTACAAAACCATATCCCTCACGACCAAACGCCCCGCCTATAGTCGAGCCCTTTCCAGCGTCGAGGAGAACGCCGGATAAGATGGGACCGACAACGGCAGAGATGCCCTTGAACATGGCCGTACTGGCGATTGCGATGCCCGTGTACTCGGGCTTGCCTCCGGCACATTCGAACGCAGCGTTAGGCCACGTCGATGAGAATCCTCCGCTCTGCAGGCAGACGATCAGAGCCATTGCCTACAGCATGAGAGGAAACGACACTCACCAATGCACCGAAGATGATAGCAAAGAAGTACAGCTGTACCGATGCTTTTGCGAAGCCCCATAGAAGGAACGCCACAGTGCTGCTCCCAATTGCGCTCGCGCACATAACCCAAGGGTATGGATATAGATCGCTGAGGTGACCGAGCAGAAGCTGACCAGCAACTGCGGAGGAATTGAATAGGGATAGCACGATGGTCGCAGTGAGAGGCGTAGTGAGTCCAGTTGTGTAACTCGCAATGTACAGCGAGACAGGGAAGTAGGAGAAGCCTTGCAAGAGAATGGTCAACGACTAAATGACATTTATTTCAGTCAGAAATTGTGCAAGAGGATAGTCGATAGGGAAGAGAGCGTACCACACTCCAGAAAAGCGGGGTTTTGACGAAGCCCAGCTGCGGAGGGATGAAACGGGGGCGTCGTGACCCGTGCGGGTACTTCGGTACTGGGAGACGAGGACGCAAGCCTAAGAGTGCGATCCCACAAAAGATTGTCGTTACGATAGCCCACATGCGGAGCGTCCATCGTAAACCAACCTTATCAAGGAGAGCAGTGAGAATGTAAGGAAAGACGAAGCCTACAAGAGCATCCATAGCCGTGGTTAGTCGTGCGAGCGGTGAATACGTGGGAAAAAACCACGTACCACCAACACCTCCACCTGCAAAGATAATTCCTCCTGCGAGACCTCTCCGTGCGGAGAACCACTCAGGGAGAAGCTTGATGACAGGAACATAGAGCAATCCGCCACTGATGCCGAATAGGACACCCTGGAGCATGATTAATTGCCATACCTACAGAGATAGTTTTCTGAGTAAGTGTCTTCGTGATCGAACGGTTGTAGTGCGCCTACCTGGTTGGCAAAGCTTGAACAGAGGATAGACAAGAAATACAACGCAAGGCCGAACCACATGGCATACCCCATATAGTCTGGATATCGACCGAAGGCGCAAGAAATGAGCAGGGCCTGTAGTATAGGCCTAAATAAGTGAACGAACCCATACAGTTGTCGTCGAAACAATAACTCACCTCAGTATACTGTAGGGCAATTGCGATCGTCCCTATGGCCGCTATCGAAATGCTAGAGGCGGAGTTGAATGGCGGATGCGTCGTGTAGTAGTCTGTGTGCGGAAAACAAAAATGAGGGTCAGACAGACAGTGAGATACGGCAACAACACCGGTGCATACTTTGAAAAATACCATAACTGCAGTTCAGGTTTGGGTCAGAACTTTTCGACTTGTGGTTTGTGTTCGAGATAAGCTCACCTGAAGCAGAACCCCCATATCATCATCTCTAGCGTGAAGGAAGACAAGCAAAAGAGCCACGCCCGTACACCCCGGTCAACGGGCGCGAGCTCCTGCACGTTCAGCCCATCGTCGAGGGCCGCCCGCAACGCAGCCTGCGAGCTCGCTGCAGAGAACGTTGCGCTTGCAGGTGTTTGCTGTCCACTTGCAAGTCCCGGCTGCTGTATGCTCATACCCTGGAGCTCATGATATTCCTGATGTTCCCCTAGTTGAGGTTGGATGATCGCACCAGTGCTCACGGCGGTATCCATGTTTTACGACGTCCCAGTTGGTGGAGGAATGAGTGGGAGTCGGTTTGGGGAGCCTGTCTAGGTTGGAAAGGAGACGGGGAATCCTGAGGCTTGCGGGGCTTTCATCATCTTAACGCACGGCTCTTATAGGCTTGCGTGCGGGTAGAATAGAAATCGTCAAACCAATCGTCAAACTTCAAGATCCGTGGCCAGGCTATCGGTCGATGACTCAAAAGTCTCGACGCAAAGTTTTGCCTGGATGTTGTCACCGCGCTCAGCGACCGGGCGCCTCTCCTCAGTGCTAAGCGCCTACTCCCCTTGGGAGCGGTAATTATGACCTTGTATGCTCCCTCCACAGCTGGTTCTACCGCCCACACAACTTACGAGAGCAGAAGAGTTTACTCACGATGCCGCCCAAGACACTTGAATGCCTCCGCATCGAGATGGAAACACAAATCTGACGAAGGATCGGGCCCTCCAGCATCGAGCACAAAGCTGTGCTACTCGGATCTTGGGCTCGTCGCTGCATATGGACCATGATCAGTCGGTGCTCGACATCCGCGGTATATCCGCCCCATACGTACTTACGGGCGGCGTGAGTGGCGACTCGCAATTGCGGACAGGACGTCAAGATTTGCGTGCATCAGGGGATGCAAAACGTGATATGTATGTAGTCGCGAAGCGTGCGCAGTCCCTAAGCACTCCTAATTGATGATCACCTACGTATGCTCTCCTCGTGGGCTCTGAGGTATTCGGGACCAGTCCCGCCCGCGCCTGTGACGAGTGCTTTTGCGAAACGCCGTCCGCGTGCGCCCCGCTGGCTTAGAGCTTCTTGAGGACCGCGTCAAGCACCTCCTGGGTCTTGCTCTTTCCCCCCAAGTCGGGTGTCAGCACCTCGCCTTCTCGGATGACTTGGTCGACGGCACGGTCAATTCTGTCTGCGCCGGCGGTGTAGCCTTGGAAGCGGAGCATGAGAGCTGCCGACCGAATCGCCGCCAGAGGGTTCGCGATGCCTTTGCCCTCGATGTCAGGCGCTGAACCGTGAACGCTAAGCGAAGAAAGCGTGTAGAATAAATGAAGAATCGGTCTCGAGAATCAGGCAACTCACGGCTCGCCCATGACGAAATTGTCGCCTGCATTGACGGAAGGCACGAGGCCGAGGGAACCAACAAGGGCAGCCGCGGCGTCACTTAGAGTGGAACCACAATGTCAGACTATTCTATTCAACCATGAGAAGCGTGTGCAGCTGACACTCACGACAGGATGTCACCGTAGAGGTTGGGAGCAACAAGGACATCGTATATCCTGAGGAACTATGAGATCTTGTTGGAGAATGCAACCAATTGATGCTCACTCTGGCTCCCGGAAGAGACTGCAGCCCGACGTTAGCATGCGCGTACCCCGCTTGCTTTGTCTACTTACCGGTAGACAGCGCTGTCGACAATCTGCTCCTCGACCTTTACGCTGTCGTACTTGCCGTTCACCTCAGATAACTTTGGGACGGCGCGGATAGTCTCCCTGAACAAGCCATCGGTGACCGACAAAACGTTCGACTTGTGGATGATCGTCACTTGCTGTCTCGCAGTCAATGCGTGCATTCCACTGATAGCCGGTACGATCAGGCGTACCTGGCGTGGACGACCGAGGGCGATCTCGAACGCCATTTTGCCGATCCTCCTGGATGCGCGTTCGGTGATGAGGCGAGTTGCCCGAGCTTCGCGTCCGCTTTCTGTCAGAGTTAGCTGTTCCTGCTTCACGTACTATGCGAATGTTATAAATTATTCAACTGCAGAAGGAAGCTGGTATGTTTTCAGCTTACGAGGCATTCAGTGTTCTCCCGGACGACCACTAGGTCCACATCTGGCTTGTCGCCTGGGTTGGCAGCGACCTTCGCCGCATGTCAAAACTTGAAGGAGCATAGCTCGTATTGTACTCACCGATGTAACGGGGCGGACGTTAGCATAGAGGTCAAGCTCTTTTCGGAGTTGGACAATAGGGGAAGAATATCCCGTCACTCTCCGAGAGGGCGAGCTAACCGAGGCGTTGTTGATAATTGGAAAAGCCTACGGGCAAGTATTGCGACGCACCTGACAGCGCCAAACAGTGCACCATCACACCCTTTCAAGGCCCTTCAGTCCGAGAGACGTCAAGCTTTCCGGAGACAGAAGCTACGGGCCTGGCTCGACTCACTCGACCGTCTCATCCGGCAGCGCGTATCCTTCTCGTGTGAAGACCTCCCACCCCGCCAGCAAAGAAACAAACTCGGGCTTTGGAATGTCCGATCCAAGTGCCTCAAGGACCCTCTTCGCGGCTGGGATGACCTCCTTGCCGATACCATCTGCAGGAATGAGACCAATTTTGAGCGACTGGCGCGCGGTTGTGGCCATTCGACGAATTTGTGTGCGGAACATCTTCGCGCAGCTCAGCAGGTATCCGAGAGTATGGTAGGAGACGAAGTAGGAGTGCCTCGAGAGAATGAAGAGCGTTGTGTGAGGATTACAGCGAAGGCCAGAGAAATGACGGAAGAACCGCGTTTCCTTCGCGCGATCACATGTCTTCCGCGACGCGCCCCTCCGTGTCCGAGGCGCGTCCCACCGGCGACGAAATCGCACATTCAATCTGATGGCATGACCACTGGAGTTTGAGACATGGATGCATTGGTATACTACAAATCAGGCGCTGTATAGAAATTATCCATGCTGAACACTAAGTCAGTCTGAGCTGCTTCACATCTCCTCGAGACCATGCCTAGGGAGAGGCTGAAAACGAGGCTTGCCACCTGATTCTGCCGCGATGTCTCTCTCTCCGCCGACATCTTCATTTCAACAGATCAGGTGATCCAATGTGAGGCAAGTGATCGTTGCCCCAAGACAAAAGCACTAGCGACACGGAAGTCTATCAAATAGAGGAGTACTACTCAGTATGTGGCAGATCGCCTTTCGCGGCATGACGGATACTGTTCAGAACGCGGCGCTAAGCATATTGACCTGACGCTACAGGCAGTCTGGAGCGCAAGTAATGAGATAGTGTGGATGACCCATGATTCTGGATTGGTGTTTGTCAATGCAAGAACACTCATGCTAGAGATGCAGAAGCCACTCACTAAATAAGTAGGGAACCTTTACGACGAACCCATAAGCCCATAGATACCGTGCAACAGGTAGTACAAAACGATAGCAATGACGACGAAGATCAAGCTCTGGGCGATGAACCTCCTCCTGAAGTAGCCATCTCGAGCGGCGTGATTCCTCAGGAGGATTTCCCGCGCGGTAGGCGGTCGTCGCTTCGGGTCGGAACATGCACCCTTGTGTTCCTGGAAATCTCTGCAAACCATAGTAGAAGAGTGGTTGAGTCGCCCATCTAATACAGGCAGTACATATCGCGCTCACCGCTTGAAACACTGTTTCGAGCAATATTGCACGTTACAGTTAACGCACTTCACTTCGTTCCCGCTAGCGACTTGCTTCTCGCACCCACTCCGCGAGCACGGCGACAATTCCGTAGCTTGAAAGAGCTCTGTTACTGAGTCGAGTGTCTCCCAAGCAGCTTGCCCCCACATAGGATTGTCGACGTCGGGCAAGGTCCCGCTTTGCATGCTGGCTGTGAACGCTGCATAGTCTGCCTGGTACTTCGTCTGGTCTTTCCCATCGTGCCCAAACTCCTCCGCCAACCGCTCAGAGAGCCTCTGCCGTGGGAGGTGCGTGCGAAGGAGCGCTTGGGTCTTCGCGCTGAGCTTGGGAGAGCATTGCAAGATGGCCGACATGATGACGACGAACACGCCTGCATGGCCACAATCGTGTCAGGCAACCGCAGCTGTAGAATGAGGCAAGGCTTGAAAAGCTTACTTGTCGCACCCCTGATCTTCACGAAGAAGTCGACAGTGTCCTCGAAAGCTTCGAACAAGCCACCCTCGAGCCAACCGGCGATCATCGCGTCAGCAAACTCGTTTCCCTCCTTGTTCACAGCGAAGGTGCAGCGAGAGAACGTCTCCAGGGCGTCCAAGTAAGTCCCTTCCGCGTCCTGTGTTCCTGCTTCGGCCGCCCGACGCAGCACTAGCGCTGTGGCCGCCCACAGGTCCGGAGACTTGAACATGGCGCGTGGCAATGCTGGGTATTCTGTCGTCGCGTGGACGAAAAGCGACCGCAAAAACGCAAGCTCCAGCTCGTACTCCTGCAAACCCGCGTTGGGATACGTCAGGTGCGTTACGGTCGCGGCGACGATTGCTTCTGCTGCTTGCTGGGGAGTGCGCTTCCGTTGCGCCGGCCCGGGAGTTTTGCTCGCCCCAAGGAGGATGCGCGGGAGGAGTACTTTCATCGGCGGGAGAGGGTTCACGTCGGTATATGACTTCCAGTATTGGGGTATGTGGCGGTGGTCGAGAAGGGCCAGGAGGAAGCCCGCATTGATGAGGGCATCCTCGCGGGCGATCGAGTGCATCCAGTTACGGAAGCAGACTGCGAAGGTGAGGTCTGAAGGTTTCGAGAGTTCCCTAAACGTTCAGGCGTCAGCCTCACCGTTACATGAGTTGGACATGATTGATATACTACCCGAGGAACGATGGGTCGAGCACCGTGAGTCGCATAGCCGTCTGCGCAACCAAGATGCGTTCGACGACACCTTTCACATCAGGATCAAGGCTGTTGAATGGTTGCGACCATATCTGCGAAATTGAATTAGCCATGGCTTGGACGAGAGGCAATGATAACACCTACGCGTTGCATCATCTGGCCCCAATTCTTCCTGAGGTCCTCGATCATCTTCGTCTCTGTAGCCGTAGCAGTGTTACCACAGCTGACGGTTGCAGTGCAGATGATCTGCAGGGACAACGCCCAAGGAGAAGGAAGCTGGGCAAAACACGAGAGGTGGGATCGTCAGCGACGAGTCAACAATCTTCAGTGCCTTAACGAGCGCACCTTTTTGCCCTCGGCGTCCACCTGTGCTTGGTTCACCCTCGTCTCATCCTCTACGATGGCTGCTGCCTGGGCGTTCAATACACAAAAGCACCTGAGATAGAACGACGCGCAACAAAGATGCGAGCGGAGAGATACCAACGTGAATTTGCTGCGTGCGAAAGAACAGAAGAGGGCAAGACACATACTCACAGCGCGTCGAACAACCCCGCATTCACCAGCCGTTTCCACACCTCGCTCTTGGGATCCGCGGCAAGGGGCGAAAGCTGCTGCAAAACATACTGCGTGTCCCACAATGTGTCCCCATCGATGCTCTCACTATTCAGCCCAATGACTGCGAGAGCGCGGACAGCGCGACGAGGATCGGAGGTGACGAGGTTCTTCCATCGTGCCGTGCGTTCTTCATGCATTCTGGCTAGGTCTCGAGGGTTTACTCTGCGAGGCATGACTTTCGACAAGGTCACTCGGCCTAGGGACTAGTAATGCGGAGACAGACGAAGTACACCTAGGTGGACTCAGGACAAGCGTTGTCCAGCCGAGCGTCGTCCCGCGCGCAGTAGTCACACGGCTGATGCACAAGCGAGCGGAGAACGATCACGTGCATCGACGCGTTTCATTTTTGTTGATAGCGCGTCTAGTTGATTGGCGCGTCTCTGCTTGAGCTCACACGTTGTCTGCTGTTCCCCTCTGCTCGACTCTGACATACTCCCTCAGTTTTGGCCATGACGGGGTCTGGAGTAGAGTCCAACTTTTATGACCTCACCAATGTATACCGCAGGGAGCAGGCTCCGACGGGCCTGCCTACACCTCCTTCCGAGCGCAAACGCGTCCGCCAACTCGAGTTCGACGTCCGCGAGAAGAAACGCCTCAAATTCAACGTACCCGCGAAAGAGGACCGTGACGCAGACGTCGACTTGGATAGCAGTAGCGATAGCGAGGATGAGGGCGCGGAGACGCGGAGGAGACGGACGTCGCGGTATTCGGTATATGGCCTGCAGAACCAGATGAGGTGGGCGGGCCCTTCAAGGACGCCACGCCCATACCCAAGTGAGTCTTGAAAATTCCTGCTTCTATCAACTATATGTGACATGAAAAGTGTAGTGTCCACTACGTCCATCCTACGGTCCTTCGTCTCCTCTCACAAGGCGGATTTCTTCAAATGCCATTCTATCGACGAGTCGACGTTCGTTACCATTCCGTACGCATGTGCCTACTCGCACTGTAAGCTGTCTTTCCACCATCTTTATCCTACACCGAGCAGCTCAACCTCCCGTCAGCTGCCAAGCGCGGTGGTACTCCCCATCTCGCAGTGGCGACGGAGCAAGGCACAGTGCACGTCATGGACACGTCCAAGCGGCGAGACTGGGATCCTGGTACGTCGTCGCATCTCCGCGCGGTGGACAGCGCCCTCACGACGCCCTCCTTGCGTCAGAACCACCACGAGTGACATTCCAACCCCACGCCAACGGCATCTTCGATGTAAAGTGGTCACCATCTGATAACCTCCTTGCCACTGCGTCCGGAGACAAGAGCGTCCGCGTCAGTTCCCTCTCGTCTTCAGGCCGCAGTGACGACCGGACGTTGCACATCCTCCGCGGCCACGAGAGCACCGTCAAATGCCTTGCATGGGACCCCACGTCGGATGGCAATATTTTATGTGCTGGGGGTCGAGATGGCAGCATTTGCTTGTGGGATCTCCGGGTTGGAGAGGGTAGCAGGGAAGATCTCGACGAAGTCTGGACAGCCAGCGAGCGCGCCCCAGTCTTGACCATCCCAAGAGCGCACGAGGACACAAGCAATCCAAAGCCGAAGGGGAGAAGTAGGAAGATCACGGCGGCCGTGCCGCACAAGGGCATCACGTCTCTCGTCTTCAGCGACGCTCATCCATACGGGATTGTCAGCAGTAGCGCTTTTGACGGGTGCGTCCTCTATGTTCGATGTCCCCTTTCCCAGAACTGATTCCAAACCTCACAGCATTCTGCACCTCTGGGACGGACGCCAACCCACCAAGACCAGAAAGTCCCGTTCGACCAAGACCAAAGCCCGCCCCACGCCCCTCTACACGTCCTCCTGCGACCCGACGACGTACGGCGGGGCGCGCCGCGCCCGCGGCATTACCACCCTCGCCTCCGGAGCCGGGCCCACCGCCCCCTACCTCTACGCGCTCAGTATCGACTCGCGCATCCACACCTACTCCGCCGTCGACCTCGAGCCGCTCTCCGGCCACACCTCCAGCTCAAGTGAGCCGGAGCGCGCCCTGGGGCTGGACGCGCACGGACACCAGCACGACCCGTACGCGCACACGCACGCGGGTATGCAGACGAACTCGTTCTACGTTAAGCTCGCCGCGTCCCCGTGCGGGCGGTGGCTCGCGAGCGGGAACGCGGCGGACGGGCGTGCATACCTGTTCGACGTCGCGAGCAGGTCGTCGGCAGCAAGGGCGCGGGGAGTCGGCGCCGGCTGGGACGAGTGGGACGGGGCCGTCGAGCTGAGAGGTCAGACGATCGGCGAGGTCGGGGCGATGGACTGGGCGGAGGGCATGCTGGCGATGTGCGGGGACGACGGGACGGTGAGAGTGTGGAGGCCGGATGCTGAGGTGTCGCGGCGATGCGCTGAGGCTCCTGAGGAGATGAAGTGGGAGTGGTCTTGGGCTGCGGACGCTTGAAGTAAACTTGGGACGGTTTGGAATCTGTATATACCAAGCATTCTGTATCATAGTCAACAAGTAAGCAATATCCGTGTGGTAAGACTGCCTGGGGTGTTTGGTCCGATTTTGTCCACGTTACTCCCGGAAAGGCCTGTCGCACTAGCATGAAGAATGGGACTGCGCACACGGTTCCCTGAATCTATGAAAAGATGTCGAAGACGTGGCAATGTTTATGTTGTACAACGGGTATAGTAAGTACGGTAAATCGTGTCCAAGCACTGTCAGGCTACCCAGTAAAGCCAATATGACAAACACAGAGAATAAATAAGTCCCGGAGACAGATGACGTCTATTTCTTCTGTATTGCGTTCACAAGCCTACGATTTTAAGGTTAGCCATAAAATCTCTCCAACTCTCGCGGAGAGAGCCGCGAGACAAAGATGAGACGAACCAGTCTAGCCCCTCCTCAAGACCTTCGCCCTTGGTCGCGCAACTTCCCCGTACACTCCATTGCCTCTCCTTCTCACCACCGGCGAGCCCGAGCTTTTCGCTGATGGTCTCTGGAGGTAGAGCTCCTGCAACATCTTGCTTGTTGCAGAAGACGAGCAGCGGGACGCCAGCAAGCTCTTCCTCGGAAAGCATGGTGAGCAATTCTGACCGAGACGTATCTAGCCGGTCGACGTCGGATGCGTCAATGACGTAGATTATCGCAGAGGTGTTAGGGAAGTAGCAACGCCAGTATGGTCTGGGAGCGGCGTATCGTCAGACCGGCTTACGAACGAGTCGTGGGGCTTACACACCGGATGCTGGACTGGCCGCCGAGATCCCACACTTGGAACTTGATGTTCTTATACTGTAGAGTAAACGTCAGCTCACGGCTTGGCCAAACTGAACAGTATGAGGCTACCTGCACAGTCTCTACATTGAAGCCGATGGCTGAGGAAGAACGCGTGAGCATCGCTAAGGTACTACAAGGAAGACAGACTCACTCGGGATTGTTGGTACGACTTCACCAATCTCATGGTGCACAGAATGCTTAGCTCATTGCAGACGAGCTTGAGAGAATGTCCCTCACCTGTAGACGGTAGAGAATCGTCGTCTGATACGCGCGCAGCGGATGGTCAGACCAGCAGCGAAGCTCCGAGCAAGGAGTAAGCAACGCACCTTCCCCGCGGCGTCCAAACCAAGCATCAATATCCGGACATCCTGGTCTTTGCTCCAGCGCACCAGCGACGAGAGAGACGTAAAAAGTGATGAGAACGAAAGACCCATGATGCAAATGCCGACCTAGAGACAGGGCAGGAGCGACCGAGAGAAAGGAACAGGAGGAAGCGACTCGTTTCCCTGGCTGACGGGAGCACCGTAGGGCGCTCGCACTTGTGCCGCGTAGCCATCACGCCGTTCCTGCCCCGCGCACGTGGCGATTTCTCTTCCGAGGCGCGAGGGAGCTCGGAGCCGCGTCGGTGGCTGAGTCTCCTGCAGCTTTCCTTGCCCTGCCAATTGTCCTCCCCCCCCACCATGTCCACTGCTTCACCAGACAAGCCGCCCAGGAAAAACAAGAAGAACAGAGAGCCACTGTCAGAAGCTGATCCATCCGAGAGCGAGAAGCCCAGGAAATCCAAGAAAGTGAAGGCAGACAAACCTGCCGCAACCTCCTCCGTCGACACGGACGCGTCGCACCCTCTTGTGGAACCTGAAAAGACGGAGAAGAAAAAGAAGCGCAAGCACGCAGAGGAGGAGGGCGCTGTAGATTTTTCGAAGAGCACGGTCTTGACGGAGGAAGCCAAGGAGAAAAAGAAGAAACGCAAACACGGAGAGGCAGCGGCTGAGAAAAGTGCGACTGGCGTTGAGGACGAGGGGGAAGACGGTGAAAGGAGGAGAAAGAAGAGAAAGAAGCACGCCGAACACCCAGACGGGGCGCATACTCACCAGAAGGATGCAAAGGGCGAGAGCAAAGCGGATGGTGACGTCGATGCAGAGGAGCGACCTGCCACTACGCTTAAGAGAGATAGGAAGAAGAAAGATAAGAAGAAGCGTATAGACGCGGACGACGGTGAGGAGGAGGAGGAAGGGGAGGGAGCTCCCAAAAAGAAGAGCAAGAAGAAGCGGAAGCGCAGCTCTGCGTCTGGGTTCCCTGACCCTACCGAGGATGAGTCGTTGAGCGAGCAGGCCCGTAAAGGTATGTCTGTCTGTGAATTCATATGGGTACTAGCCTGATGCGTTTGCCTAGCTCTGGAGTATGCCTTCACGCAGTTCGAAGACCCAGGCAGCTGGAAATTCCACAAGGCCAGGCAAAACTGGCTTATCCGCAACATCTGGTCCGAGGAAGCCGTAAGTCGTGATATGCGCACTCGACTGAGTATGTTCAATGTGTGAATAACGGGACTCGTCTCCAGATACCTGACACATACATACCACTGGCTACGCGCTACTTGCAAGGCGTACAAGGGGGCGCTCGGGAGGTACGCTATGTTCTCACAATCGGACTATCGTCCGTGGTTTTCCTTGACGGAAGGCAACCACAGACCCTCGTCAAGACGTGTCAAGAAGCGCTGCAGCCTCCTCAACTTTCCACAATTGACGAAAATACACTCGCGAGGGACGAAGCGTCGTCGAGCAAACCTGTGCAAACCAAAGAACCGACGGACGCGCCGTTGAAGACGAAGCGGACTGTAAAGTTCACGGTCGAGGGCGACAATGCACCTGCTGACTCGATCAACGACACGAAACGACAACGAGCAGCAACATTGCTCGCAGCTCTCACGTGACATCTTAGCAGCGATACAAGTACTCGATAGTAATCAGCTACGCTCTGTCAAATCTTCGCGTATTTTACTGTAACCTGCGTTCAATCACTATACGACAGCACGCAGCACACATCACACCACAAATGTATACCACATCTTCACCACACATCTTCATTCTCCTGTTTCGCGCTACACAGCCAGACGAGACATCTCGACAACGACGAACACTACACAACTACACACGTTCGTGAACAGCGAAGGAACGACAACGAACTATAGTAGAGCGAGTACAGATGTGCACTAAACGAGATAACCACCACCGCTCAGGCCGCCGTAGAAGCCGTGACTGACGCAGACTTCGAGATCGACGTGGCCAACGGCGGAACCGACACCGGGCTGGTAAGCGCATCGATGGGCGACGGAACGTACGGGCCAAGCAGGTCGTTGAACTTCTCGCGCGTCACGCGGACCGCACGCGGATCGATGACGCCCTTCTCTCCCTCACGGAGGACCCTCGGAGCGGTACCATCGAGCAGCCCGAGCTGCTCATCCGACCAGATCGGCTCAATGGGCTTGGGGTCGGCGAGACCAACACCAGCGCGGCCACCCTCCTTGCGCCAGTCCGAAGTACGCTTGCAGCCGAGTTCGGTGAAGACTTTGTCGACGGCATGCGCAAGACGTGCAATCTGATCCTTGTTGTGGCCTGGGGTGACAGTGAACCGGAGGCGCTCCTCACCGCGCGCGACGGTCGGGTAGTTGATGGCTTGCACGTAGATGTTGTACTTCTCGAGCAGGGTGTCCGACGCGAGCCTCGCCATGGCGGCGTCGCCGATAAGAACAGGGACGATGTGCGAGGGGCCGGGGACGACGGGGATGTCGAGAGCCTCGAAGCGGGACTTGACGTCACGGACGTTCAGCTGCTTAAGCTGCCTGTCGCCGTTGTACTCCTTCTGGTACGCGATACTCGCGCGGGCACCTGCCATATTTGCGGGAGGGAGCGACGTCGTGAAGATAAAGCCGGAGGCGTAAGACCTGATCATATCGACGAAGTCCGCGGAGCCCGCAATGTAACCGCCAACGGCGCCGTAAGCCTTGCCAAGAGTACCTGACAGGATGTGAGCACAATGATACGTCCAAAGTGAAGGAAACATAACTCACCAGTAATGATGTCAATACGATCCATGACCGTGCCGGGGATGGGGTCGGGGCTCTGACCAGCACGCTTGTGCGCCTCGTAGTCGAGGTGCTCAGCGACACCAGCGCCGCGAGGGCCGTAAAGCCCGACGGCGTGCACCTCGTCCAAGAAGGTGAGGGCACCATACTTCTTCGCCAGGTCGCAGATCTCCGGAATGGGACCAACGCTACCACACATCGAGTAGACGCTCTCGAAGGCGATGATCTTGGGAGTCTCCTTGGGGTACTGCGCCAGCTTCATCTCCAAGTCCTGCAAGTCGTTATGCTTGAAGATGACGCGCTTGGCACCGGAGTGACGCATGCCCTGAATCATGGACGCATGATTCATGTTGTCAGAGAAATATATGCATCCAGGGAGCTTTTGGCCCAGCGTCGTGAGCGTCGCGTCGTTGGCAACGTAGCAGGACGAAAAGACAAGCGCCGCAGGCTTGCGGTGTAGAGAAGCGATCTCAGCCTCGAGGGCCAGATGCATGCCGGTATTTCCGGCGATGTTCCGGGTACCACCAGCACCGTGGCCATAAGTGTTCAGGGTGCGACTGCCGATCGCAAAGAAGTTCATTGAGTCGGTAAGGTTAAACTCGCGAGAAGCCGAAGGCAGGAACACATACTGCATAGTCTCAAGAACGACGGGGTTGTTACCCATCCCGAGGTAGTCGTTCGCGCACCAGACCTCAACCTCATCCTTCGGGTCTCCGGTGTGGGCGATAGGGAACTTGTTCGCCTTGCGGTTGATGTTGTTGAAGTAGCGGTACGACGCATCCTGGTGCTTTTTCTCGAGCTCCTCGGCGTAGAACTTCTCGTAATTGAAGCCGCCAGTGGCAGCAGCGGGCTTGGCCTCGGAGGTCGACGGTACGCCAGGGGCGGCCGCGGCGTGGAAGGGACACCCGGCAGGCGCAGCGGCAGCCTTGAGAGCGGCCGCGGTAGCAGGGACCTTGGGAGCCTTACCCTTCTTTGCGCTCGCGAGCTCCTCGGCCATGCGAGCGGCCGCGAGGGCCTTGGACGCATGCGGGCACTTGGAAGCGTCGGCAGCGGTGGGCTTGATGCCCTGGTGCCCGGGGATCTTCTCGAAGTCGGCAGAGCCCGCGAGGGAAGCGTACCCGGCGACCACCTGGGTCGAGCGTATGGTGAGGGCAGGGCCCATGACGGGGCATTGCGTTGCCTTCTCGGTGAGCTTGGAGAGCGACGGGTAGCGAGGGCTCGCAGCGGTGTACATAGTGCGGATGGTCGAGCTCTTGGTGCGGCCGAGGTAAGGGCACGCGGCCTTGAACTTTGTGATGTTGGAGAGCTTGTCCATGACTGCTTGTTGATGCAGACAACGGACGGGACGGTATAGGGAGGAGGGGAGAAGAGGTGAAGTCAGAAGTTACATGGAGACCCCTGCCTCTTATGGGCATCGCCCGACCCCGAAATTGCCAGCGCATGATTGGCCCACGCAGCCCCTCTCACGGGATCGCCCTCCATGCCCGGGGGCGCTCGGCTTCAGCAGCCTCCCGGTGATGGTCCGTAACTATAACGAACCAATCGTATTCCCGGACGCCTATACAAGACCTCTAATGCGTACTTAGTACCTCCAGGCAGCTCGCAAGCACATCCATAGCATGTCCAACTTCTCCCGCACCGATGTTCAAGCTCGGTACTATTCTCACAGCATCCGACCCAGCCGTCAACAAAAGCACCCCGCGCTCCCGCGCCAGTTCTACGACCCGAGCAGGGTGACTTTTGTCCTTGAAGCCGAGGCCCAGGATCAACCCACGCCCGCGCACTTGCTCCTCCAGGATGTCGGGGAACCACTGCGCCAAAAACTCCAACCGCGCGCGCAGGTACGCGCCAGTCTCCTTGACGTTGGCAGTGAATACCTCGTCCGACAGCCGGGACAGGACATGGTAGCCCAGCGCGCAGGCAAGGGGAGAACCGCCAAACGTAGTGCCGTGTGTGCCTGTCGGTCCCACCACCGTGTATGAGCCTCCGTAAAGCTATGTATTCTCTGAGAATTTACTCACCGGCCGTCATCACCTTTGCGATCTCATCCCGCATGAGCACTGCACCAATCGGATACCCGTTCGCGAGCGGCTTCGCAGTGGTCACGATGTCAGGATGGCCGTCGATTGGGACGCCGGAATGGGCCCAGAGGCTACCAGTCCGATACAGCCCGCACTGAACACAACACGTTTCAGTCAACCGAGGCACTCATATGCATACGTGTAATGCAACTGTCGATCTAACTTTCGCACAAACGACGCCGCACTCCGCAGAGAATTCAATGACCGGGAACGTTGACTCACCTGAATCTCATCATAGATCAGCACCGCGCCGACCTCGTCGCACCGCTTCCTGAGAGCCCGAAGCCAATTCACGTCCGCCGCGTGGATGCCGCCTTCTCCCTGGATCGGCTCGACGATGACTGCGCACGTCTTCTCTCCCACCAGGCTCTCCAAGCCCACGGCGTCGTTCAGATGACCGACCCTCACACCCGGTATGAGGGGCGTGAACGGCTTCTGGTATTTTGGATTCGACGTCACGCTCAACGCTCCCATGGTTCGCCCATGGAACGCGTTCGCGAAGCACACGATCTCGATCTTGTCGCAGGACGGGTCGTCCTCCGGCTTTCCTGTCGCAGCCGCCCAGCGCGCTTTCCCGACTTTGCGAGCCACCTTCAGCGCACCCTCGTTCGCCTCCGTGCCCGAGTTCGAGAAGAAGACTTTGGCGCCGCTCGTGCCGTCAGTGAGCGCATGCGAGCTGCCTGGCGCGAAGCCCAATCCGCCTTCTTTTTGGGTAAGCGTGATGAGGAGCTCTGCGAGCTTCCCGGCTTGCTCGTGGTGGTAAACGTTGCTCGTATGAAGCAATGTTCCTGCGTGCGTCTTTAGAACCTATACGTGCAAGATGGTCAGCATCCAACACACGTTAAGCACCAATAGTGATCGGCCTATTGCACAAAGCTACCGAGCGTGATTTCGAGAGCTCGCTCGAATGGGTGACTGTTCCAGAAATGCCCTTTCCTGCACCATGACCACGGAGCCGTTATAATCCTGTACGCCGAGCAGCAATACGCGCACACGACCCACGACCCAAGTAACGTTCCCAAGAGGAACAAGGCTGGCCCAGTTGCCACAATCCTCTCGGGCCGGAGAAAGGCAAAAGCAGCTCACCTCTACAAGACCCTCGTCCCCGTGTCCCAGTGCATTCACCGCAATCCCGGCACTGAAATCCAGATACTCGCGTCCATTCACATCCCACACGTATGCCCCCTTCCCCTTAGCCAGGACAACGGGCGGGCGAGCGTACACGGGGAGGATGTACGCGTTCGAGCGGTCGATGATCTCCTTGACCTTGGGCGTGATGGACGCGGGGTCCTCAGGGTGGGTGACCGCAGTGTATCTAGTCGACGGCTTGTCGGGTAAGGGAACATCGCCCATAACCTACGTCGATGCGGAAAAACTGACCGTGAGTGCTTGGACGTGGTATAAGGACATTCACACCGTACCTGCGTGGCCATGCATCGCGCTCCCAGAGCGCGTTTTGCACTACGGGCCAACGTCCGCGGGGCTTGACGAGTGATGGCACGCATCCTCAAGTAGCTGCTTTGCTGGCGTTGGGGAGGAACCCGTAGGCGGCTCGTCTAGCGGAGATTTGAAGACGGTAAAAAGACCGCGGCGATCGTCTTGACTGAAGCTGGCGAGTCATGGGTGGAGGCATAAATGTGCCGGCGCTCAGGTAGTCGCGCCGGTCGATAGACAGAATCTTATCTGATAAAATCTCGAAATCTAACAACGCGGTCCACGACCAAAGCGCGTAAATCCCGCCAGTGCTGCTGCGCACTCTCACTGCATAGAAGCATGGATCGCATACATTCCTGAAAAAGCGTGAGGGCACTATCGTACAACTAGGACGTAAAATGAACTGAGAAGAGTCGAATTTCACCCGAATGCCTTGTCACGATGAGCCGCTTGACGCTCGATATTCAATCCCTGCTCCGACTCGAAGCGGAACTGACAGACATAGAAGAGTCGCTCGAAGATGACCGCCCGCGACGACGTGGTCCACGGTCTCCAGCCGGAGGTGGCGAAGGTGAACGCGTTGCAGGCATGCCCCTCGAGCGGGGCGGCGGAGAACGATCACGCCGCACAGGCGACCTCGAGCGGGAAGGCGAGCGTGAGGGCGATCTGCGGCGGGAGTCCCGGCCATACCGAGGAGGCGAACGAGGCGGGTAGGGTGGAGGCGACTGCGATAAGCCACGTTCACCACGGGACGGTGGCTCGACAGAGCCGGAGCGTTTCGCGCGCGGAGGCGGGGAGGGCGAGCGTGACTCAAACCTACGCCTAGTGCGAGGAGGGGGCGAGGGTGGCGAGCGCGAGGCGCCACGGCGGCGAGGTGGAGAAGGGGAACGCCTGCGTCGGTAATCGCGGTCGTCATCCGGAGACGGTCCACGACGGGGGCTTCTGCTCCTGCTGCGACGGTCACGGTAGTCCCTACCACCGCGATCGCGCGAAGGTGGAAGGGGCGGCGGTGGCATCGTATCCCTGTCCCTCCGGGAGTAGCCTTCATCTCTTTCCTTTCTCCTCCTATCCTCTTCCCGCCGCCTCAAGCGGTCCCTCTCCTTGCGTTCGGCCTCCCACTTCTCCTTCTGCGCCCGCATCTTCGCTCGCTCCTCCTCTCTTTGCTTCTCCCTTTCCTCCCTCTCTGCCATCCTGCGAAGTCTCTGCTCCTCTTGTTTCTCCCGGTCAAAGGCGTCTCCCTCGTGATAGTCGCTGCGTGTGCCCAACGCGCGAGCCATTTTGTTCAACTCGTCCTTCTTCGCAGCCGCAATGCCGTGCGTGTCAGAGGGCTTGAGGGCCTTAGCATTTTGGACGAGGGCGGAAGCTTCCGCAAGCAGCTTCGTCCGCAACTCATTGACTTGCTCTTCGATCTTTGCTTCATCGAGGCTACAGGAAGGCACGGTTATAATCGCGCTACACAACGCACTGTGAAATGTGGACATACCCGTCCTCCTCCAGTTGAAGCTGCAGCTCTAGACACTTCACCTCCACCTTCCGTTTCCTCTCATGTTCCAGAATCTCTGCATCGGGCTCTCTGTGTTTAGGTGGAGCTACGTCCCATGCACCGGCGCGGTCTTGTGGACCCTGGTAGCTACGCAATGTGGACAAGTTCCGTACCACGTATCCATTGGTGCCACTGAAGGAAGAGGTCAGCGTTGACACAGTGCTGATCATGCAGCCTGACTTACCTTCCGCGGGGAGTTGTGAGGCCTATTCCGTTGTACATGACTGACGACCTCGAGTGTTTGGAAGAAGTTGATTGTCCAGTGTCGAGTGCTTGTAAGCGCTTTAGGGACGCGTGAGAATATGCAGGCAGAAGCCGCCTGACACAAGCGCCAGCGAGAATCGAGCACCCTTGAGAGTACGATCCCGACTCGTCAGAGCAGCGACTATGGACTCGGCTTCCTCTGAGGCAAGCATCAGGTACCGGTCTATCATCCACGTAATTAATGAGAGGATTTTGCGCGAACGCAAAGCATGTGGCCAGCCTCCCTTCATAAAGCCCGCCGCCCCTCACCACCGTACCGTTGCCCTTCAAGTCGAGCTCGAGCACTGGTATCAAAGATACCAGGTTTCTACCGAGCCCCCCGTAGTTGCCTCCGTTCTCGATCGTATTGTATCTCGCGAAGAAGCAGACCCGCCCGAAGGGCCCGACGCGCCCCACCTCACCTTCCAGTACAAGGGTGAGATAGCTGTGTATACCAGGGAAGTATACGAGGTCTTTTCCGATGATCACGGTATTACATCGATGCGTACTCCGCGACGCCTGCTGGCGGAAAACCCTGTGGTGAGATGGTTAGCCCTTGTTCGTATCGCTCATGCGTTCATTCATGTTTGTGCACGTACAACGTCAAGCAGGATTATTCCATCGGCAGCTTCATCGTCAAGAGCCATCTGGGCATCGAGATACCCTTTGAGATCAGCTCCATCCAGAGGTCAAGGGCGGGAATCTCCAAAGCCATCTCGGGCCATCCAGTGTCCGCCGACATCCTATACTTTCGTAGTTCCGCAGCCTTGAAGATGGTGATTCTGAAGGTATATTGCGGTCGAGCTATGCAGTGAACAAACCGTTGATATGTGTCTCGACACTTTGCCACCAGGATGCGGATGAGCACGTCGTCATTTCTACACATGCTGAACCGTTTTTCGCAAAAAACAACACCATCACTATACCGCAGGAGAACCCGATTGTGGATGTTCTAGGGTTTATACTACGCACCCTCTCACAGACTGATCCCACCCAGACGTGGGCGGTCAAGGTCGACATTGTAAGCTCGATACATTGTGTTCTGGTTCACATCCTCATTTATAGCTTTCCTCTCCCAGGCCCCCTACGCTTGCGATGGTCGGGCAATCACAGTGGGCATATGTGGCGGCACTCGTGTCTCTAACCCACACCTAGCTCTAGTGCCTCAAGGAGAGCATTCTGCCGCTCCCGTCGTAGATGACCGCTCTCTACAAACCTGAAGCAGAAGTTACAGGGAAAGAGGTGGCCGGTGATTGTTTTCGTCGCTTAAGAGGGCTTTCAGGCCGTAGCCGAAGAGCCACTCACAGTTGGGCCTGCCCACATATTCTATCCCGTGTCTCCTGACGAAGTGCATCGAAATGTCACGTTCGACAATTCAAGCAACCTACGAGCTGAGTTTGCTACCCTTCAGAACATGTCTTGCAAGGCGTCCATTGCTTCGGAAACGCTCGACAAAAATGTCTTCAGTCACTGCGTCTTCTATATCATCTTTTCGGATCTACATTCGGAGTTTGGCTGCATGGGTCATACAACGCCGCTGTATATCTAGGAAATACAGATCCTGGGGTCATAACGTATCCTTCTACACAGAGATGCTCTAATTGACACATTTCCAAGTATTATAAGTTATGTTGCCTCGCGTCCGTAAAGAAAGGGTCCGATTGATAACGCTGGTAGCTTGGGCGGGCTAATGACTTGATAGCGACACGCTTGTCAGTCTCGATGTCTTCGATCAGAGCCTCTGCGGATGCAATGAGTTAAGAGGGATTGGAATGCTCCACTGCTCGAAGGCCCACCTCGCGAAACGTAGTCAAGCTCTGGTCGAATATAGCCTAGGACCATGACCTTCAAGTCATGCCCGTAGAAGTCACCGCGAAAATCATGCATGATATGGATCTCCTGAATTGAGCAGCCGGTCAGCGAAGGCCCGTGATTTCTAGGCTATAGTACTTACTGCCGACATCTTCTCGTTCTTATAGAACGGATTCCACCCAAGGCTCATTACCATCGGGAGTACCCTCCCGTCCTCTTCAGCAAGGACAGCCTTCCCATCTTTCTCTCTTGAGACCTGAGCATAGCCATAGTATACACCAGTCTCTGTGACAGAACTCATAGGAACGATGCTCTCATCGGGCAAGTTCGCTGCATGGACAACAGTGGGTCTAGGGCATTCCGCGCTGATCAGTAGATGAACCGGCTTACCAGTCGGGCAGCCCAGGTCCTTCCCACCCCTCCCGAAGCCTCGCTGCACCGCGCCTGACATGAGGATCGGGAAGGGCTTCTGCGGCACATCTGGGCCCACTATATCCGGGCGAGTTGCACGATAAGCCTCGGTGCCATTGAGTACGGCTGGTCTCTCTTCGAAGCCCATCGTTTGTACAACGGTTATTAGTTGGGGAGTGATAGAGAGACGACGAGAAGAGTAAAAGCGGTAAAGATACGGTGTGCGCGGGATATCGGGAGACTTATAAATAAGGACAGAAAGATGACTGTGGCCAAGCTCGGGCGCGTGAGTACTAGTGCAGCTGCCTCAGCTGCGCGCAAGACGGTGCCGAGATTACCGGAACGATCCAGACATCTACCCCGTCGGCGCTTACATAGACCCGAACGCGCGACTTTGCTTCCGCCACCATGGCTCACCACTATCCTCCGCACGCTCAAACGGCACCGGGCTATCAGCCATATCCTCCTGCTGCCTCTACATCATCATATGGCTACACCGCTGGCTACTACCCAGGCTACTCGCAACGCCCTGGAGCAAATGGCTACGCATTCGATCCTGGAGCCGCAGGCGCGTCGGCTTACGCGCATGGAGGACCAGCGACTGCGCCGGAGATACCTGGAGTCTCCGCTCAGCTCGCTTCCCAAGCTCTACAACGTCTGATATCCTTGGAGATGCGCGATGCTGGTTTTGAATCCGCAGAGGGCGGGGCAATGAGAAGGCTGGAGCTGGAGGTGGCCTCATGTGAGTTCCCGTTGACCCGTGAATATGGTTGATCGCTAAATGGCAACATAGTCATCGAGCAACTCTACGAGCGCGCGCATGAGTATGCCAACCTCGCTAACCGCGCTAAGCCTGTTATCACCGATGTCATGTCCGCTTCGGAGGATTACAATCTGGAGCTGAGCGAAATACGTCGTCTGACCAGGAAGTCTCGTAAGAGGAAGCGAGGTACGTCTCTTCATCGAATGTTCAGCTTCTCCATCCAGTCTGAACTATGTTCAAGCCGGTGAAGGACCGATCACCTTATTACCGCCGCCATCGCGTACTCCGTCGCCCGACTTACTCAGCTCTGATGACGAGAGTTTACCACCCACAATCCCTGTGACGCTACGACCGCTTCCCCATTATGTACCTCCATTGCCCCCAAAGCATACATTTCTCAGGACGCCGGTGAGTTTCAACTTTCGGTATGTATTGCTAGATTTTGCTGATCAAGTCGACATGCATTCCAGATATCTCCCCCGAAGAAAGCCGCATTACCGTCTCTGGAGAAGAAACTCAAAAACGCAGCCCTCGTACAAGAATCCCTCAAGAACCTCTTGCTTGCTACGGAAGACAACACAACCGAGGACGCCGAGCTGCTGGGAGCGACTGTGAACTGGGAGGCCACCACGCATCCTCGCAAGCGTTGGAAGTTGTCATGAGGCTTCATATCACATTATCCCCTTCTATAATGCCCTATACTGTAAGATACCATGTTGTGCCAATGCTGTCCTGTTGTCGAACTATCGGAATCCAAGACGAGCTATTATTCAAGTATCCGCCTCCTCCAGTTGTGAGTCTCGGCGGGATGCTTTATTAACAGCCCTTGGCGGTTGCCGCCTTGTGGGCGTAGACACAGACGATCTCTCCTCGGAAGGTGCGATCGTTGAGGTTCCATGGCCTGATGAGCTTGGCGGTGTGGCGATGTTGTCTTTCACTCTACTCCGCCGAGGCGACTTACCACGTCCCCTCCCCCGTCCGCGTCCTCTGCCTCTCCCCTCTCCCCTCCCTCGTCCACGTCCTGGGGTCGTTGGAGTACTCTCTGTCTCAGACTCCGCGATCTCATTTGGCTGAGCATCTTGTGTGCTGCCCGAAGTGTCTTCCAAGGTGGCGTCCTTTTGGGCTCCTTCCTGCTCTGTCGACGCGGCGGTCCATTGCACAGCCGGGGGAGGCGAGGGGGGCACCGTTCGTCGTCGTTTGCTCGGCTGCGCATCCTCTCCTTCCACAGATAGCTCAGGCTGTGCCTGCTGCTGGGGCACCTCCGTAGCCTGCCGCTCTGGCTGACCTGCGGCTGGTACGTTTGCGGCGCTTGACTCGCTTGCGCGTTCCCCGATATCCTCTGCGAGGGCAGTCGGTTGCTTACGGCGTGCTCTAGGTTTCGGTTTAGGCTTCGCCTTGGGAGCAGGGGCTGGGACTGAGGCCGAAGCGGGTGCGGGGGCAGGTGTCGCAGCCGAGGACTGAGAGTGATACGTATCAGGATGCAGGATGAGGATCTCAGGGGTCCCTTTGTCTGCGGGGGTCGAACGACGAGACGGGGCGGCGCTCGCCGCACCTGAAGGGCCTGGGGACGCCGTACCGGCCTTCTTCCGCTTCACGAGCAACGTGTAACGCATCCGACACTGCCATAACCATCAGTATCAGAAGTTACAGGCTGTGTGCACTTCTGGAACACTCGTACCATGTTGTCAGTGCGGCCAATGTTCAACACGCGGCTGACCTCCTTCCACTTGCCCTCGCCGACTTGCTCGACGACCTTCAGGAGAGCGGAGTCCTGGTCCTCCGTCCACTTGCCCTTCGTCACGGTGGGGTTCAGGTACTCTTGGTACCTCTCACGACATTGCTCGTTATTGCGGCCCTCTACGAACGCCGCGACGTCGATCCAAGCATGTCCAAAGGCAGCCACCGCACGGCGCAGCTGCTCGTCTTCGTCAGGGGCCCACGGTCCTCGTCTGAGAGTAGGGTCGAGAGTCCTCAGGTAGCGGCCTTGGCATTGAGCCGCCGTGGCGTCCTCCGAGACCGCCCGCGCCACTGTGGCGCAACGTTAGTTAGCATGCTTGGATGCGAAAAGAGGGAAAAAGCAGACATACCGAGGGCCCAACTATCGGTCCCATATGCATCGACGGCCTCCAACAGGCGTTGATCCGCATCGGGAGTCCATGTATGGGTCCTTCGAGGGATGGCGTGCCGCATGCAATCCACAGGGGTGCGACCGGTCTGGTCACAACGTGTCAGCGAGCCCATGACAGTCGTACTCACGAGTTTGAGAACATACTCCGAGCTTTTCAGCGATCTTGACCCAGTCGATCTCGCCTTGGCGCGCGTCGCCGACAAGCTCTCTGACCTTCGTGATCTCTGACTGCGGCCACTGAGCGTTATTGAACTGCGGGTGGCGCTCGCCTAACCAGCGAATCTCACATTCTCTAGCTGTCCGTTGCACCGTTGTGCTCGCAAAAGACACCTGCCGAGCCGTCGTGAGCTGAAGTAAGAAGATCGCCTGTTTATGATCCATACCTTTTGTGCGACGCGCTCCCAGTCGATTCCTTGCTTGTTCATGCTGAAGTCCGGAGGCGGCTCGCTCGCGGCCAGAAAGGAGGACAGACCCCTGCGTTGCAGGTTAGCTGGTCTCATGGACTGGGATGCGAGCCAAAGCGACCCTACCGTGCTTGCGCCTCCAATGCATGCAAACGATAGTTTTCGGAGCGCACAGCTTCAGCGAGGGCATCGAGTTCTCGAGCATTCACTGCAGCGATATATTATCAGCACCAAATTGAGACCGTCACGGACTAGACACACTTGGATGGGAAACCGTGAAGTTCTCGTAACGCTGTCGCCTCGCAGCTACGTCATAGAATGGGGAGTCCTGTCCAAGTTATATATACAGGCTTCGCGCACCCTAAATAGAGCTTACCTCGTCCGTCAGAAGACTTGATGGAATTAACCCTCTGGGCCTGACCGCACCGGGAATGTAGACGTCCCCTCCTGAGTTCACCGTCAAAAATCCTTCGTCCTCATCATCCGAAATTTCTGTAGCAGCCTGGAAAGCATTCTAGTGAAGTGTCTCGCAATGTGCAGTCAGGACTACTCACGAGAAGCTTGTCCAGATGTTCTAGCTCCGCCTCCAAACGTTCGGTATAGACTTTGAGCGCGTACTGGTGCTCCTTGTTGGCTTGGACGGCGGGCTGCACTAGGACCCTGGGGTCTCTCGAAGTACTTGGATGCATAATGGGCCCTGTCAATGCATATGCATCACGCGCCCTCTGCTATCCTAGATGCGTATAGCAGCAAAGACAGCCAAATGGGAGGGATCGACGTCGAGGGTCGCGGAAAGCGAGGAGACGCCCAGAGACATGACGTGCGCGCTTGGATTGCCTCGCGTCGCTCCGAAGCTTGGCCTCAGCCTTAGCTTGCTGTCCACCACCTCCAGCAAGTACTCTCCCGCCATGGCGAACGCCTCGGCCAAGCGCACCGGTGCGTCTCCCTAATCCTCTTGTCTTATCCTAGCACGCAGCTGCTCACATATACTCTTTTGACTTGTAGCGCAACAAAACGCAGGCACGATCAAGAACCTCCGGCTCGGGCTGCTCGTCTCGTGCGCGCTCTCGCTCCTCCTCCGCCTGCTCTTCAACCGCGCCGCGCTCCACCCGACGACGCTCGCGTTCTGGGTGTACGCGCTCTCGCTCGTCCCCTCCGTCTTCCTCTCGCGCTACCTCGAGCGCATCGGCTCCCCGCGGCGCGACCCGACGACAGGCACCCTCATCTCCGCCGGGGAGGACCTGTCCCGCCCGGGCATCTTGGAGTGGTGCTTTGACGTCGTGTACATCACCTGGGCGTGCCAGGTCGGCAGCGGTGCACTGGGGACATGGGTGTGGTGGCTATATCTCGTCGTGAGTCGTCGATGCTCTCCTCCTATGACGGGTGAGCAGGCAGGTGCTCACGCCGTGTCCGCAGATACCGTTTTATGCTGCCTTTAAGCTCTGGAGCGGGGTCATTTCGCCATACTTCCTCGGTCGCTCTGGAGGCTCGTCGGCACCCGCAGAGGGCGAGGTCGACGCCGGGAAGGAGACTTTGAGCAAACGCCAAGAGAAGCTCCGCAAACGGAATGAACGTGGCGACCCGCGGGTACGTGCCCAGACGCGAAACTGACCGCGACCTAGATGTACCCTCTGCCTCATCTGCCTAAAAATGTACCACAGATAATATTGCATATCTCGAATGCCAAAGACTGTTGTTCATCACTGGCGACCGTCATCTGACCTCTACGCTGCTTCACGGGCGACTTCCATCCCGGGCTGATTGTGGTATTCGCAGCGCACCAATATGCAGAGAACAACAGATAAGATTCAGCGATGGTATGTTACAAACGTTTCTAGACACAGTGCGAAAGTCGTCCCGTGGAGGGCGGTCATGCGACATAACGGTTCTACTATGCTACCGGGTAGGATATCCAATAAGGGTCAGCTAGATGTGGGGCTGATTTAGGGAGCCAGGTTGTACAGAGATCGGCGATACATTAGTTGACCTCAGCACCAGGAGCGTCAGCCTGTGGACATTCGTAACATAGGAGGCGCGCAGCCAAATCTTCCCGGCCTAGAGTTCAGGCGCACCGCGGTAGGTGGGGTTCTGGTTCGCGCTGATGCTAGGCTGGTTGGGACCGTTATTGATAAGAGTGTGCTCCGTGGCGGGGTACCCGGTCGATGCATGCGCAGAGGTTGCGTAGGGATCTACGGTGGGGAACGTGCTCGGGTCGTTCGGATCCTGAGTACGGCAACAACGCAGGCCCCCATCAGTCGAGCTCGCAGAATCTATCTAACCAGAAGACTCACGTAGAGCTTGGCGTTCGACATCAGCGGCTGAGCCGAGTCGGGGACGGCGCCAGGCGACTTCTCTGCGTATTGCGCCTCGCCATAGGTGTTGCCGTACTGCGCGTACTGGCCGTAGTCTCCGCCCGCAGTGAGGTCGATCGGGCCCGTCGGCTGGTTCTCCCTGGCGTTGCGACGGTGACGGAGGATGAAGAACAGGACGAGGCCAATCAGAGCGAGACCGCCGATCCCACCAACGACGCCACCGACGATGGGACCGACGTTGGACTTCTTCGAAGAGGTTCCGCTGTTGCTGTTGCTGCCCGAGTTGGGTGCGCCGTCGGAACTCGATGTCTCAGTGGGCGGCGCAGTCAGAGTGGCCCCGTTCGAGGTCGATGAGGGAGTGCCGGACGCAGTGGACTCAGGAACGTCTGGTGAAACATGGATGAGTGCACCGTTCGGTTTACATCAGTGATGTTCCTTACTTTGCGCAGCGACGGCTTCAGCTTGTACAGGGTTGAAAGTGTTATTTGTCTGCCAGGCAGGCGTGAGACGGAGAGCGGCGGCAGGCGGGAGAGCCACTGACCGTGATGTCAAGGTACGCCCATGCAGGGACGGCCGTGCCAACAGGGATGTTCTCGGGATACCTTAGCAAAATTGGTAGTAAGTCGTATATAGCGTAGTAGTGGTTCGGACCGAACTCACTGCTCTATGTATACTGTCGAGCAATTCTGTTGGTATGTCGACCATCTGTGTAGAGGATAAGGAGGCAATCGCTGGGAAAAGGTATTACACCCACGGCACGATGAACTCCTCCTGGCCTTGGCATGTCGCACAAGCAGCGATGGTCGAGAACAAGACGGTATTGCAACGGCAGGGCGTCGCGCTACTCGGGTCGTCCAAGGGCGTGTTGTAGTGGAATCCGGGCGATAGTGGATATACCCAGGACGCTGCCGCATGGTGAGGACAGCTATTTGTCGTACTGGCACCCAAACTCACCAGCTGGCGCAGAGCAGGGCGTGAAGAGATAGGAAGAAACCAAACACGGACTCTGGCCCTTCGAGTTTGTCATCTACGCGTAGCAATTAGCGATTATCATGCGACGGCAAGCTGGAGACGGCTCACCCAATCGAAGCCCGAGTTACAGACTGCATTGGTGCCCTGCGCAACCGCTCCTGGGATCCGGCTCGCAATCGAGGCGACGAGGGGGATGAGGAGGAGGGCAGACATGGTGGTGGCAGCGCAGAGGGGAGGGAGGACAGCGGTCCCATCGGCTGTGTGGTATATTACATCGATGGGCGCCGACGGGCCTACATGCTAACGTGAGGCGAGCCCGTTGTATTTTGCTTTGCGGCTGAGGGACTGGGCGGGACATGCTGTGCCGCCCTCGACTCATGGGGAAAGGTGCATGGCGCTGCCTGCTAACGCTGTCAATCTACTCGACCCAATTTAGGTAAATGCCGTGCCTCGCTCTCCCAATCACTGACCCTCGATCTGCTCCTCCCTCACGTAATCCAGCGTACTTCCGGGGCCGCCCTAATTAGGCCACTAAACAACGCGTATACAACGCGCCCTTCTCTCCACCCCAGACCACATCCTGTGTGCCGGGCCTCGCATCATTGATACATTCCACAGCAAGGCTCCAAGGTCATGGAACATCCGGACTCAGAACACTGTCTGCCGCACTCGACGGGGGTGAGAGCAATCACGTCCAGAATTTGGTGGCGTTACCATCGTACTCAACGACCCTGGCTGGCAGGCAGAACTTTCACCAGGCAACGGCGTCACTGCAACGATCGGCGAAGTCACCGACCCCCTTACAAGCACTTCTGGTGAATATATGCGCCCCGACCTTGTACAGCTCGAAGATGTCCCTTCTGTGGGGGCACAGGTCGTAGTCACGGGCACCGAGGGACCCGCATACATCCCGACAGATCATCTTGGGGAGCCCGCCGATCCATTACAATCAAGCTCGGGCCCGACGCCGACGCCGGTCACGTCCGCATGTATTGAGCTATCCTCTCTCGATGCTGACTCGCATGCGGACTCCGGGGCATCCGACGTGTTGTCTGAAGTTATAACGAACGCCACGGTCATGTGTTCTGACGAGCCATCATCCACAGCCGCTGGGTCTAATTCAAATACGGCATCGCAGGAGGGCTGTGAAGATGTCACTGTGAGCCCTTGCCCCCTGCCCGCCTCATCAAGTCCCAGCGAAGTTCCAAAACTTCTTACCACCGATACCTCGAGGACTGACGATGCTACTGTATCCATTTGCGTCTCCGACTTCTCCACGACTCCGAGCGCATGTCGCCAATCGCCTGCGCCTGCTGACTTGACTGATACGACAGTCGGCTCAGAGCCGACTGACGAGTTGTCCGAGGACATCGGGAAGCGTGTCAGGCTCGAGGACCTGGACCACATGTCCTCGGATAAGTCGACCGTTATGCCGTCGCTCGTGTCTGTGGTCTCCGCGGACTGTGCTTCCTCAGCTCCCCTGCCGGACATGCCTATCCCCTCGGCTACCTGCGAGACTACTTCTGCTGCTGAACTTGCCGGAGAACCCTGCCAATTTGTTCTGACAGTCCCGCCCGCTCTGTCTCCGTCCCAGGATGCGGCTTTGACCTCGGCGCCTCTCACTGGCGACTCCTCTGAGGACGATATACCTGCCGCGGCAAGCGACGTCGCCAATACGTCTATGGGCCATGCAGACCTCTACGCTCATCAGTTCACCAACGAACTCTCCCAGCCGTCGATTCCACCTGCTAATTCTGCCTCCCTCGAGTCGAAATCGTCAGATCTCAATGCGCGAACTGGTCTGGACAGTCCTCGCGAGTTAACTCTACCTCCCGGAGGCCTTGGCTCGGATCCCCCGCTTGCGTCTATGCGTGTTGGAATTCCGCATGACCTTACGACCACTGGTGATGAAGTGTCAATGTCTGGGTGCCCCTCTTCGCCTGGCCTGCTGTTATCTCAGATTTCCAGTCTGTCGCTGGACGCCAATGAATTTGGAGGAGCCGGAGATCACAACGAAGACGCCAACAAGCTCGACTCTGGGTCAATGTGTGCAAGAGACTCTGCTTCGCTACCTGAAGTCGAAGATGCTGTCCACTCGTCTGCTATAGACTGCGTTACTGCTTGTCATGGATTCTCCCTTCCCTGCGAATCTTTACCGGCCGAGGACAGCACTTTGAGCGTGATAGCATCTTCGCCACCTTCTTCGAGCCCACCTTGTCCGTCCTCATCCCAGCCACAGTCACTCTATGACACTCCGCCCTCTTCCAGCCCTCCAGTAGAGGCGCCCTGGGATGTCGATTGCGGCCTGACAAGCTCGTCGACGACTCAAGTGGACGTATCTGCTAGTCTAGGTACCACGTCCAAGCGAGCGCTCGAAATCGACGAAAGTGACGACGAACACAGGCCCCGGAAGAGAACGGTATGGCAATCCACATGATCCTATAAGCACTTTTCTGACCGATCTTGCAGAGGTCGGACTCGGTGTCCGACCGCAGCCCTCCACAGCCGATTCGTCCCACTCCCGCATCGCAAGCGAAGCAATACAAAAAGCTAGCCGCTCCCTTTCGCTCCCCGGTCATCAAGGGGCCTCTGGTTCAGGGCGGACTACACGCGGTGTACGCCTCTGGCCGTGCTGCGTCCATGGTTGTCCGTAAGCTGCCTGAGGACGAGAACATCGCGAAGCCCGATGTCTCCGTGGAACCCGCGAGTCTCGTGGCGAACAAAGACCGTACGGCGAAGGCCGCGAAACAATTCAAGTCTCCGGTGCAGCCCACCAGCCCCAACACCGTTACCTCTTCCAAGTTCACTCCCGCCTCGGGTACGTTCTCGCGCATCGGGGCGGCACCTACTATACAAGCCCTTCAGGGCCAAGTACAGACGCTCAAGCAGGCCATCAAGATCAAGAACTCGGGTGACAGGGACGAAGATCAGGTTCTCGAGCAGCTCGTCGAGAAGTGGACGGAGGTCGGGAGAGAGGTTGCATGGGCAGTCTGGGGCTATGTCAAGGACCTCGATCCCGGTCCTGGCGAGCAGCAGAAGAGCGGGTGGTTTGCTGACGAAGACGAGGTCAAAGCTGGGCGGAAGAGAGGATTCGACTCGAATTGGGGATATGGTGAGGAACCTGCTCGGAAAAAGGGCAAGACAGAGAGCGATGCGGAGGCTGAAAGTACTGAAGATGTGGAGCCGCCGGTTGTGCAGCATACCGTAGGTGTCATGTTGCGGCGTCTGGGGATTGACCCGGACACACTGGGGTGGAACGAGGACGAGGGGGACTTCGTTGACGTGTGACTCCCTGCCTTTCGTACTTGTTGCTTGCCCCGTCGCTCTATACTCAGTCGCAAAATCATTTCTGATACTCGAGACTGCTAGTCGTACATTCTTGTCCATTCATCCCCGTTCTGCATGGTATTTTTACTGCTACCCATGGAACTCTTGAATGTCGCGACGAATCCTGCCAGAGATGGATGTGGGCTCCCTACCAAGGAGCCATCGGGCTATGTTGTTGGAACCTGGGATTCCCCTAAATATCCCGCGTCAGAGGGGCTCTATGCTAGGACACCCACTAACAATCGGACCAACCTTCTATCGTAGTAGAATAGCATCCGACTCAAACCCTCTGTTCCGTAGTCACTTGCGATATTGAGATGCGTTGCGCCCTTGCTCATAACCTGATCCCGCAGAATTGACTCAATCTTGATGTCCTTCCCTGCCGCCGTGGAGATCTCTCGTGCGACGTCCTCGAAAGTTGCGTTCTCGCCAACGAGGTCGTACCGCGCGCGATTGTGTTGACCAGGGCTGAGGATGACAAGGCGGGCGATCTCGGCGAGGTCTTGGAGGTCGAGGTAGCCCTGCAGTGTCTTGGGGTTATACATCGCAGGGAGGACGCCCGTTGAGACGGCCCGTTCGAGATTGAAATTTTGCATGAGGGAGGACGGCTGGAGGATCGTGAAGTTGAGGCCGGACTCGATCAGATGTTCCTCGACGCTATCGAAAGGGGAGTGTAAGCGCATCGCGCGAGGCGTGTGGCAGTCTAGACCGCACACGCACTAGAACTTCGCCTTGTGGTTGACCATCTTCGTCAGCACGGAGTAGAGCACGCTGCAGTACACGAAGTGCTTCACGCCCGCCTGTTTCGCAGCGTCGATCAGGGCGATGCCCATCGCGCTCTCGAGCGCGTGGAACGCGGGCCCGTTGTGGAAGACGATGTCGACGCCCTTAAGCGCAGGCGGGAGCGTGCTCGCCTCGAGGTAGTCCCCGAGCGCGAACTGTCCGGGAGTTCCGGGTGGCGCTCTTTGAGTTTCTTGACGGCACCTTGGGATCGCACGAAGAGGCGGATGTCCGACGGAGGGACGGACTTGGACTCGAGGAGGGCGCGGAGGACATAGCCGGATGTGCGCCCTGCGGCGCCCGTGATGAGTATAGTGGGCATGGCTTCCTGGAGCTGTATTTGCCATGCATGAGAGATGTGAGAGTGCCCGTGGAAGGATTGTGGAACGCACATCAGTATGTCTTGGAAGATACGCTTATAGGAAGTACAGGGCAGATGAGAGCACTATATATGCCGTGGACACAGTCGCTCGATGAGGCAATCGGAACTATAGCTGATTTGATAGCTTATAGAGCGGACAGTCACCGGCGCAGTACTCTGCTGCTCTCGCGGAATCTATAGTGGGACGTACTTGTCAGGAGCAAGGCGTCAAGCTATGGGCGAGTCGGAGTTAGCGTGGGTGCCGATGACGTACCGCGTGAGCCTCTCCTCGACGCAGGCAGTATATGCTCGTATTGGGAGGGGATGGAATTGTCCCGGGCTGTTCCTGCTAATATGGAGGATGTTTGGTCGCTGTAAAGTTGCTTGGAGCGCACGCATTGTTGTGAGCAACACTCATAACGACCACTAGGATCAGAAGCCACATATCAGGAGCAAGTTCTCCAACTGCATCTTGGACCACGGCGGCGTCTTGACGGACCTGAAGCAACGCTTTGGATCGAGTGCTGGATGATTGATACACGTATTGATACAAGTGTCATGTCAGTACACGTGCGAAAGGCGAGAACAAACGACGATAAAGCTGAGTCTACGAAAGCGAACGAAGATCCGTAAAGATAGAGTCCAATGTACTCAATGTCCAAGGGCTTCCGGAGGCGGGTTCAGAGTCCTTTCCGGATATCTGAACGTCTTGGTCAACCAGGAGCTTCACGAACATCGCGAAGGAGGGGCACTCACCTGGCTTTGATCCTCGCCCTGAGATCCTCCTCGTAGATCTGGTCCGCGCCCAGCTGGTTGCCGAGAGTCAACCACCTATCACAAAGCCGTCAGCAACGCAGTCTAGCGGCACGAACGAAGCGCGTACCCAGGACGCGTGTTATGTCTCCGCCCAAATATCTCAATTTTGCGCCCTCCAGGACACATGCGCTCGATCAACCCATACACCTCGTCCGGCTTCCGGCTCGTCTCCCTCACTTCCGACACGATCACGTCCGTGTCTAACCCCCGGTTCGCCCACGACGGGAACTTCAAGTTCCCATGCTCGTCCGTGACGGTCTTTACCCCGACAAGCATGTGCTCCTTCGTGTGGTTGAGCCAGTGCCCCGTGCGCCCGGTGCGGATGACGCGTTGAAGCTGGTTCGTCTTCACCCAAACGACCTCGTCAACGCGCGTGTAGCCCCAGACGCGGAGGCACTCGCGCCCGACCTCCATGGCGCGCCCAGTGACCCAGAGGAAGAGCAGACCTTCGTCTTGGAGGGCGGGTATGGGCATTGCGCGCATCTCGTCGTCTGTCATGGTTCCGTAGGGCAGCTATGTTGGCTTGCTCATCAACGGTGCTAGCTGGGTACCCAATCTAGAGGGGGACGCACGCTCATGTGGATGTCCCATGGAGGGTCTGCCATGATGACATGGAACTTGCCCAACACCGAGTAGTCAAACCTGCGCAGGTCGCAATTGATCCATTGTGGAGGAAGCTAATCATTGAAGGAAGATCGATTGAGACCCGAGAGAAATGGTGAAAAGGAGGACACTCACAGGCTTGGCCTCCTTTTGCAATGGACCGAGACCGAGCTCCAGCCTATACGGCTTCTTCTTGGGGACTAGCCGCTGTTCCAGCATACCCTGACCATCATTCACGTCCCAATCCACCTCGAAGTGCAGATATCGACACGGGGCCTTCTCCTTTCCCCGTCCACCGGCTCCCAGGCCGCTGGGCAAGCTCACAGGACCCTGGCCCTGGGCACCGTACTGCATCTGCCTATGCGACGGCAGTGGGGGTATCGAGGGGGATTGTGCGTACGTCGGCTCGGAGTAGCATGTGTTGAGGTATGAACAGTGTCCCAGCGCGGGATCGGTGTGTGGCCGGATGAGGGGACGGAAGTGGATACGGTCGCAGATGGCGGGTACGGCCTTCGATGGACTTGACTGTGTCTGGGACTCGCGTCGCGCGCGCGCGCACTCGTCCTTGGTGATGTGAGTGCAAATGGGTTCGAAGCTCCCAGTGATCGAACGGAACTGCTCCGCGGCACCGTGTGGTCAACGAAAGTAACTCAATAATGGATACATAACCCAAACACTCACCTGCTCGGCTAAAAGCTTGCCCTTGGCGGAGCTACGCTGCATGAGTGCATACACCTCCTTCATCGTCTTGTTCAGACTCTCGAGCGTACTTGGAGGTGGCTTCCATGCTTCCGCTCTCTCGACCTCCGGAGTCTCCTCCTCCTCCTTCGCACCCGCCGCTGAATCATCGTCTTCGTCTACGACACGCTTCCTCTTCTTGCGGAGAGACGTTTGCAGTCCGTCGCCCTGGTCGTCTGAGGAAACTCCAAGCCTGACGTCCATCACAGTGAGACCTCCGTCGCCAGCCTCCTCCCGGGAAAGAGCGATCTTGCCATTATCCCACTTCTCTGAGAGCTGTTCTAGAATACGCTCAAAGCGTGCGATGTCTATGAGGCGGAACCTAGGAGCAGGCGTCGAGCCGGGAAAGAGGCCTGCGGCAGGAGGGCCTTGCGCGATGATACGAGTGAGCAAGTCGAACGAGGATATTGGAACGGTAATTGCATGAGACGAGAAAAGCGTCTCAAGTGCAGAGGAAGCGACCACTCTGAGTTTATCCTCGATAGACATGTTTCATGAGTGATCCGCGTAGTGTAGCAGTCAGAGCTTGGGTCAGTGTCCCCCGCCTAACGCGACCGCGCCCACCACCGCGGTCGTCGCGTCATGTGATGCTTACCCGTCGCTTGAGCAAAATGCAAAATATTCTCACACAGTTTTGTGAGCCTCACCCCTATCTTCAGCGGCAGGAGGTAGTGCAATCAGACAACCCCCTCGCCTTTTACTAGGGGGTTCCGTGTACTGCCTCCACCTCAATGCCGCATTGCGAATTTTTCAGCTCTCAGCTCGATCTGAGCCCGTTCCCTGGTGGCCCAGGGTGTTTATTTTTGTTAGTTCTGGCTCCATGTATGAACGCATGCACAATAACTACTATCGTTGTCCCTCTTCGTCAACATGACGGGTGACCCGTCACCCAACTCAGATACGCCTTACATCATTTCAAGGAACAGGTCTGCATTTCAGCTGGGAACCTTTGGCTACTTAGTGCTCGTACACACTCGTCGTTTCAAGCACCCTTCAATGGCTCATTGCGGAACCTGGATACCAGCCTGGAATCCAGGGCGAGCTTCCGCCGCCGCCACCCAAGCCTAAACAAGTTTGTGTTAACATCATTTCTCTGCCGGGACTTGCAATGCATCTTCCGTACCTTGAGGTGTGGCCACTCATCAAGCGACTCGATACCAGCAATCTTGTGGAACCGGATCCAAGCGATGACGTTGAAGTCCGCAAGACTGTATTTGCCCCGGCCGGGGCCAGCGAGCCAGTCGCGGTCCTGGAGACGGATCTCGAGGACGCCGTACAGACGCTTTGTTTCCTCGGTGTAGCCTGTAAACATTGTCGGTGAGTACTCTACCGGTCCCAGAAGGGCTGCGAGAAAGATGACTGACGCTTCCTGGCGTAGGGGATGACCTCAGGCGCGTACTTGTTGAAGTGGTTCGCCTGACCCTGCATGGGACCGACACCACCGTGCTATATCATAAAGCCAGGTTAACATTTGAAATAGACGGCGATCTGCGTGACAGGTTGGACTCACGGCGAAGAAGATCCACTGGATCATCTCGCTATAGTCGTCGGGCTGCGTGTCACGATCGAAGCCGAACTTGTTCTCCTTGTCATAGTGCTGGTTGAGGTAGAGCAGAATCGCCGCCGACTCGAACACGTTGAAGTTGTTCCGCGCGCGGTCGGTGATCGTCGGGATGCGACCGTTAGGGTTCAGCTTGATGAACCAGGGCTCCTTCTGGGTGTTCTCGCTGATGTTAATCTTCACGACACTAAGGTCCGGGGCCAATCAGCTCAGTGTCGTGATCGGACCCAGAGAGCGTATACGCACTCGTATTGGAGGCCGTAGGCGAGCTTGAGCTCCTCGAGGTAGACAGAGACCTTGTGGCCGTTGGGCGTCGGTGCGGTGTAGAAGAGAATAGGTGCTTCGCCGGACATGATGTGCTTGTGAATGGACAGTAGGCGGGCTGCTATAGTGCTGGATCTGGGAACTCTGGAGAACGTGAACATGCAACGTCCTTATATACACGCCACTCTTGGTGCGTAGAAGCGGCACGGGAGCCTACGTTCCTGGAGGACACGTTCGGACACATGCGAAGTCAGCATCCCAAGCCTGGCATGGTCACGTCATCATCGTGTTAGATCTCTGCTCTGTAAGCCGCCCTCGGTCTTGGGGGCCTCATGCAAAAGTCATTCTCCCACAATTGAAACATACCTTAGCAAGGCTTATTCATCTGTAACGAAGCTTTTAAGCAAGGAACATATATGAGCTGCGCGGCTGATTAATGATTGCGAAAGCGGTCGTCTGCCACTGCGGAGCTCGCGAGATGTTCGAGCAGAGGCCACAGTATAGGATGTTCTTGTCTTCGCATCATTCTCGTGGCAAGCCGGTTCGTATAGAGGGAGTGTTATCAGTTCCACGTAGTGGGTTCAGGCAGGTAGAATGGATCACTCATACAGAACGCTTTGCTTATAGTACAGTAGGATCACCTGTCCATGCAGTGGGAAGGCCTGCCAAGACCGAGATGTGTATATATCGTATGTTCATCAGGTAAGGGTAGCCCCAACCATTACGAGGACACCGAGAACGAAGAACGTGTGGAGAGCCATGTCCGGCACATCCGTATGCCTACCTCCATTTGGGTTGGAGTTGCCAGAACCTCCGTGGACGATCCCAGGCTGATAATCGGGGCTGACATTGGCAGCGACCATGCCAAGGTACTGCTCACCAAGCTGATTGATCTTGCCACCCGAACTCATCAACGCGTCTGCCTGTACCACGACTGTCAGCAGCTTGCGCTGATCGAGGAAGTGTGCTACGATCCTCCAAGAAGCAACACAGAGCCAACTTACTGAATTAACGCCTTGCATGTCCTCCATAGCATCGAACCATGCGTACCGCTCAAGCCAGTCCGTTTCGTCCGTGAACTGCTGAGTTGCATTCATGAAGTCTACCACATCCCGCTGAGAGCATTGTTCATTCGCGTTGTTGTAGTTCTGTCCACGTTCATGAACTACAAGCTGAAGCTTATTCACGTCGCTAATTACCTGACAGGCCCACTCCGTGACCCACACCGGCTTCTGGAACGTATCATGGTAGTCTGTGAGGTACTCCACGAACCCCGTCGAGTTGACATCGTAATAATGCACCGCCACGAAGTCGATCGTGCACCCGCCCCCGCACGCGCTCATCCAGTCGAGCAGCCACTGCTTGCCGGCCGGTGAGCTGCTCGGCGCCGGGGAGCCGAGCAGGATACCCTGTGCCTTGAGAGGCTCTATGTGTGCCTGCCAAAGCGCCGAGGCGTCGCTCGGCGACAAGTTTGACTGGCCTGAGATCTCGCGCTCGTTGAAGCCGAGGGCATGCGTGACGTTCAAGCTTCGAATCGTGCCGTTGATGCTCGAGTCCCATTGGGAAAGCTGTTTCGTCCCCCAGAGCTGGGGGACGAACTCAATGTTGCTTTGAATGGACGATGGGCCCCACGTGTAGTACCTGAGATGGTCGCGTAAGCGGAGCTTTAAGGCATTCGCGTTCATGTGACGTACCATTGAACCTTGCCCGTGGAGAGGTACTGGTTGATGTCGATACTGTTGCCGTTTGGCCAGGCAAGTCCGGCTTTGCTGGTGTTCGTTACTGCACGGCGATAGACAGTATGCCTGTCGTGGGTATCTGCAGTATGATGCGCTATGGCGCGTCGTGGGAAGAGGGTAAGGAAGAGAAGGAGAGCTGTTATGCGAAATGGCATGACAGGTCGTAAGTGCGATCGCTGGTACAGACTAGAAGCAACGAAAGGAGGGGCACATGGGTTTTGGAAGGTCGTGCTCTTCGAGCTAAGTGCGTTTGGGAGCACCTGGTGGATAATTACAGGAACGGTGTAAGCAGTGTTGGAGTGGACAAGGTGGAGCCGTCGCAAGTGGGGTAAGTTCGTTGCTTGGGCAGCACGAGACACATCCTCGGCGACTTGTTCGATACGAAGGGAGCAGAGACATGCGGCGGAGAGCATACTATACATAGCAAATTCTAGAGCAGACACAGTTCTCTGAAGGCTAGAGGGGCACCGTAAGATAGGGTGAGCGCAACAAGACAAATAAAGGGCACAGACCTATAACTATGAAGAGCGCCGAAGCCTACTCTACTCCACTTGAACGATATGTTGGTGTCATCATCATGACATGGACAGCCAGTGCCTCCTACGTGGAGGAGACCGTATAGCGCCGAGGACATTCGCGTCTCACGGATAGCACTCTATAGGAGGAACCCGGCTGTAAAGCTAGGCAGAAGCTGCTGTAGTCTGCTCCGGAGCTTTGGGTGGAGGAGGTGGGATGTCAACGTTGTTGCCCCTGAACCGTTTTCTCATGTCCAACTATGTTCGAACTTGGTCAGCGGTGCAAGGGGACAAGATTCAAAGACGTACCATTCCCCGCTTGCACTCAAAAGTCGCCTTTCGGAGAGACTGGCATGCTTCCGGAAGCTCGTGGGTGTGGTTCTTCAAGCACTCTGATGGAAGGTGTCCCTGCTTGAGAACACAGTCCGAGTGCAGCAGACAGTCCTTGAGTGCGTCCAGGAGATGTGAGCAGGAGGAGGACATGGATCGGAGGCAAGGTGCGCGGCCCGCAAGCGCCGCAACGCGACTCGGACCTGTGGCTCCGGCTTCTGCTCGCTCAGCTGCTCCTTCGGAGGCTCACCATGCCGCTACCTCCTGTTCTGCGTTCTCTCGTCCGAAGTACACCAACCGTTGCAAACATACCACACAGAGCTGTCATCTCTGTCACTGGATCTCAGGCTGCGGAGTTTCTGAACGGATTGACTGCTGCTTCCGTGCCGGGACATCCTCAGAGCCATTTCTACACTGCGTTCCTACATGCTCAGGTACGATCCCCTCTTGTTTTCAAGAGAGTACGTCTAACATAACCTCAAAGGGAAGGGTGATTCACGACATATTCATCTGGGCCGACACGACGCCCAAAGGCACCCCCGGGTACCTTATTGAATACGATGGACATCCGTCCGAAGCACCCGCTCTTCTCCCCATGCTGAAGCGCCACATCCTACGGTCCAAAGTCAAGCTTAGGGATGCCACTGAGGAGTACGACATCTGGCAGGCCTGGGGATCTGAGAGGGAGGAGTCTTGGGAGACTGAACGGCAATGGGACTTCGCTCGGAGCGGCGTTATCGAGCCTCGCTGGGACAAGGGCGAAGAGTGGCCTTGGGGCTCTTCCCAGGGTGTGCTGAGGGATAGGCGGGCAGTTGGCATGGGCCGCCGATTGCTGGTTCGGAAGGGCGATCGTCGTAAGCAGCTCGTTGTGGCATTCAAGGGGCGGTTACGATGACGTCCTCGTGAATCGGTGCACAGCGCAGGAAACGGGAGGCCATGATGTTGTTGGACCAGAGGTGTACCTCTTGCATCGAATATTACACGGTGTTCCGGAAGGCTCCATCGATATTCCGCCTATGCAGGCGTTCCCTATGGACTCAAATATGGACGTCATGGGAGGACGTGGGTTCTGCTTTGAATCTAGGCTGTTACAGCACTTGACTCAACTTGCAACCTTGCTATACAGTCGATTTCCGCAAAGGTTGCTACGTCGGCCAAGAGTTGACTGTGCGGACTTACCACACGGGTCAGCTGAGAAAGCGGATTCTCCCCGTCGTCTTACACAAGCCAGATATGTCGTGCGTAAATTCATTCCTGTCACCCTAACTTCTGCACTCACAAACAGGGAACTGCAGATTATCCAGTCTGGACTCGTTGCCTCAAGACATTCCAACTGTCCTGCCTGAGACGGACATTCGTCCACAGCTGCTCCAGACGGGCGAGGACGGTGCCCCTCGACCACGTCCCCGTGGAACGGGTAAAATGCTAAGCGCGACGCAAGGTGTTGGACTCGCTCTATTGCGACTGGAACAAGTTGAGGCGGTAGAGCAAGGGAAGGCGAAGTTATCCTTGAGTAGTCTGGCAGGTCATGAGCTGGCGGTTACACCTTATTGGCCGGATTGGTGGCCACAGCAGCCCCTGGACTCGGACTCTGCATAGTTGTATTTGTTCTACATGTACTACTGTATAATGACAGAAATGCCCTCTTCTCAATCACCTCGTGCAAGATCTTGGTTCTTATACGTTCAGCAGCGATCCGCAACAACTCGGCGCGCACACGGTCGCCGTCAAGGCCAGACGGATCGCGATCCAGATGTGCCCGATCCGATCTTGCGTTTGAGCAGGGCGCGTCTGCGGCGGGACTGAATGCGCGATCGTTACAGCAAACTCGTTCGCACTGGCAGGTTCTGCTGTTTTGACCACCTTCAGCATCGCTGGACTGCCCTTGCGCTTGATTGAAGCCTCTGAGTGACTGCTTATGTAGAATGCTTCTCTCGCGTTCTGCTCTACGCTCCGCTCAGGTCCGGACACAGTCGCTCATCCTGCAGCTTGAGAGGTTGTCGAATGGCCTAGCGTCTGGCCGAATTGGTGTCGCACGATTGCATAACTCTCGCATTATGCGTTATGAGTTCAACGCGGTAGGAGAGACGCAGGAGTCGCCTAGGTGGCAGGCGCATAGCGGTAAGTCATACTCCGACTTCGACATCCCGCGTCCCTTATGCCTCCACACAGCGCCATTCCCAAGACGCACGCATACATGCGGTGCTCTGACTGCCGAGGATGTGGACAGAACGGTTGTATTGACTGGATGGCTGGTGCCAAAGGGGTACGTCGAGCATGCCCACTCATTAAACCGAGGTGAAGTGCTGTACGGTCCTTCGCGCGCACAGGAGAGTCAGCAAGAAACTCTCGTTCTTTGGACTGCGTGACTCCTACGGTACGACGCAACTAGTAGCAGATGCAAGGTCATGCAGTCCAGAACTCCTCGCTGCTATGCGAGACGTGCCTGAGGAGTCCACTGTCCTGGTAGAGGGCCTCGTACGGCAGAGGCCTGAGTCCCAACGACGCGACGTGCGTCCTCTCCTTGAGTGATGACACGAGTACCGCGTATAACTGACCACTAACAATAGAATCCCGCAGGTCACGTTGAAGTGATTGTCAAGTCGTTCACGCTGTTGAATCCGGCAGACCGGAACATGCCCTTCATGCCGTTCGATACTCAAAATCTGGTACGCTTGCCTCGAGAGTAGGGACATCCCTCCTGTTTTCAACGAGTTACTGACAAAGTGGTTCTAGGCAAATGAAGATCTCAGATTGCGTTATCGCTACCTCGACCTTCGTCGAACAGAGCTTACTACCAATCTGAAGAAGCGAAGTGACGTAGCCTTCCTCGTTAGATCAACGTTACATGCCGAAGGTAGGCGAGGCGTTTCCCGATGGTTTTCGACGCTTAAGGTTACTTTCTGAAGGGTTCACCGAGGTCGAGACCCCCATGTTGTTGAATTCGACTCCAGAAGGGGCGCGGGAATACCTCGTCCCTACCCGCGTGAAGCAGTCCTCGTCGGACGGCCCCGCCCAGCCTATGTTCTACGCGCTCTCTCAATCGCCTCAGCAACCCAAACAGCTCTTGGTCGCATCGGGTGCTGTTGACCGTTACTTCCAGCTCGCACGCTGTTTCAGGGACGAGGATGGGCGGAAGGACAGACAGCCTGAGTTTACGCAGGTTGATCTCGAGATGGCTTGGGTTAGTTGGGGTCGCCCTCCATCGAATGATGCTACGTCGCAGGACCCGTGGAGGATAGGCGGTCATGAGGTCCGAGAAGTTGTCGAAACGGTCATTCGACGAATATGGCGCAAGACCGAAGGTATAGAGCTTGAGAGTAGGTTCCGGGTGATGACATACGACGAAGCGATGGGTAAGTATGGCTCCGACAAACCCGACTTGAGGTTTGGACTGGAGGTAAGTAACCGCCGCAGAACCGTGTTACTCAGCAAGCTAATGGTGTCAACAGATACAAGACATAACCCCCCGACTACGTGAACCTATTCGCAGCGCACTAGAGGCTCGCGGCGAGATCGTCGAGGTCCTCAGTGTCACCGCACATCCAGACCATGCACCATTCCACCGTTCCTCACGAGAGGTAGAACTCCCGCCTGGAGTCGAGCGTCTCGAGGTGAAGAGCGGCGTAGACTCCAACTGGCTGAACCAGAGCCAGACAATCCGCAGGATCCTTCCAGGCTCCGATCATGTTCTTGACGCCTCCGACCTCAACGCCTCCCTGGGCCTGACCTCAGGCGGGTCGGTCTGGCTCGCCACGCGCAGTCGGCGTCCAGAAGGCGGGTGGACCCCACTTGGCCGCCTGCGCATCGCACTCTCCGAAGCGGCCCAGCGCAGCGGCGACCTCGTGCTCAGCGACGACCCCAAGTTCCTTTGGGTGACGGAGTTCCCACTGTTCACGCGAGCAGACGAGGACAAGGAGTTCCTCGCGCACGGGCGGTGGAGCAGCTCGCACCACCCGTTCACTGCGCCGATGTATGAGGACATCGAGAAGATGTATGCTGGGTGCATCGAAGAGGTCCGCGGGCAACATTATGACCTTGTCCTGAATGGGGTCGAGATTGGCGGAGGGTCTGTCAGGGTGCACGATGCCGCCGTGCAGGAGTATATATTCAAATATGTCTTGCAGGTATGTTCTGGGGGACGTTGCAGTGCATTCCGTTTCGCTGAATGACTTCACAGCTCGATAAGAAGGAGAGAATTTCCTTCAATCACCTTCTGCACGCTCTACGGTGTGGTGCTCCCCCGCACGGAGGGTTTGCCTTTGGTGAGGCATCGTGCTTCTCTGTGCATGAACCCACTCTGACCCTGCACAGGCTTCGACCGCTTGATGGCTATCCTCTGCAGGACCTCGTCGATTCGGGACGTCATCGCGTTTCCCAAAACCGCTGCCGGGACCGATCTCCTTTTTAAGAGTCCCTCACCATCCACAGCCGAAGTCCTCGCGCAATACGCCCTCCGGCGACACTCTTAAGCATCCGCTCTGCTCGCGGTTGTGAACACACCTCGCCCCCCACCACTCCAGCATACTTCAAAATGATGTACTAGAAGTAGATTATCGCGCATATATTAATGAATCCGGGCCTGAAGAACATGCAGATCACAACGTGGCAAAGCGAACGTTCACAATGGAAATACGAGGATAACTGCCAGCCGAAGTAACCAAAACTGTTCGGGGCGAAAGCTTGCGTGCATCAAAAGTATCACGACGAAGAGGTAGCGCATGGATAGAGGGTCCGTGATGAACGAGGAGACGAAAGAGCATCGATCACTACGAAGGCGAAGGAATTGCCGTATCGTCCGAATTCGGGCTACGACTCCGCTCGCCGGATAAGTGATCCTCGAACGACGGCAGTGGAGGTGGTTGTGTCCTAGCGCGGAGGGTGTTTCTCGGTGTCGAGTCGCCCTCCTCGCTCTCGTCTCTCGACGAGTTCGAGACGCGCCCCCATACGTCCGAGCCTACCCCACCCAAGTCTGGCGCCTTGCCGTTCCCCGATGATGCGCCCACGCTCGCGCCAGAGTCTACAGACATACTCCGCGTGTGCGCGCCATCCGCGCCCTCACTCCCGTTCTGCCTTGTAAGCGACGCGCCGCCCTCGTCCAACACGGACAAAACGCTGCGTAGCTTCGACTCGGACTTGCGCGGGTGGTGCACGAAGCCAGGGACGGGGTTCGAGTGCCGCCTGCTGACTCCCGACGTGGGCGAGGACAACTTGGGCAGTGACACGACAGCGGGGGGAGAGACGGACCTCGCGGGGGATGTCGCGCCTGAGCCTGGCGCCGAGCCGGATTGGGGAGAGGAGCTGGAGGGTACGTCAGCCCACGCGGCCGCAGTATCGGGGAAGAAGCCGCCGGAGTGGGACCAGGAGTTCTTGCCGGACGAGAGGCCGTCGCTGCTCTCGAGCTCGGGGGTGGTCGTGAGGGGGCTGGGGGAGGAGGACGGTACGTTGGCGATGACGGAGAGTGGGGGGAGGATAGTGAAGATTTGGTCCTCGGCTGGGGGCGGGCCGTAGGAATCGAAGGGGTCGGGTATCGTTTGCAGCATGGGTTCGATGATAGGGTCGGAGCTGCATGCCACATAGTTTTCAGAATGTCGACAGGACAGAGGGGACAGACGAGGACGTACGCTTTGGAGGTGAAGCGGTCGAAAACGTCCAGGGTAGAACGGACGACCAGACAGACCTTCCCTTGAACGAAGTCCCATACTTCCTCTTCGTGCTCTACGATTTCTTGGTAATGCGAGGCTTTGAGCTCGTCCAGTTCATCAACCTGTCGTTGCAAGATGGCCAATGCTTCGCGGAAGCTTTGCAAGTCTGAAACGGGATGAATAGCCTATTGCGAGAAGGGGGCATCGCGAGGACTCACTTCTGCCCTTCTGTTTCAGGTTACCCATTTCTGTCTGGCGAATAATCCTGCTCTTCTCGCGCAGCGCCTTCTCGTAGGCGTTCGAGCGTTCCTAAGAGAAAGAAGTCGCATTAAATTCAGAATTCAAAGAGGCTAATGGCGGATCACTTACCGTGACTACACGGCGATAGTCCTCGAGATGCTGTCGCAGTGGCTTCTCGAATTGCTTATCCAGGGTTTCGGCCTACGATACGTCGAGCTCTGACACCTTCAGACTAAGGGACATACGTACCATAACATGGAAATGATTGCTCATCAGATGGTGAAGACCTGCAGCCGCTTGTAACCTAGTCCCAGACTCGTAATTTGGTCCTTTGAGCCTGCGCGGCATGAGCTTGTAACTCCACCAGAAGAGACTCGAATTACATACCCCGCGCATGCCTCCATACTATCCGCGAATTGAGCAGCAGCCCTTGACATAGTCAACAGTACCGAGCGATAATTCGCGCAACTGTTCAGTAGCTATGTGATAAGGAAGCGTGGCTTAGTGAAGGTCTTCGCAAGACAACGTGCGCAGGAATCTCACTCCTTCATAAGCCTGTATACTGGCCTTGAGGTTTGCGCGAGTGACGATCTTCTCTGGGCCATTGGGGCCGAAGTTGAGGACAGAAGCGTTGGTAGTCTCGGTGAAAGTTGGTGAAGGAGGTCCTGGGGACATATCGCGCTTGGGTGAGAGGGCCTGTGTCCTTAGAGAGCGAACGCGTGGCATGGCAGATGGCAGAAGGCGGAATGGCGAGACCGTTGGCGACCCGTAACAGGAGCCCGGGCGTAGGAGATGAAGGGAGAGATTAGGGCTGAGAGATGGTGCTAAAGCAGCCTCGCGTATCCTGCAGGTCGCCGCGGCGGCTCCTCTGTCCCAGCTCGCGGCAAGCGCAGCCCATCACGCGGCAGCCGGTACCTGCCCACATTCGGAAGGTCTCTATGTTCATGTTCAACCGCCTCTTTCGAACGCCGTCTTGCCTGACTCCCCGGGATGCGGTACCCTCCCGTACCACCCACTATGCACATACATATTCAGATCGGCCATAGGAAGCATATACGCTGCAATACAGACAGGCCATCTACTCCTCAAGCTCATCAAGTAGTCAAGTATCCCAAACACCGCTTAACTACTACCGAGCTTCTCAATTGACATTTCCAAAAATCGTGCAGCATCGTAAACCTTCAGCCATTCAGGTTTTGGGGAAGGAATGACATTCCGCTCTTCCGAAGCCCCCTCCCCGACATATCTTGCTACTACCCCCACATAATCTTCCACCTGACCGCCTTTGACCTCGTTCTGGAGCTCGAACCGATCAAACGTCCACCCTCGAGGAACAACGCCGTCTATGCGGACGACATCGTTCGGGACGTCGTACTCTATGCGGCTGAAGTCGAATCCCATCCCGAGACCCAACGCCTTGGTATACGCCTCCTTTAGCGTCCATATGAGATAGAATCGACGCAACTGCTCGTGTAGTGATAGTGACCCGGCAGATGTGGGTGGGAGGAGGATGCTGTTTTCTAGAGCCGTTAGCTAAGGCAGTGGAACAACGTCAGGATTGATCTGTTGAGAGAACGCATCTAGCTGACCTGTTCGCTGAATATCTCAACGAAGCCGGGAAATGTATCCCGCTTCGGTAATTGGAGGCGCATGATGTCCAGACCGACGCGATACGCTGGGGGATCTGGGTATAGCTCTTGTCCCGTACTATAGACCATGGCGACGACCCCGTTGTCGTGCGTGATGTTGAAGCCAATGGGAGGTTCGATCACGGATGTCTAGAATGTCTAGCCAGTCATCATCGTGTCGTATGAAGAGGCAAAGGGGCGAAGTAGTACTTGCAATGTAGGGCTTGCCGGCCTCTGTCTTCCCGAACGTCATTGCGCTCAACGACAGTCCCCGTTCCTTCAGTAAAAGACGAGGTAGCAGACGTCCGATCAGTCCTCCTGCATATCTTATACGCTTCAGCACGAAATCTGGGCGGCGACCATGGGAACTTACGGACACTGTCTATGCGATGGTAGTACTTCTTTAGATGTACTTGTGATTCCACATCAACAAGATTCAATGCTCGTTGATACAACTGCAATATCATGGGCAATTTACTTGGGGTCTACAGATTCGAATCTTAGTCACTCTCTCACCTCGTCCAGTTCCCCGACGTTGACCGTATCCAGCGTAACCGCGCGGACTTCCATTGTGCCTCGCAATGCCTGAACGCCGATCCACGTCTGTGTATGGACTTTTCTTGATGAGGCTACAGTGAGCTGCGACGGATGATTACGATGGCACCGAGAGCCGAGCGTGTTGACGTCACGCCAGGGAACGAGCTCGAGAGATCGTATCTGCGTCACCCTGCTATCTCGATCTAACAGGATCGCAAAGGAAGTAAGTAGTATACCTTATCTCAACTCCGCCTTACGGTCCTCCCCAACTTGGCTTTGTCGAGTCCGCCAGGACTTGACGCAGACACCACTCGATATCTGACCGTGAACTATGGCAGATGACGGAAGCACAAGCCGTCGGCACTTCGTGTCGCTGGGGATGTTTATCATCGACGAGTTCTCGTTCGCAGACGAGGACGGGAACCCCACAGGCAAGACGTTGGCACCTCAGGCAAGCCCCTCATACGAACCCTGCCTATGTGCGCGATCGCCGATTCAACTCATACCACACTTACAGATCGGAGGCGGAGGAACGTATGCTGTCATCGGGGCGCGTATGTGGTAAGAACGTGAAACTCGATTGCTGTGAGACTTCGCCTTCTAACCTGGTTAGCCTACAGGCTCCCGCCTTCGAAGGTGGGCATGATCGTAGATAGAGGACACGACTTCCCGGGACACATACAAGAGGCCTTCGATGCGTACGGGCCCGACATGTGGCTCTATAGAGATGACCCAACCCGAGGGACGACTCGAGCGCTGAACGCATACAGAGGGGAACATCGCGGGTAGGTCAAAGGCTCACCAATTGAGACGACGAAATGAGTGCTGACGGTCGTTCGTAGTTTTGAATACCTGACGCCGAGGGTACGCATAACCCCGCGCGATCTCAGCAATACTAAGCTGGCTCAGCCGGACATCATTCATTTCATCTGCTCGCCCTCACGAGCTGCTGCCATTATCTCCGACATCGAGCAGGAGGAAGGATGGAGCCCCACCACCGTATACGAACCTATTCCCGTACGTAACTACACAACATTTCCGTGAAGGGGGGCTGAAACGGAGCAAAGCAAGGATCGATGTGTACCTGAAGAGCTCCCTGCGCTACAGAAGGTACTTCCAGCCGTAAGCATATTGAGGTACGTCTATCGGCAGCATCTAGTAAGGCGCAAGCATTCAAGACGGTACAGTCCGAATGCAGAAGAGGCATTGTCGCTGCTCTCCATGCCCAAAGAGCCCACCAAGGAGCTTGTAGAGGAGGCGTGCAGTCGATTCCTCGATATGGGTGTCGGGCCTCACGGACAAGGCTCCGTCATCATTCGCAGCGGGGCGATGGGTGCATGCGTGGCCTCGAGAGGCTCGCCGCTCACTTGGGTTGACGCATATTGGAGCCCTGAGAATTCGGATAAGGTGGTCGAAGTTACCGGTGACTATATCAGTCCCCTCCCACCAATAATCCCAGCTTACCTTATCTCAGGCGCGGGTAACAGTTTCCTGGGGGGTCTGGGAGCTGGCTTGGTCCTGAGCCAGGGTGATGTACGGCAAGGTACACAACTCGTGATCACTGTGAGAGCCTTCCACTTTCGTTCTGATGCGTCACGCAGCCACCCTATACGCAACCGTCTCAGCTTCGTTCACTATTGAGCAAGAGGGCTTACCACGCCTCGGGCGTAATTCCCATGGGACCAGTCAAGAAATGGAACTATGGAACGGCGACTCGCCTCATCGCAGGCTGCAAGCTCTACAAGATCGTCTAGCAGAGAAAGGTACAAAGTGAATAATTCAAGGACAAATTACAACGGGGAAGCCGTATGCGAGCGCACGTTCTGTACTGATAATACATCAATATGGGGAGAGCGAGTGTCCAGTATCCCACAGCGGCGTGAAGTCGTGACGTTATAGCGAAGGATGCGGTCGCGCCGACCGACTGAGGAGAGATGAAGAGAGGGAAAGATGAGGGCGATCATGGTCGCTCATTGCTGGGCGGCGGTGCGGAACTTCTCTCGACTTTGGGCGAAGAGGGCTTCTTGCTGTGCAAGGAGCTCTTCCTCTGTCAGTCCTGAGGATTCTAGCTTGGAGACCTTCTTCTCGCGGTCCTGTATTCGCGCGTCACTTTAGACTACATGCCACGCCTGTACTCGCGACGACGCACCTTCTGCTGTTGCTTGTGGTCCTTCAACACACTTTCCACTTCCGATGTGAAGGACTCGAAGCCCAGTCGCTGTTTGGATGGGAGAAGATTAATGTGCCGCATATAAGCATAACATCCGGCACTCTAACGTAACGCACCTTGAGCGCGGAGATGATGTGCTCCGGCGCAATGGTCTTCTTGGACTCCTGTTCGCATATCTCGTTCGCTTCAGACGAGACTAGGTGAATGAATTCTACAAGGCATCGCGGACCACGCCTCAATACGCGTCTCAGCGTGGAAACGGGGAATGTTGACTTCACCTACACAGCACTCGATAATCAGGTCTCGCGTCTCCTTTGCGCACGTAATGTCGTTCGGCAGTAGCTCTAAGAGAAACAGCGGGCCGTTAATTGCGTGGCTAACGAGGCCCAAGAATGGCCGCAGTGCTCCGGAAATGGCACGCACCTGAGATCATTTTTGTGACGGTGGCCTTCGGAAGGGACAAGTCGTCGTCCGAGGGCGGCATACCCCCAGCCTCATGGTCGGACATGGTCGTAGTGTTCCCGTGTCCGGTTCCGATTCGATGTGGGCGACCTTACAGCGACGAAGTGTGTGGACGAGTGGGAATAGGACGCGCGGGGGGCGGGGAGGGAGCCCCCTGGAGGAGCGCTAGAGGACTTTTATATGTGCGTCGCACAGGGATGCTCGACGGGCGTTCACCGCGATCATTTTGCGACTCCGCGCGTGTCGGCGACGACGTCTTGTCTCCCTGTGCATCTCCCCGTCCCGCCACCCACTGCTTGTCTGGCGCACTATGTCTGCGGTACGTGGATGCGCTCGCGATCGCTACAGGATGCCTCTCTGACAAGGTCTTTGCGTGTCGCCTAGGTCAACCCCGTCAACCCGAAACCCTTCATGCAGGAGCTCACGGGGAAGCCCGTGTACGTTCGTCTCAAGTGGGGGCTTGAGTACAAGGGCTTCCTGGTGAGCACGGACGGCTACATGAACCTCCAAGTACGCTTGAGAATCACTATGGTCGCGGTAACATCGTCTAATGTGTGCCTCCAGCTCGCGAACACCGAGGAGTTCCAGGATGGAAAGTCGAACGGCGCGTTGGGCGAGGTCTTCATTCGGTGTGTTCCACTTCGTCGTATTTTGCTCGGTCCCTCTTACCAATCGCACATTCTAGCTGTAATAATGTTCTCTACATCATGAGTACCTCTTCCTTCATCTACGTGTACGTCCCTACTAACACGCAACTCGTCTATACAGAGAGGCAACAGATTGATGTACGTCCCTCGAGTATACACTTCCATCCACTGTTGCACGGCTTGGCACGACTCCCTCATGTACAATACACACTCTTGGAATGCCGGCACAAAATGTACTCTTGACCAATGCGACAAACCCATGGTGAGATAGATGGTCAGCGGAGTGCACACGCATCTTCGGGACCTCTTTGGACTCTCTAGATGCGGCATACGTGGAGTTGGGCAGCCTGTCCTCCTCCCAATGGCAGATGATATTGGAGGCAGCTACGTGCGGGTTCAGTAGTCCTCATCCTTGGGTCCACTACCGCCGATAGGCATGTCGAGGCCGACACGATTTGCCGTCTTCTTGATGCGGTCTTCTTGTGATAGCCCATGCATAGGATTGTAGCGCTCTAGCAGCTCCTGCAAGCAAGCGTGGCCATTGCGTGTTTGAGCAGGAGCAGTGTCAAAGGCAGTTGACGTCTCACCTTGTGTATCCGCTGGGAGCGCATGAACGTTGCCGCATTACGCATGTCATGGTAGAACCGACTTGTGTCTTTGTCCTCTCGCGAGCTCTCAAAGATGGCCCGTATACATTGCGAGACAACCTTTGGTCTCGTCGCGCGAGCATTGATAGACTAGCGGCCAGGCTGAGTCCACGATCGACGATCGACGGGCAAAGGGCAATGCTCACCGCTCTGTTGACCTCCCTCACAATCGCACGGTACGCCGATAGATGTTGCGCAGCCATGGCTCAGTGTAAAGAAGTCTGTCTGCTGTTGCGGACAGCGAGCGCGAGCGGGCGAAAGAGAGGGAGCGCGACGGAGCGCGCGAATGTGATGCGCCGGTGACACTCCGCCTGCGAAGCGCGCCACGTGGGTCTCATCCCAGAAAGTTATTGTCCGACTAAACGGGGTACTATAAGAACGTTGGCTCGGACGGCCGTTGCGTTCCAAGACGCACCCTGCCACGTTTTTGCTCCGTCAAAGCACTCCGGAGCACAGGCCAGGTCGCCAAAAACGGGTAAAGCGGAGTGCTCGCTTGGGTACAGCCGTGATCCTATAAATGCGGGCTCGCCCTGGGCCCTATTCATTTCCCAACCACTTCCTGCCCAAGACCACCCGGCTCGCCCAGCAAGAGGCTCAACAGCCGGCGACAGTCGTTCAAAGGTAATCGCACCGTTACTGACTCCTACAGGTTATCGTCATCATGGCTCGCTTCCGTTGCCCCTCTCGTTCCCTGAGCTCCATAGGGTCCGTGCAAAACGTCGTAACGGGAAATTCCGCGAGCAAGGTTCGTGATTAGGATGCATAATACACCATTGTACGCTAACAATATTTTCAGCGTCCTCCCCCAGCCCGTGTCGAGACTGTTGACGATTTCGAGGCTGGTCCTAGGAGGCCTAACCACCAACTACGCCCTCAGCCCACCGCGGGCCCTTCTCGCCCTCAGCCCACCGCGGGACCGTCTCGTCCTCAGCCTACGGCGGGCCCGTCTCGCCCTTCGAAGAAGACGAAAGGCAAGGCCCGTGCCTCCGTCAAGAAAACCCAGGCGGGCAGGGTAGCGGAGCTGCGCAAGGAGATCAAGAAGACCATTGCCCAGGTCAAGTCGAACCGCATTCAGTGGTCCTTTGTCTTCGTTGGAAACGTACGTCACTTTGGTGATTAAGGGCTATTGTATCGGCTGACGCTTCCCCATCGCTCACTGTGGGTGGCGTGTTTGACGTGTAGCTGAGCTCTTCGGTCGAGAAGGAGCATATCTGGAAGCACTTCTCGGACAAGTGCGGACCCATTGCTCGCATCGAGATCCGGGCCAGCAGTGGTGTCTGCGTCCCTACCGGCAACCTCCCCAAGCCGTACTGGGGCCTGGGGACACCCGTCGAAGGCGTCCACTACGCCACCATCCACTTCACTACTCCCGACGGAGCTAGGAAGGCCATGGACTTGTCCGGAACCGAACTGGGGGGCAGGAATATCATCGTAAGTCTTTATCTTTTCTTTCACATCTGTCGGGTCGTCCCGTGTAACGGTCGCACTTCCTGGATTCTTGTTGTGTCTCCGTGGAACCCACCCACTTTCGACCTCATGCGTCTGGAAAGGCCCTTTGTCACGCGATTTTGCGGTTGGCCATTTTTCACCGATAACCATCGGCTCGTTTAACTCCTATCAGGCGAGCATGAGCGTATCTATGAATACTCAAATCTGCTCGTTCGAGTACCGACTCAGGCGTCATAACATTGTGCTTGAGCACATGCCTATGCCTTGTCTTGCCGCGTGGCATGTCGTCTTCTATCGCCTTGCTTCGAGCTTAAGCGCACAATGGCGAAAAATACTCATGGTCGACATCTCATGTGTTCGGCTGGGGCCGACATGTTCGCTCGACTCGCCCGAGTGACATACTGCTTGCCTCCTGGCTCACGCGTGCGATCAGGAGGCAGACATGTCAACTCGGCTAGCTGTCACAGCTTCGTCAAGCTTGACTGAACTCATCTCGTTATGAACTGGACGCGTCATTGGTCCTCCGCCATGAATGTTTATTTCGAACGACAGCCGGACGTCGCCTCAATCTCCGTTGTTGTTGGCATGATGTGTTGTATAACGCGGTTCTAGCAGAGCTGTTACGCAGACATGAACATCACGAGGTCTTCTGCAAGAATGTTCCCCTGCACTCGAGCCACCCCAAATATGATAAGGGATTATTAGGGTTTCATCAAAGATGATTTCTACATGTTCTCCTCGCGACCATGGGAGTGATCTGTCTGTGTTTTCATGGCGATGCGGCTCTTGTCATATTCACCCTCTTCCGTAAATCTCAATACTGTGATGGTACTGACATACCCACCGTAGGTGACCTTCAACGTCATCGACTTGCCCGAGACTATCGAGATCGTCCAGGAGCATCTTCAGAAAAAGGATCCGCAGCCGGAGAAGCGGTCGTTCTGGCAAAACAAGTACGGACAACTCAAGTAAGTATTGGGACGCTTCCGAGTCTTGGTCTTGGCTGGTTGCTCACGGCGACCGCTTCTGTCTTTTCTAGACGTCTTACGGTCGAGAAGACGGAGTATATATCCGAGGCTCCGAAGAAGGCGACTGGGCCTACGAAGCTGGTTGCGGGGATCGCCAAGCGGGTAGGGATATTCGCTGCTGGCGGGAACACCACTGCTGGAGATCAGAACAGGAACGGCCACGCGCCCCAGCGGCCACTCGTGTTCGCTGGGCAAATCACTTTCCCTCAGACGCTCATCTAGACGCCAGTCGTCCCCACATCGTCCCTTGAAGTCCCGTAGACCATCCTGCACATTTACTGCTGTACATTTCTACGTTATTTGTCTGTATCTTCGCAGCCAGTCTGCGCCACGTTCCTTTATGTCACGAAGTGTTGTCTGTTATCATCGCATGTACCATATGTTTTCCAGAATCAAGAATCAGTCACATCCACTTTGATGTTTCGTAAGCATGAGGGCCAATCAAACCCAGCCCCAGCCGGCCTGGCAACTTTCGACGTCCGTGCTCCCACTAGCCAGCTCGCTTGAGAGCTGACCACCATCTCCATTGTTTCTTCCTCCTTCATTCGCATGGCTTCCTATTAGGTCGGTTTCCAGACGTCACAGGTGCGATTCCCCTTCTAGTGCAGCCCGCAGCCAGCTGTGGCTCATCGCTCACAGCAGTGTCGTCGTGCTATCGCCATTCTGTAACTCTGTATACCTCTCATGGATCCCCCCTCGCGGAGCCCCGCGTTGAACCCTGCCTCGACCCCCTTCTTCCCCGGCGCGATGCGGCTCAACGACGAGGAAGGTAGCGGGAACGGGAACGGAAACGGGACTGCGAACGGCAACTTCCCCCTCGGCTTCAGGCAGTCTATATCCCGGGACCAGCAGTACAGCATGTCTTCCTCGCTCTCGATCTCCCCTTCGGACTACCGCTCTGTCAGGTCTTCCCCGAGTCCACCGCAGGACGAGAGAGACCGGAGGATCGACAGCGGCCTGCAGGCATCGTCCCCAGCTGAGCGTGCGCGTAACTCTCCCGGCCTACGTCAGGACTCATCGGACAGGCATTCTTACTCGCATCTCTTGAGCTCGTCGATCTCTCGTGACCTAAACATTTCTCCCAAGAATAACGGGGGACTGGATGGTGATGAGACGCCGGGTCCGACGTCTGGGCCCATCCCCATGAACGGGCAGCTCGGCGCCCCCGCGTCGTTTTACAACAGCATGGCGCTGCGCAGCAGGGAGAGATTGGGGACGCCGCCGGTCATGCAGGAGTCGAGCAGTGCCAATGCCAGGTCCGCGTTCACGCATGCCCCCTTCGTGTCTTCCTCCCCCGCATCATCACTCGACTCGGGGAGCCACTTCGCGCCCAGCATCGAATTCTCGGCGTCGTCGAGCTTGGAAACGCAGCTGAGGGCCTCTCCCGTCTTTAACGATTTATTGGATCGGGTCGGACGGCTAGAGGGGGCTAACCGGGAGATCCATCGGACCCTCGATGATGTGAACCGCAAGGTCGATATCCTCATCTCGCGCGTCTTGTCCTCGAACTCTAACTCGATGCTGGATGCCCCGCCCGAGTTCAAGGATCCGTTCGCGCCCTCGTCCGTCCCAAGTCAAAGTTTCATCAATGCCGGACTGAATGGGCCACGAGGATCAATCGCTAACATCGCCCCGAACCAGACCCCGCCCACGGAGGACATGACGACTATTACTAGCCGACTGAATACGCTCACGTCGTCGGTTGGTCAGCTTCTAGCGCTGCAGACTCAGCAGTTCCAAGCGAACAACAGTGTTGCCGCCTTGCAAACCTCGCAGCTGCTGGGAGGCGGATTGCCGCCAACCGATCTGACACCAGGCCTTCCTCCCCTGCTGAACTCGACCTCGGCCCTCGGCCATGGCATGCCTGGGCGGCCTGACATTAGACATAATCCCCGCGTGCCAAACCCGCCTATGCGGACATGGTCTGCCGGGACGCTAGACATCCCTTTACGCAACACGGATTCGCCTCAAGGCATGGGCAGGCAGGACATGATGTTCAGGGATAAGCGCCGCTCGGTTAGCACGTTACTCCGCCGTGATTCTGCTGGGGTACGTTATGTTTCTCGGTACACTACCGCTCGCGCTCCGTCGGGTTCCCGCCGCTCACCGTTTGCGTTTTAGGGCGAAAGCTTGTCTGGCGCACAATCGCGCGACGGTGGCCCCGTGATTACCAAATGGGAACAGTTGAACCTTGCCCCGGAATTACTGCGTTCTTTGAGCACATTTGGGTGAGTACGCTTTTGTGGTGTAGTGTGCCGCGTGTTCATATTCTCGCGCTAGCGTCGGCCCCCCCAACAAAATCCAGCAACGTGCATTGCCCTTCCTCTTGCGCGGCGCTGATATCATTGCGCAAGCCCCGCCGACCCAAGAACGCATTGCTGCGTATGTCATCCCCGCGATCCATATCGCGGTGATGTATGCATCGTCGAGGACGAACTATCGAGGCCCGTTGGTGGTTATGATATCCACGACTGTCGATCAGGCTACACAGGCGCAGCGGATGATACGTGATCTAGGTGGTCCCATCGGCGTTAAGTCGGCTCTCGGTGTCGGTACGACGTCAGGCAACGGAGATCTCAGTCAAGAACTGCGTCTCTTGCAGCAGAACGTCCCACACATCATTTGCGGCACGCCACAGAAGCTCCACGCCCTGTTCACTGCCCCCGGAGGTCTATCTGGTGCAGATGTCCGGTTCCTGGTCCTCGACGAAGTTGACCAGCTCATCGCTCGCAACCTGCATGACTTCGTGTTCCAGATCATCAAACTTCTGCCCCCGCCGCGCTCGCGCTCCATCAACGCCGGAGGGAACACGCCTCTGGGCACGCCCGGCTCGACGCCTCAAGTTCCCTTCCAGAACTTCGAGGCGAGCAGCAGCCAGTCGTCGCTCCTGGCCCCGACGCAGACTCTCCGGCGTAGACTGTCGGGAATCGGTAACTCCCCGCCCCTGGACGGTCCCAATGGTGCGGCGAACGGTCAGATCGAGCGCCAGACCGCACTCTTCTCGAACACCGTGCCGCAGGATGTCCTGAACCTTGCGTCCGCCATCCAGCTTCGCGAGCCTGTCCGTGTCCTTGTCCGTCGCGACGGCAATGTGACACATGCCGACACGAGCCAGGGCGCCCGCGGCCTCAGGCAGTTCTACTTGTACCTGGCATTCACCGCCAGCGGGCGCTCGGATGCGCCTCTCCCCCAGGGCAGCCTGGGCACGATTGGTTCCGGACGAGGCGCTATCAGTGCGGAGACCGCACAGGCGCGCGAGTGGAAGCTCGACGCGCTGGCTGATCTGTTTGACGACCTAGATATCCCACAAGCGATTATCCATGTAGGTGGAATGGCTGCGCTAGACGCTGTCGTGTACAAGCTGTCAAGTCGTGGGTTGGACGCAGTTCCCCTGGTAAGCCTTTCTCACATGGCAGTGCATGGGGCAGGGCTTCGACTAACTTGTATGTCAGCATGGCGACATGAACGCTGGTGCGAAGTTGGCCGCTTTGAATAAGTTCAGGGCTACGCCCGGCGTCATGCGTCCGACGGCAACGAAAGTGCTTGTGGTCTACGATGTTCAGGTCAAAACGCCCGAGGTCTCTCAAATTCCTCTGGTCATTAATTACGGTGCGTGCAGTTGTATTGACGGCCGTTCTGGATGACTCCTTACGCATCGACGATAGATCTGCCCAAGGCCGTTGAAGAATATGCGCACCGGTATGGCCGACTTTCATGTAGCAATCTGGAAATTCATTGAACTAATCCCTTCTGCTCAGCGTTGCTCCTGCTATCGCTCCCAGCTATTCACGCGCTGGCGTTGTCGTTAACTTTGTGACGGCGACGGGTGGCGACGTGGAGATGCTGCGGTCTATAGAATGCTTCTACAAGTGAGTATTGCGTCCGCCTTCCTCTGATCGTACCACTGACCCATGGTGATATGATAGGATTAAATGCGTGAGTGTCACTAGCGCTGTGTGCATCTGATAACGTCTGATACGCTTCTCATACAGCCCGAAGTTCCGATGAGCCTCCGCGATATTGTTTGATTTCACGTCCTTGCCCATGTGTGTATCCCTATCACGTCTGCTTTCCCGGTCCAAGCTATCCCGTCATTCCGTGCTGCCGTATATCCTATTTAACTCACGACGCTGCTACGCGCATTCCACTGTGTTATACCCTTCCAACATCTATCCCCGATTGTCTCCTTACTACCAGCTCTTGGGTCTAATCCCGCTTGGCCTACACTGTATACTGCATAGCTTTCCCATCGTCGTAGTTTTACTACATGTTGCGCGGCCTTCACTCCGCTGCAATATGGACTGTCAATAGCTTCAATGTACCATCCTCCCCACAGCTGGCTAGCTGGTGTGTTTCCCTCTTGCCTGGTCTCCACGCAAGTCGGTGAATATGGTCTATATGTGCCAAGCTGGGAACAATCACATCAGCGATGCTGATGATTAACAATGAGAAGGTACGTACCGAGTGCCGATGGTCAGTGCTTTGGTCCACTGAGTTGGCGTGTCTCGAGTTGAAGTGTAGATCAAGATCTCCCCGGATTCCAGCCCGATTGCGAGTTTCATCCTGCATCACATCAGCAATCTGAGCTACGAAGTGCCCATACCGATCCGGATCTCACGATTTGCTCTGAGAAGATTCAGGTGCGAACGCAACAGCAGTTGCAGCCGCGCCAGCTTGAATGGTCGACGCAGCTTCCCACTTCTGACCGCTCTCGTCTGGACGCTTCCAAACCTTCACCTGTTACAGAGTAAATATCTGGTCTGACTTGTGTATCAAACTTCTCGTTGCTTACCGTTTTATCACGAGAAGCGGTAACGAATGTATCCCCATCTGGTGCCCAGGCGCAGTCCCAGATGATTCGACTATGAGATTTGTCCGCTGCCACCGGCACGTAACCATCTGCGCTCTTGGTCAGCCAATCATGACACCACAAATGATCCAGGAGTCAATTATGACAGACCTTCGCTCTTCTCGAAAAGCCGCCATGTACGATCACGAGAAACCGACAGCACCAATTTGTCGTCGGGGCTGAAGGCAATCTGTGTCACAGTCAAGCTATGGCCGGCTAAAGGCTGGCCGAAGAGTTGCCATGTCCGCGTGTCGTATACTCGGACCACAGCGTGCTCTGCAGTGGTTGCTTTGCAAGCAGTAGCTATGTACTGTTTGTCGTTCGATACCGCAAGGGCGATGGACTGTTTCAATGTATCAGATTGAGAGCCGTCTGCGCTCATACCAAGGCCGCGTTACCTCATAACCATGCCCGAAGACCTTCTCGATCTCTGGCCATAGGGTGACAGCGGCCAGCTCTCCTTCGAATGGTCGTCGATGAGTTCGAGAGGAGTCAAACGCCGTGTTAACCTCGGCCACAGCACTGGCTGCATGCATGGATCAGCCAAAGGCTCTCCGGTGGAGCTTCCATGACCTACCATCCGTCAACGCTTTATTTGACAGACCGAGTGGGGGAACAGCTGCTGCGCGAGGTCGTGCTTCCTGCCCGATTGGTCATCAGGAAGTCGAACATGGACGAACGACATTGATGAACTTACTCCTGAATCGAGCTGTGCGATTCCAAGATTGTTGACAATCTCGACGAACTCTCGAGGTGCTTCGAACACCCGAGCCACCTTCTCATCTGCGATACTGACGAAGCGCAGGGTATCGAGGAATGCGGCTGCAATCAGGTCATACCCGTGAACTTGAGGCCGTGCTATCTCGTGCCACACGGCTGGTTTGATGGTTTGAGAGTGTGCGGGAATCGCGCCGTGTATGCGTGTGGTTTGATCCAAGCTTGATGATACTGCTGTCAGTTTGAACCCTATGGGGCCGCCTCCTGATGTAGACCCACCTAGCAGATATCAAATATTCCCCTCGCGGACTCCATGCGATGCTCCGTATCGGGGCCCGATGTCCCGTGATAGCGCCAACCTCGGTCCACTCCTCAAGATGGTTTTCGGCGGTATCTTCTAACAATGACTGGCAGCGCCACCGCCGCCAGCCACCGTTCCAACCCCATGCCATAGTATCTCTACCATTGACAGCCCAGAGACCGCCGACGAACCCACCAAGCCGCTGTCCGCCAACATCGCCAAACCGCTGCCGATTGATCCAGAGGGTCGTCCCATCATTAGACGACGTGAGGACTGTCGAAGGAGACCACAAGATCAAGGATGAGTCCGTCGAAGTTGATAGTAGTGTTGGGACGCTGGAGTCCGACTGCTGCGGCCGCCAGGAGAGCGATGTAACTCCGGCTTCGTGTCCGATCAGGAGGGCATCAAATGTCACAGAAAATAGCTGTGAGCTGGTTATCTGGTCAGACACGAGATCTCATAAAGGAATGGGCTAATCTCACTTCCCAGGGGCAGACTTGACCGTAAGGATGTGTCGCTTGAGTGAAATGGAGCGACCACCGTCTTCCGCGTCCTCCAGGTTCACAAGAGATGCCTCGAACGCGTCTAGCAAATCATCTGTCTCCCCGGACGTACTTTCAGACGCACTGAGAGCTGTTTGTGAGAATGGTTCAATGTTCCATAAACGAACAGTAGCGTCCTGAGATCCTGAGGACAGGACCAAAGGTCCAGCGTCACTGCCTGGCGGCTTGAACGCAAGGCATTTTACCCAGTCCTCGTGACCGGGTAATGCTGCAGCTGAGACGAACTAGACAAACGCGATGATTGCCTCAGAATCGGGTGGATAATCGTTCCTGCTTACGTTGTCCTCGGAACGGGTCCATAGGTACACATTCCTATCTGTGGATCCAATCGCCAGAATCGTAGCTGTGCAGGCGTATCTTTAGTCTGTTGCTCCATCCAAGACGTCCGAGTTCGCTCACAGGTCGTCCCCGGCAAGTACGAAAGGGCTAGGGAGATTGGATAGCCCCTCTTCAGATTGATTGACTGTATCTCCGATGGTTTGTCTAGGAGAGCTCTTGAGCACCTTCATAAAGAGAATTTTTACAGGAAAACTTGCCGTTTTCGTTGTCGGGGATCTTCCATACTTTCACAGTAGCGTCTGATGCTCCAGTGACAGCGATTTTTTCAAGTACCGAGAGGCTTGCTATACCCGTCTTATGGGCCTGGTGAGCACCGAACGACTTCCACTGTAGAGGAGAATTGTCATTGCGGGCTTTCATTTGTGATGCACTGGACCAGCATGCCTGTGATCCTTCGTCACTCCAAAACCTCATAACCCCCTTGTCGTCTCCACTGACCAAAAGTTCGTCGTGAATCCAGCGCACACATGTGACAAGACCATCATGCCCCGGCAGTGTGGCATACACGCCTCGGTCTAAAGAGTCCTATGGGCTGGGTGATGAGCGACGACTTCATACAGCACATCTTGATGGACACTCTACCGCAGCATCCCAGAGGCCAACGAGTTTACCCGATCCAAAGGCAACGAGGCCGTGCCCGACCACGTCCGCTGCTTGAGAGTATCTATTTGTTGCCGCCGATGCGTAGACGTGCTCCGCTCCAGACATGGTTGCTTACAAGTTTTTGCCCCGATACAGACGTAGCTCGGTGCTGCTACTTGTGGAGCCGCTTTTAACAAACAAAATATCCTTCTTGAATAGGTGTCCAAATTTTTACTTTCGATCAAAGCTTTTGGAGGGTCCGGGTCCAGGCAGTAGTCGAGGTGAGGAGCCAAGTCGGTAGAAGATCACAGATCCCGATCTCTGATTGGTCATGAGCGCCGGATGTTCAGTAGAACGAGGCGCCGAATCTGTGTAGTCGACCGCTGGCCCACCAACCGCCGTGCAGAGGCTTCGAGTTGCCACCGGATGGGCATCCTTGGAATTGGCGTCGATATCCTCCATGTGCCTCGCATAGCTCGCCTCATAGATGGCAAGACAGCCAGTCGGTTTGCACGCCGGGTTTTGAGCGAGAAGGAACTTCTAGCTTGGAATGCCATCCCGCTGGCTGATCACGCCAGACGAGCGAGGTACCTTGCCGTGCGGTATGTCAACCCACGCGTCTTCAACTATTGGGCTTTGTGCTCATCCCAGCTTTGATTGTAGCTGGAGCATCAAGGAAGCTGCCTACAAGGCAGTCTTCCCTCTGCGGCCCACATGGAAGAACTTCACATACCACTCTCTGTCCGCAGACGGCCAGCGGAAACCTTGGCTGGAGTACCACTCAGATGCGCCTGGGCGTGATCTGGGGAAGATACACGCGTCTGTCAGCCACGATGGCGACTATGTATTCACAACAGTCCTAGCCGAAGCCCCTTAGACGGTCATCTACGAAGGCAGCTGCGGGCCTATAGACAAAAAACAACCGTACTCTGCGGCAGGATCTACATCGTCTATGTGGACGTCATTAGCAAAGTGCGTTGAGAAACAGAGTTCGATATCCAGTTAGACTTCCGTCCAGTTCTCAGCAGCGTAGGGCAAGGTATACTCGAGCACATTGTGAAAGTACAAGCAGAGTATCGCATTCAGGTCAGTAAGGAATGTATCTGGCGCGGAATGTCCCATCAAGGGATATGTACGAGAATCACTTCAAAGTGGCAAAGCCAACTGCATTCTGCGAGACGGAAAACGCGGTATAGACATTCTTCATGAAGCTGTTGGTGGTATTCAGCGAATCATGTCTGATGAAAGAGAAGAAAGCGACATGCCTGTCCCCAAGCAGCCAGACCCCGCTCCCGAGGCCGAAGTCCATGCCGGACAGCGCTCCGACGCAGTCTCCAGATCCGGACACCGTCTCGCCAAGGTTGAAGCTTTTGCCTTGTCGTCAGCCCTTCTCCCACATAAGGACTCATACTAGCGATCTGGTACTCACTTGGTCTCGCTCACAGTCCACGACTTCCCGCCCCAGCTGAACGCCAGCGCCGGAGGTGAATCGCATGGGTACGAGTACAGCCCATCCCCCTCATTGTACACCTTCGACCCCTTCACCGCATCGTACACCGTCTTCACGTCCGCCGGGGGCCCGTACATGATCGTCGTGCCCGAGTCGATGATCGTCTCGAACTCCGGGATATCGCTGACCGTCTTGCCGTCGACGTGCACGCTCGCGCCGCCGATCTCCCAGTAGCCGATGTCGGATGAGACGTTGTGGTACTCGATCGAGCCAGAGTAGTGCGCCGTGTTCGTGCCGCCGACGTAGAGCTCCGAGCCGTTCGTGGCGAGCTTGAATGCGAACACGTGCTGCGTGACGGACTTGTTCGCGATGGCCGTGAAGAAGAAGGGGTTCTGTGGCGACGACAAGCGTCAGCTTGCGCAGACGCGAACGCTGGCGCTGCAGACAGACCTGTCCCAGATTGGAGATAGCGGGGAAGGCGAGCCCCAGGATCCCGTCCGTACTCCCTTCGGATAGCTCAGAAGACTCCTCGGTGACGGCAGAGAAGTATTGTGTGGTCGCCTTGACGCCCCCAACCACAACTATCCATGCACGGCGTGCCGAACCCCAAGATGAGCGCACAACACGGTGATAACGCGCAACCTTGGTAAACGCAGCACGCACCGGTGTCGGTATAGACGGGCCCACTCGCCCCCGATCCATCCGCGTACGTGATTGTGAAAGTCCCGTTCTTCTTCGCGCCGGTCGACGACTTCCCCTGGTCATATTTTCCGTGCTGCGCGCCGCACGACATGCACGAAGATGCGGGGATCCAGAGGTCGGACGAGCCCGTGTCGAAATCGACAAAGAACGAGACGGGCGGGGTGCCGATCGTGATGTGCCCACCCCACTCCTCGTCGTCGTTGAGGTCCGTCAGGGGCACCTTCTGCCGCTTCTCGTGTTCGAGGGCGGCGAGGCGCGCGGGGAGCGCGGCGAGTGGGGGGATGACGGACACCTGAGGAGGGAGCTGGCCGGTGTTCCGCTGGAGGTTGAGCAGGTTATTACGGTACTTGCTATTCGGAGAGATGAGCTTGGCCTAGCGCTTGGGACAGAAGTGGGGTAATACGCACTTGGCAATCTTGACGCCGTGCTTCACTGTCCCGACGTAGTCGAAAGTGCCGTCCGCCTTGGTGAGGGAGTTGCGCTTCTGGAAGGGGATGGCTACTCCGGCATGCTCGTGCGCAGTAATTGCAGTAGACAGCAAGGCCAGCGCGAGAGTCACCAAGGAAGCCTTGCAGAACATGACTGAGCTCGAAGGGGGATGTCAGTAGGGTAGACCAGCAGACGAGAGGAGGGAATGGAGCTCCTTCTGCCCCCGCAGGATCGCGTCCTTATAACGCCATAGGACTGCCGCGCGCAGGGTAGATGAGGTGCTTCTCATGATTGGAACCGTTGGCTACTCCGAGACAGCGACGTCTCAGCGTCTAGCGGGCGCGTTTGCGGTCGCTCCGTGCCATTAAGCGAGAACAATATTATGGTTCATTAGAGCCGCGGTGTGGCCACCATGCCTACGGACACGTAGCACGAGTCCTCCCAGAAGGTGGTGGTGTCCGTCCACCGTGTGTCTGCGAAGACCCTCATAGGATTGAGCATCTAGCGAAACGAACGATGGCCAACGTCGCATAGCGCCCAGAATGGCAGAGACAGTCGCATGGTAGGATGGTGCTAAAGGAGAGACTGAAGCTGCTATATCAGGCCTCAATGAACGAACAGCGGCGGTGAAACGTGCACTCAACCGTCGATAAAGCCCTTAATCGCGCTAGCATCGTGGACGCTAGCGACGCATCTGCCAATCACTACTCGAACTGGTCCAGCATCGACATGATGGACCCCAAGGAATAAGCCTCCACTGAGGACTAAAGCGACATAGGGTGACTCACCTCACGAGCAGGCGACTTTGTGCTCCCACATTAGAAACCGGGACACCACCCCCACCGATGCACAGTCGGCCAGAGACCCGATCCAGGGAACAACAACCCCCAATAATACCAGGGACATTGACCGACGCAACCGAAGCCAAGGCAGCGACCAATCGACAGGCAACATTGCACAAGACGCACGGAGAGGGGATGATGTTCACGCGCGCATGAAGAGCGCAAACATGGGAGGCGTGAAATATGAGGACGTACGGCCCAACGCTACAGTCATAGATAGAGAGTACAGAGCAAGCGAGAGATTAAAACGTCCGTTTGTATAATTAGTAGCCCCTACCACGACCCCTACGGTTACAATGCACGTGAGAATAGGCATACAAGCCGTAGCGTGATGCAAACTCACCTGCCACGCGCACGGTAGGGAGTGTATCCAGGTGAGCCTCCCCTGTACCCTCCCCGATATCCACCACGGTATCCGCCACGCCCTCGCCCACGGGCATTGAAGCCAGGAATGTTTGTCCTTTTTGGTGTCACCTGTATACGCAGGGGTGTGAGTGGTTGACAGATATCCGCTGGAACTCAACTGACCTTGATGAGGCGCCCTCGGAAGAGGGAGTTGTCCATGGCGAGAGCAGCGTCTATGAACTCTGGCTCCGCAAACTCGACATACGCATACCTGGAACACCAAAAAGACGTTGAACGACAGCAAGACTGAAGTAGAAAAGCGCAAACGTACCCCTTGGGGTGTCCCGTAAACTTGTCACACAAAATGGTGACACGGTTGATGGTTCCACAGGCTTGGAAGTGTTGCTGGATCTCCTCCGGTGTCGCGGAGTAATCGACCTATTCGCATTGTTCAGCCATAGCCAAAGGCCAAACAAGAGACCTTGAACGCACGTTTCCTACGTATATACTCCTTGCATCTGCGGCAGCCTTGTCCTCCTCGGTCTCCATAGGCACTTGCTCGCCTCCCTGGGCACCTTGCTCGGCCTTTTCTGCGGCTGCTTGGAGTTCGCGAAGCTTGTTGGCCTCGCGCTCCATCTCCTCCACGCGTTGCTTCATTAAGAGGATTTCCTAGCGGACGAATGTGGAAAGCGAGTCGGTACGGATGCGCATGCAGAGGACGCAACTAACGTACCGAGTCCTCCTCCTCGCCATTGTCAATGAGTGTGTCGCCGCCCGAGGCGGAACGCGTAGGGTCCGTGGCAGTTACTTCGGTCATAGCAGAAAGGCCAACGGGAAGGAATAGGAGGGAGAGGGCGAGTAGAGACGGGGAGAGGTGCTGGAGGGCACTGACGGTAGAGGCAAGCTGCGTTACTCACAACCTCCAAACTTCCAGGCGCCCTATCTGTGACTCCGCGTGCCAGATATGTCACACCTGTAGCCCGTGAGGATCGCGCCAGGAACGCCCGTGCCACAGACGCGTTTTCGCTGGTCGATTGACAATGTCTTTCCTTGTCTCCTTCACCGACTCCCGACATCAAAACATCGCACATTCAAAAATGAGCTTATATACCTACTGTGATATGTTACACTTGGATAACATAGGAACAACAAAGACCGCTTTGGAGATGCCAACCTGCCGCAATGCGCCATAGACGCATCGACGCATTGGCCCATTGTGGCCCTCAAATGGAGCAAGCTACTGCAGGATCCTACTCACCCATTTGTATCCCTCCCTCGCACATCCTTGCTCTCTTACACCACTCGATCAAACCTGATACCTGAGATGCCTACGGTCAACGCCGTGCCTTCGATCCCACCTCAGAATGACTTGCGGCAACAAGCCACCCACACCCAAGCCAAGATCAAGTAAGCTATTCCATATTCAACCACCGTCAATATATCTGACTGCGTATGTATGGCCTCATAGTGTTGCTGCAGCTCAGAAGCTCATACAAAACGAGCAATACAATGAATCATTTCTACTCCTTCGCGACGCACTTCAAGACCCAGACAGTATCGATGACGTGAGGACAATGGCACTCATCCACTTCCCTGATCTCTATATGAAGATGGCGTTGCTCGAGGACGTCGAGCTTGCGGGTACTCCTCTCATGTTTCTTGCAGTCTAGTGCTGGGGTTGACGTTCACCGATGGAACCACACAGCGCGCACCTACGCCAGCGAGGACGTTAGTCCTGACCGGCTCCCGGAAGACTTGGACTATAGAATGGGAAACCAAATATGGGGCAAGCCAAAAGCCCGCCGCTGGATGCGAACCTGGCAAGCCATGATCCAAGTGGCTGTCATGATGGGCGACTACGGGCGAGCTATGTAAGCCCATGCAGTAAATCCATGATGGCTTGAAGCTAACCACACCAACGTCATCAGAGCCCTCACCACTGAGATCCTCCGCATCAATCCCAGCGACAACATGGGCATGCGCTACACCTTCGGCTCCATACTCCTGCTCTCCGGGCGGATAGAAGATGCCTTGTCCTTCTCCCTCGCCTGGATCAATGCCAAGAATGGGACGCCTCTGCGTGGAGGATGTGCCTTCGAAAGGCCGACGGGTGCGCCCTTGTCTCAGGACGTGCTTGCTTTCCATCGCGTGAAGTGTCCGTGGGTGGTTGCATCCGAGCATTTCCTCACAGCCGCTCTCGCCGCGTTCCGGTTATGGGGAGACTGCGGGCTCGCGAGGCAATGTCTGAGCATGGGAGCCCATACGTGTCCTATCGTCATGAGGAGAATTCTGGGAGGCTCGGCAAAGCCCCGTGAGTCGGATCTCGTCGACGCAATACCTTGCTAACGCTGACGCCTTCGTTTTTGCAGACGGACCATGGATAGGGCCTAGTGATGCCGGACCGGAAGCGGCGCGGGACTACCTCTGGCTAGCTCAGGATTTCTGGACCACCCCCAACGTGTTGGCTTGGGCTACTTCTGACAAGGAGGTCAAGGACATGCTTTTGCAGCGGTGTTCGCGAGAAGGCTGCCACAACCGCGAGACGTCCATCTTCGGGTTCAAGCATTGCGGAAACTGCCACAACAAGATCTATTGCGGACACGAGTGCCAGAAGGCTGATTGGCCGCTCCACAAGCCGAGTAAGCACACTCCACGTACTCGCCTGCTCTCGGTTTGCTCGAACTGACAGACGCATAGGCTGTCGTTTTGTGTATCGCCGCTACCGGGGCCTGGAGAAGAAGCGCGTCGTCCCTATGAACAAGTTGGTCTCTCGGGTCGAAGACGCCTTGATTGATTGTCCGCACAACATCGAATTCCGCTTGCGGAGCATCTATACGTCCAGTGACGAGGACAGTGATTAAGCCCACGATGCCATTCGTACGTAGCGATTGTAGCGACGACCTATCTCAGCCAAAACAGCGGAGCTATGTACATTATTATGTCAGTGTCTCTATCTTGTAGTGCTCGGATCCACAGTTCCGCGTTTATTGAGGCTCGTATGCATATGCAATATATTGTTTTCGTCATCGATTTCAGACAAGCCTCCGTGACGAGTGACCTTCACGCGATCACATGCTCGGAATGAGTCGCGTCGCGTCGCGCAAGTACTGAGTCGAAGAGAACGCTGTTGTTCAACCAAGATCCGCCACTTCCCCCCTGTACGCCTCATCAGTATTGCATTATCTCTGCTAGAACCCCGAAGCCATCGTGATGTGGGAAGTCGAACGTGCAGATCCGGTAACTGCCAGACGCGCGGCGAACGAGTACGTTGTTTGTTCGACCCATTCGCTAGTAAACTTGCGTGTGGCTCATGCACGCCGTAGCCTCAAAACGGCGAAGCAGCATCTTCGTCAAGGTCAAAACGAGCAGGCTGTCGAGTGCTTCGTCAAGGCCTTGGACGACTACGATAATGTGGATTTGGTCGCCGAGCAAGCAAGGAAGTTTCCCGACAGCCACCTGGCGATGAGGCTCCTCGAGCTCACGGCGACCAAAGGTGACGCGCCGGGTAGGCGTTCAATGTGGATATATGCTGATATAGTGCCATTTTTACTCCAGCGCGAGAGTATTTGAAGAGAGACCTGGGCCAAGACTGCTTCGAGGAAACCTTTTATGCTTATGGAGGGTTCTGGGGCGTCTTGGACACCCGTCCGTACATGCGCACCCTACACGCAATCGCTCATGTCGCGTTCGACATGGGCGACCTGGACAAAGCTATGTACGTAAACCCTACTCATGTGTCTTCTCCCTCTACAGGCTGGCTCAACGCATCTTGGTGGATACAGAGCGACGACGGTCGAGACGCTCCGGCTGTGCCAGGGCGACAACATGGGTCAGCGCTCCTTTCTCCCACCCCTGCTTCTCCGCGCGAAGCGCTACGAAGACGCCCTCTCCTTCTGTCAAGTGTGGCTCGATCCACAATACGACGGAAAGCAGCGTCCGCTCGGGGGGTGCGCGTTCGCGGCGCCTGACCCCGAGCCCCTGTCGCAGGCCTTCGTCGACTGGCACACCGAATCATGGAGACCCACAGACCTGCTGTTGAATGCTGCGCTTGCCTCGTATCACCTATATGGAGACTGCGAACAGGCGCGGCAGTACCTGTCGTTGGGGGCGAAGGGGAACACACGGATCATGTGCGAGATATGGGTGAGGTCGAGACAGCCAAGTGAGTCTATACGAGCGTACGTCGCACTTGGGTTGGGCTCTGATCAGACCCCATTCTCTGCCAAACCATCCTACAGCCAAACCCTACAGCAGGCCCCGGACAGCGAACAGCCGCGAGGAATCTCACGACTACTTGTGGCTGATGCAGGACCTGTGGATGGAGCATGATGTCTGGGCCTGGGCTACAAGGCATCCTGACGTCAAGGAGGCGGCGCTGAAGCGATGCGGATATGCGGAGTGTTCCAACCGCGAGGAAGCGGTGTTCACTTTCAAGTGTTGTGGCGGATGCAAGGAGGAGTGGTATTGCAGCCCGGAATGTCAAAAAGCGGATTGGAGAAAGCATAAGCTAGGTGCGTCGGCTTCCCATACCCTTCCATCGCGTTAGCCTAGTGTGTTATGACTTGGCACGCTGATGTACGCTCGGTAGAATGCTTTGGTTATCGCCAAAAGCTATTGGCGAGTTCTCCGCGCGACAAGGACTTCGGCTCCGAATCGTCTGTCTCAGACGACGAGGACCCAGACTCATTGGTCAGATTTGCACACTAAAGCACTGTCAACTGCTTGCGTTCAATATACTTACGTTAGCACACATCCACCACGTAAGTATATCCTCCAGCCTCTGTTGACTTGTGGCGCTCAGTGCGAGAATTCCAAGTAGTGTCCCAGCTGATCGTCGAGGAGAAGTCGGGCACTCTGATGTCTTCGTTGCATTCTATCGAAGCTACTCATCCATCCTCGATCGACGTCTCCATTTGTGTACATACACCGCCGCTCCCATATGGCTCTAGTCTACCACAATATTGACTTGACTCCCTTCACAGACATCCTCGATCTTGTCTACATTCTCTGCCACCTTGAGGTGTACATCAACCCTGCAGTCCGGTCTGTAACGGACAGTGAAATACAAGATATGTACGTTGCATGGCTGGACCTCATGAATCTGAGCGTTCCTGTGGATTTGGCAATCTTATGGGCATGTGCACCACCTCGCGGCTCTCATTGAGTGTAGGCGTATCACTGGACAAGAATTGCAACAGACTTGTGCATTCACAACGAGACTTCGGTGTCTGGAGCATGCACCCTATATGCAAAGGACTGAAGGGAGACCGCTGGTTCCCATTAGTCATGAACGCCTTGCAGCAGAGGTTTTGCACCGCATATTACCCCTGATTAGGTTTGGAGAAGCCATATTGCGGATTGAAGTATCCATTTAGCTTGAGTTAGAGCTTGACATCGATGCCTGCCACGCTGCAAGGGTCTTGGGGCTGCAGGTCCGCGCTCTCTGAAACTGTCGATAGCGGTACCTTTCCTCGCCTACGTGTACTCGGCAGAGCGCATCGTGGAAGTGCACATTTTGATACTATGTCTTAACTACGGAGGACCTTACATTCTGAATAGCGCGATGGAACGGGAGGGACGTTGCTCAAACCAGTAGATTCTGTAAGCCAAATTCAATCCTGGTGGCAGTCAACAAGGGTAGCATGAGAACAGGCAGTAGGTAAATCCGCCTTCGAGTGTGTACAATCAATACAACCTACATAGTCTGCACATTCTACAAATGCACTTTGACCTTGTAGTGCTCCGCAGCGGCTTTCTCCTTCTTACGGATAGCCTCCTGGCGCTCGACGAGCGCTGGAGCACGCTTGAGTTCGCGCTGGCCAACTTGCTGGATGTGCACTGCGTCGGGTCCCTAGTAACACGACATGAGTGACGGTCCAGACAATTCTGATGAGCGATAAGGGTAGCTCACGTCGGCGATACGGAGCGTGCGCAGACCAGCGTACATGGCAGCAAGAGGGGTATCTTGGCTGACACCCTCCGCGCCGTACGCCTGGATGGCACGATCGATGACCTGGCACGCCATGGAAGGAACGACGAACTTGAAGGACAATTCAGTTTCCCTACTTCTCAAATCACAAACGCACAGAACTCACCTTGGCAATACCGATCTCCTTGAGGGCGCCCTTCGCCTTCGCCTTGTCGATCTGGAGGGCAGCACTGTACACCAGCAACCTCGCCGATTCGATCTCAGCGCGCGACTTCGCAATGTCGGCAATGACAGTGCCTGAGGGGGGCAGTTTAAGATGAGAGAAACTCGCGCTTTGAGAAATAGAAGACTCACCGTGCTCATACAAGTATTTGCCGAATGTCTTCTTCGCCGGGTTTGTAACGCGCTGGAGCAACAGATCCAGCGCGTACTGGGCGGCACCAATGGAGCGCATGCAGTGGTGGATACGGCCAGGTCTATACATACGGTCTTAGTGATTAGCAGACTTAGAGAAAGCGATTGTCATACCCAAGACGGCCTTGAATGATCTCGAAGCCCTTGCCCCAGCCAAGAACGAGGTTCTCGATGGGAACACGGACGTTTTCGTAGATGACCTCGCAATGGCCTTCAGGAGCGTCGTCGTAGCCGAACACACCCATGGGACGGATGACCTTCACGCCGGGAGCGTTGGCTGGGACAATGACAATGCTCTGCTGCCGGTACTTGTCCGAATTTTCCGGGTCGCTCTTGCCAAGCACGAGGTGCAGCGCACAGCGCGGGTCACCCGCCCCGCTAATATACCTAAAGTCATACCCCACTTAAATGCATGAACTAGAAGGAATGCCAGGTAGAGCGGACCTACCACTTGTGTCCGTTGATGACGATCTCGTTGCCCTCCTGGCGAATGGTGGTTCGGATGTTGGTCGCGTCCGACGAGGCCACTGGAAGCACGTTAGACATGACTAATATATATCAAGACCGTGCAAGGGATGCACGAACCAAATCGTTCAGTCATGGAGAAGGCAGAACGGATCTCTCCGTTAAGAAGAGGGACGAGCCACTTCTTCTGCTGCTCGGGTGACGCGTAACGCGCAAGCACCTCTGAATACGAAGAAAGGCGTCAGGTTGTCGTCTCCTGCACCAAATTGCTGGGCAAGCACCATACCCATATTTCCGGTATCGGGAGCAGAGCAATTGACAGACTCAGACGCGATCTGTCCACCGCGGCCTAGAAGCTCGGCCATGACACCGTACTGTTCTGTTCGTCAGCAAACTACACATTACTCGATGCTATGCAATGTGTACCTCGAGATTCGTGAGAGGGACACCAAATTCGGGGTAGTGCGCCTTGCTGAGGAAGAGATTCCAGAGTCCGAGCTTCTTCGCCTTCTCCTTGAGATCCGCGACAACGGGGATGACGGTCTTCCAGCGCGCCTCGGGGTCCGTCGGGATCTGGGCGTGTGCGACACGTATCGCGGGGTACACCTCGTCCTGACAAACAAGTATTCAGCACGCCCTGCCACAGAACAATTGACAAAAAACACACCTCCAAGAACTTGATGAGCTTCGCGAGGGTCTCCTTCGCGAACGGGGACAGCTTGTCTTCGATCTGCGCGTCCGGCCACGAAGCAAGCTCAGTTCCTTCATGCTCTCCACTCGCAACATGTCGACATCACTTACCAGAGCCCACGACGACGCCGAGGTGTACTCAACGATTGGGTGTGCCGCCATTTTGGTCAGGAAGGCAGTATGTGCGGCGGATTTGGAAGACGTGAACGTAAGAAGAGTAGTGGTGATGTACCCCGCATTGACGACCCCGCACTCGCTATACTTCAGCACGGGTCGGGTATTCCGAGTGCCGGTGGGCGTCTGATGTTCCCCAAAACAGGAATTGACCCGCTCGGCTCGACACCTAGGCACGGGGTCTACGCAGCGCCGCGGTCAGGCGGCCTTGAAGTCTCGACTGTGTGCCGCCCCAATGCCGCAGGGGTCGAGGATCACCTGAAGCTCTAGTGGCTGAAATCACTCAAAATGCCAGAGACATGTAGCTGAGTGATGTGGTTGTGCGGTCACGGACGCACCCAGCACTGTACTAAGTCAAGAATAGCATAATCAGGGTACTACCTACGTACGAGCGGAAGGGCGAGAACATACTACATTCACAGCTAACAGCGCGAGACGATATACAAATAGAAGAGAGTACACTAATGGAGCGAGTCGATCGTAGGACGTATCGTAAGTAGCATCGTGGTCGTCAAGTACCGTTACCGCTACATGGATTCGAGACGGATGAGAGAGAAAAAGAGAGGGGAGACGATGTCCATCCAACACAGCCATTAGCAACTGCGTGCCGTCAGGCGGGCCGAAGCATCATAGCGTACAAGTAGGTAAGTATACAATCGAGTAACGAAGTCATGGCGAGGAGTGAGAGAGAGCAGCATCAATGTACTTCATGTCAGATGGATAGGGGACCGGATGGGTGGGGTAGGATGAACAGATAGAACGTAAGCAAGCAAGTCGAGCGCGGGGGCCAATAACATAGATGGTAAGTCATGTTGTACAGTGGCGAGGAGCACGTGAATTGCGTCGAGACAGGGGAGACTTGAATGAGACGCTGATGGGCCCTGGAATCGCATTAGATGAGATGAGATGGAATGGGGGATAGGGGCGACCAAGCACGGCTATGATATGGATAGAGATGCTATAGCGATACGTCGAAGAACCATATATCACCTCCGACAGCAGTTCGGTAACATGACGTGCCGCAAGCCGGCGCAAGGCCACGTTCGTCTATTGCCCGCCGTTTCCCCACTGTCCGTCGGTCGTAAAGTCGCCCCCGAGCGTGAACGCGGTCTCCGGGTCGACCCCGAATGTATCGAACGAGCTCTGCCAGTTATTGTTCCAGTCGTGGTCGTTGGACGCGAACGCCGACGGGCCAGCGCCAGCGTTCCCAGCTGGGTCGTAGTTGCGAATGAAGTCCAGTCCGTGGAACGGCAGGCCCGGCGCGACGAACCCAGCAGACGGGGGCGTCGTCCCCGTCGCCCCAGTTGATCCAGCGCCTGCGCCAGGGGGCCTGGAGCCCCCAAAGCCGCCCATTCCGCCTCCGCCGCTGAACTCGCTCCCATCAAACCCACCGAGGTATGGCGGCGACGTGTCCAGGCCCGGAAGCTGGCCCGAGAAACCCCGCGAGTGCCCATGCCCAAACGCGGACGCCCCACCACCTCCACCACCCATGGAAGACGCGTTGTTCTGCTGCGAGCCCGATCCGGATGGGAAGAACTTGAGCTCGTTCCCGTCGACCACCGGGCTCGCCCACTTGTCCGTAGCAGGGCTGCCCAATCCGAAGCCGTCGTAGTCGAAGCGCTGGCCCGGGATCTGCACCGTCGGCGATTGAGCGAGGCTGAGCGGGCCAGTGGCATACGATGCGTTCGCATGCATCATGGACGGGCTCGTCTCCTTGTCGATCGCGTGCTGCGATGGGCCCGGGGGTGAGGGGTGGCTGTTGACGGACACAGGCGAGCTGTGCGAGCTCATGTTCGCAGCAAGCGTGGAGCGCCCGGGGTACGAACTTGGGAGCCCCAACGCGTTGTTTCCGTACTGGTCCTGGAATAGGTCCTCGTCATGTGGTCGTTTCCGGGACGTGGACCGGGCACGCAGCGCTGTCCATTGTGTAGGGACATGCGAAGAAGTTGCGGAAGCCGCGGGAAGCAAGGGGCGAGCATGGGAGGGGGGCGAATCGGACGTCAGTATCACATGGTACAAATTAGGCAGTAACGGCTGATCAACCCGAAGGAAGACGCGAAGCCGCAGCGAAGAGGACGGAAAGCACTCACAGTCTGGGCGGAATTGCGAGGGGGCGTGCGCGTTGCGAGGCGAGAGAGGCACGTCGCGTGACCGGTTCCTCCGAGGCTTGCCTCTGATGAGGCGTTCGGGTATAGGGCCGGAGATTGACGCAGAGGTGACGTGCGAGCGACCGTCAGGATGCATCGAAGACGACGGAGAATGAGCCGATGTCCCGGCGGCAGCAAACGAAGAAGCATCCGAAGTCGAACCCCGCGGCTGCCCGTTTGACGCGGACCTGATCGCCTCGCAGGCTTTCGCCGTCAGATCCTCGAGTAGTTCCTTGCACTTTCGGGCCCCGGGCCATTGTCCCTCCCAGGACTCCAACACGGCCAGGCAGCTGCGAGCCTCCTCGAGCGCCGCCTGAGCGGCCTGGGCCTCTGTGGTGTGCATCGCGTAGAGCAGGATGATCACCGCCGAGCTGAAGAGGTTCTGGACAAAGAATGCGAGGTGATGGCTCGGAGGGACGACGTTCTTAATGGAGGGCGCGAGGCGGACGCAGGCACGCGCAGTCGAGACCGCCTTGGCCGTCGACCTGGGAGCGAAGGGCTGCTCACCCTTGACCGGGATGAAGTTCCGATGGAGGGTGGTCAGGATCGAGTAGTAGTGGCTGCACAAGACGGCCGCCATCGACACCTGCTTCTCGGTGGACGGATTCGACTTGAAGACCGTGGGGAGGTCTTCGCACCACTTGGTGAGGCGTCGGTCAAGCGTCTCGACGGACCGCTGCAGCTCAGCCCGCTTGTCCATCTCGAGGTGGTCCTTGCACTTGTCGAGTGCGTAGACCTCGCGGAGGACTCGTCCAGCGATCCTGTAGAGCGAGATGAGCTCGATGAATCCCCGCATGAGCGAGATCTGCCCCTGGGGGAGCAGAGCGCCTGCGAAGTATTGCGGGAGTAGTTCATCGTCGAGCTCGACGGGGATCTCCACGTCGCAATCGGCATCTTCGATGGCCAGGGGTCGGCCCAGCGCCAGGGCGAGCATCCGGTCCAGGGTGTACACGCCCCACCAGATCTTACGACGCGTCTCCTTCTCGATCGGGGAGATGAGAAGCCGTCTCGGCGAACGCTGTGTGGTGCGGTTACGGCAAGTGGTGAGCACGGGTACGGTGGAGGGGGTGGATGGCTACTCACGTGAAGACCGATGTCTTGTGCTGCGCGGACGGCTTGGCCGACCAAAAGCCACGCTTGCGGTAGACAGTTGACGGAACACAGGAACGAAGACATCAGCAAGAAGCACTGAACGTGCTCGACCTGCATCGAGGCTGCACTGATGTAGTGCAAGATAAGCGCACTATATTGAGATGGGCGAGAAGTTAGTTCGCGTCTAAACGCTGCGAATAGCCCGCGGGAATTCGGGGGACATACCGTTCATGGTAAACCATGCCCATACCGGCTTCGTCAAGATTATCAGACGTCTTCAGCCGGGGATCGTCCACGAAGCGAGACGCCACCGCGAAGACGGCGCACACCAGTGCTACGAAGGGTGTATGCTCACGGACGAACTTGGTGTCGGCTGGGTGATCCATGAGGAATCTATACCGGCGCATAAACTCCGGCTTATCCAGCACGGGCATGAGGAAGTGGAAACGTGCGAAGTACGCATCGACCTGCAGGCGAATTAGCCCTCTCTCCGCAGATAGGTGCGGTACATGGCACGTACGAGCTTGTCAGCGAGGTCCCGCTCGGGATACTCGACTTCCTCCGGCCTCGGTAGAGCCCTAACCTTCCCGAAGTACACGCTTGCGGGGAAGTATAGCTTGTTCACGCTTGGCCCGGGAGCGAGCGGATCCTCCTCCATCGGCGAGACACGGTGCAGCGGGGACGTCGTCGCCTCCTTCAGTCGCTGAATCAGCGACATTGTGGACGAGTTACCAATCCAGTGCAGGTGCCCATGCTCGTCGAGGGCGAGCTGACCGAGCGCATTCGAGACGTCGTCCTCGATCTTCACGGCAAGGTCGTCGTCCGAACCGTGGCCGCTGGTGCTGCGGCTGTCGGATCGGTTGCCGATGGCCTGCCCTTCGTGGATACGGGGCAGGAACGACTGCATGACGTCGGGCACAGCTCCCGCCGTGCTCTGCGCCGCCGATGACGACGAGCCTTGCTGGCTCGACACGGCCGCGGATATCGCAGTGAGGTCGAGCCCGGTAGCCTGGCTGACCTGGTCGAGGATGGGCAAGATCTGCTGGAAGATGCCCTCCATGTGCAAGAGGCGAGCTTCGAGCTCCTGGACATAGCTGCGATCGCGTTGAGCACTCGCTCGCGCAGGGGCCAGTGGTGGGAGGATGAGGACTCACTGTCTGCTCAGCGCGGCCCTGTCCTTGGTCTGCAGCCAAGTACACTGGCTCTTCGAGCTCGCGCATTGGGAGCATGTGGGCTCCGAGCCGTCGCACTTGATCTTCTTGCGTCTAGAGGAGGGGAACGAGGCATGAGGTGAACGATCGGATCGGCGTCTGAGAATGCGATGATAGGCGGGACGGACGGGGGGACGGAACGGAGACGAGGGGAGAGACCGGAAGGCGAGGAAGGGAGGACGAGACGGGGCAGCGACGATCATGAACGTAGAAGACGGGGCACGAACGCACCTGCAGGATTCACATGCACGCCAGACGCGCCTGCGCTGAAGCTGGATGGGCTTAGTGCCGAGGTCGGGTGCGAGAGGCCCCTGGTCGTCGACCCGCTTCTTCTTGGGCGGGTGGGGGATGGTCATGGACGGGGGCGGGAGAGGCTGGGACGTGGAAAGGGGGTTGTCTGTCGGATCGGGTGTCGGATTCGAATCTGTGGTCATGGTGGGGAAAGCCAGAGAGCGTATATATGAAGTCGTATGCGAAGGACAAGAAGCCGGCGCAGGACCTCCTGCCAAATCCGAGCAGAGATCTGTGCGAGATTGTCCCTTTCCCCCGCCCCTCCACGGGCGCCAACATTATATGGGCCGGCGCCTGCCGCTGCGTCACTGCGTTCCTGGCCGTGCTTAGCGTCCATTCTCTTGTCTCAGCCCTCGCCGTCCCCGTCTGCCACAAGCTCAAAGGCTTCGCATTGCCCGCGCGCGCAATGGCCAGCCCGCCATTGCCCAGCCGGACGTCACAGACCCCGGTAAGGATACACAGCATCCACATTTCCACGCTCAGCCCGGCTGCCACACAGAATAATCGCGCTTGACAGGCCCGCGTCGGACGGCAGGCATCTGCGTACGGAGCGTTCGGAACGGACGCGCACCGCCATTGACGCACTCCATTCGTCAGAGGGCAAAGAACAGTCCACCATACGCACACATATCGCTGCCCTCCGCGTCCTCGTCGCGAACACGACCCTCCCCTGCTAGGGTTTCCCCACACTTCGCCTGCTCGCAGCTCCCCCACAGACACGCCCTCGGCCGCAACGTGCCGAGGTACAGCTGCTGAGCGCTGAGATCCCGCTCTGCCCCTTTTGCGCGCTGTCCCATCGGCCGACGTACGTATAGCCCGCGCTTTCTCATGCGTCTCGCCCGGAGACGCGTCCCACAGCTTTGCGCTGTATCTCACTCTGAAATGTGCGGGTGGGTGCGCTCCATCCCCCGCCCCACGGCTAAAGCGCACGCGCCGGGGCGCGGGTTCCCCTAAGTGTCAAGCACACACACATAAGCCTCTCCGACGACCTCATCCCAGCAACCGCCCGAACCGCGCTGGAGCGTCTTTACCCCACACTGCGACTGCACAGATCGGGCCCAAACGCGTGGCCGATCGTAATGACCTCGGATTCGGATTCTGAGCGAGATGCCTGAGATGCCCCTCCCTAATATGCGCCCCATGTCCGCAATCTGAGCCATCGATCGCCGGGCGAAGCGTCCTCGCAACTCTACCAGCTGCAAGGAAGCCGCACCTGTGTCACACGGCGTTGCGTCGTTAGCGCGGCGATCTCACCTCTCTGCCAACGAGAACCCCCCAACCTTGCGAGCAGCTTGACACGGCAGACGGGAAGCCTACGGGGGGCTTCTCAATACAACCCCGCACCTCAAAAGGACTGGCATCCTGACCCACGCCGTGGCGTACTATGCAGGGCCCAAAGCGCACGTTACGCTACCACCACCACGCCCCGCGAGGCACCTTGCGCATGTCTTGCAGCTTGATGCCCACCTCTTCGAACCGCTATTGCTCCACACACGCGTACGCAGGTTCGGCTCCGGAGTAGCGGACCCAGGGATGCGGCTCCTGTGAATATACGCCTGGCATCCGAGGATGGCAACCACGTATTCCGGACGAAGCCATCGATCGCGGAAGGCAGCTTGAATGCCCGAAAGCGCAGCCGGTGACGCCAGCACATCGTCGTCTGGTCACCGGACTCGCCTGTGTGCATCCGCAGAGACGGCGCGGGGGCGAAACAGACACCATAAGCTAGCGGGGGACTGAGAGGCCAGCCGCGGCCGTCGCGAAAGACCTTCGAAGCGGCTTAGCATTTAGAACTCTGTGTGCGCTCCTAGTTGATGCCGATCTGCTGCTTCGGGTCGCCGACGATGAGCTTCATGACTGGGATGCATTGCGTGTCTGTATGTACGGAAACGGTGGACCAACCCAACTGCACGGATGTATCTGTATCTGAATCCAAAGGTCAATCACGGCCACGGCCGCATGCGTGCTCTCTCGAAAGCCCCTCGCACTCCCACCACCCGAGACTATGCCGCGCCAGGGCTGCATCCGCACGGAAGCACGCACCGAATTGCCGAGCCCGGACGAACAAGCAGACGGAAGCGCGGAAGCACATTCGTGCCAACCATCCAACGGACGAATAGCCGGGCGAGGAACGACACAGAAACCGGGATTCCAGACGACGAACATTTGCGCCCCAAACGTCAGCGTCCGAGCTGAGAACCCAGAGAAAGAGACAGGACACGCACCCCCAGCCTCTCCAGCGGGCGCAGGACGCTCGCCTGTCCCGTCGACGTTCCTGGCCGGGCCTCCCTTCCTCCTCCTCCTCCCCGCTTCCTCGTCCGTCCTTCCTCTCCTGCCGCCTCTCCTTCTTCGCTTGGCACCCGCGCTACTTGCGCATGCCCGCCGAGATGGCCGTCATCTTATCCGGCGCGTCCCGCAGATAGAAGAGCTTCGCCCTGCGCATCCTGGGGCCCGCCCTGCCCTCGGAGCCCCTCCCGCCCGCGCGCATGAGCACCTTGATCTCCTTCACGTGCGGCGAGCACACGAAGAACTGCACCTCCACGCCCGTGCGGTTGATGACGTTGCGCAGGAGGAAGGACGTGTCCGCGCCGCGCCGGCGTATCGCGAGCAGCACCCCGGTGAACGACGTCGGGGCGTACTTCGTGGTCACCTGCAGCACCGAGCCCGGGAGGATGCGCTCGGGGTGTCGCTTCCCGAAGCGGGCGAGCAGCTGCAGTTTTTCGGGAGTCAAGAGGCGTTGGGGGAGGTGCGCCATGAGCCCCTTGCCGGCCTTTGTCGGCGCGGGGGCTGGGACGGCGGGGGGCGGCGGGATGATGGCGGCGTTAGAGTAAGGGTACGGCTGGGCGGCCGTCGACATGAGCCTTTGAGCACATCTTCGGAGGGCGTTGAGCATGGTGGAAGGGCACGGCAGGGACGGTGAAGAGAAAGGAGCAGCTCGACCGTCTGCGCCAACGAGCCCACCGCCGAAAAGGGAACGCGCCTGCCACGTGTAGTGATAGGCGCCCGGAGAATTCAGACGCGTCGACGTGAGTTCGCGAGGGGCGTCGTGGCCTGCTTCGAAACATCGCAAGGTTCAGGCCTCTCCCAGGGCCTGGTTCGTGCTCAAAGTGGCTCATCTGTTCCCTAACGTTGTGTGGCTACTTCTGATAATGCAAAGCACCGAGCGATACCATATCCGAATCGTGGCAGACGTCCGCACTTTGATCTACAGCGGGAACACAGGAAATACATGATTAGAGACATTGGCGACCGTGGGCAGCACGCGACGTCGTGTGAGGAACGATGACGTATTGGAAGAGTGGCATTAGTAGTCGATGGCCATCTGGCGGGCGCGCCCAGACTTCTGGCTCGTTTCCGACGTCGAATTGACGAGAGTGATGGCTCGTGGCCGATGTTACATTGACGTGCGCCCGATTAGTGAGGTGGGAGCGAGACGAGGCCTGTCCACAGGCACACTTGTGGACGGCTGGGAAGGCAGGATGTGGTGCTCGTTGTGATCGCGGTGATGAGGCTGAGGAGGTGCTCACATACGCGAGCCAGCACGAGGGAACGTGTCGGGGGCGGCATGTGGTGTGCGGACGCGGCGGAGGAGGATTGTGCTCGGAGGACGGAGGTGCGAGAGAGCGAGCGAGATGGATGAGGCTAGAGTCATTTGGATGGTCAGTAGGCTAGAAGCTGGAAGGGCGGAGAAATGTCACGTGTGGGTGAGATGAGGGTTCGGAGGAGGGGATCGTCGATGGTAAAAGTAGGGCTCAGATTTCATACGGGAGACCTCAGATTCATACAGTTGATCACGGAGCACGTCCCCAGACGCTGCCAGACGCTGTCCGCCGACTCGCCAGCCGCAGCAGCGCACGCAGAAGCACCCACCATCTTCTGCGCCTCACTCCGAGAGACGCGCCCGATATGCTTTCCTTGTTCTCCCACCACTCTTCTTTTCTGCTACTATATATCCCTTCCCTTTCTTCCCTTGGCCACCCTCTCGTTTCGTCGACTCTGGACGTCAATCCCTCGTCTACATAACGCCCCATCATCCGCTTCCTCTTCCCACTATCGCACGTCCGCCATGGGCCTCGCCACCCTACCCGTCGAGCTCCTCGACGCTGTCCTCGCACCGCTGACCTACAATCACGCAGCTCTTTCCGCTGTCGCCCTCAGCTGCGCCGCCCTCAACCCTAGTGCCACTCGCCTCCTCTATCGCCATCTCTCCCTCTCCGCCTACGGCCGCAACCTCTCCCTCGTCCACCTCCTCGCCGCCCGCCCCGACCTCGCCAAGCACGTCCGCACATTCTCCGCACACCTCGACGATGCCCAGCCAGCCATCCTGCCTACCTATTCCGCCCTGCAGCACGCGCTGCGCCTCATGACGAATCTCAACAGTCTCGCGCTCTACGTCGACGCTTCCGCATCCTGGATTCTCTCACCACCGCAGGCCGAGAGCGGCCAGAAGGCGAGCGGGCCCCCCAGTCCCGGGCCCGCGTTCTACCCGCGTCTCGAACATCTGACCTGTAACTTTCCGCTGGATGCGCACCTTTCCTCTTTCCTCGCCCAGGCTCCATCGCTTATCTCCCTCACCCTCTCCTCCGTCCACTCCGATGACGATGCCGGATCTGAACCAGGCCACGCCGACGCCGATGCCCCAACCCCAGCCCATCCCAAATCGCCGCCCCGGCACGCTGCCATCCCCCCTTCACACATACCCCTTCTCGAAGCGTACACGGGTCCCGCGTACCTCCTTCCCACCCTCGTCTCGCGTCCTCTCAAGGCCGTGCACCTCTTCGGCGATCTGACGCCCAGCCTTCTTGCCGTATGTGCAGCCGGCGCTCCCTTTGTGGATGAGGCGGTGGACCACCTCTCAGACCTCAGCCTGGATGCGGACACTGATCGGATCCCGAGCGCAGGCTCTCTGTCCGCCGCCGGCGCGGAAATGCAGGTAATGAGCGCGATGACCAGTGTGCCGCCCGCGCAGCTCCTCGAGGCCCTCGCGGTCGCGTTTCCGAATTTGATCTGTCTGCGCCTCATGACGACGCGCGCGCTGTGGGATCTGCCCGACATGGTGCGTGTTTACGTTGAGATTGCCATCTGACGGTCAGAGATGCTGACTTCGCCGCGCGGACGCAGGCGTTCTACACTCGCATCGCGGCGACGCTCTCCAAGATGCCGCGCCTGTCTGCGTTCGAGCTCGCGGGCATGCACTGGCAGTCCCGACCGAAGCAGTCGTCTTCCCCGGTCGAGCCGGAGGAGAAGGAGTGGATATCCCCGCCCGTCAGCCCGCGCATCGCCGCTGAGCCGGAGGAGGAGGAGGAGGAGGAGGAAGACGACGAGCTGGAGGATCGCGACTACGACTTCGACGGCGCGTTTCTGGACTGGTCGTACTGAGCCTGCCCCCCCGACGGACGCAGGGAGAGAAGGGAAGGGCGGGGTTGCGGCGGGTAGACTCGCGTCGGTGCGTCTTCGAGCGCTTAGTCACCTTGCGTCCTTGCCTCCTCTCCCGTCGTGCGGAGCTCTCCCCCCTTCTGCCTCTTCGTCTGCTCCGTCGCCTTTTGCGATCCGAACCCGTCTACACGACCGCAAGCTGACGGTGCTGCGTCGCGGATTCGAGCGAATCCCCCCTCTGTCCTCTCCCGACGCCTTTTTTGTTCGTCTCGACTTGCCCTCGGTGTGGTCGCCAAACCCCGAAAAAATTTACAGCATCGCGAGAAGCGTGCTGTACTTCGTCCGATCCCCCCTCCCTCGACTTCCCTGTGATCACGCCATCGTTCCCTGGATCGGCCGTCCTAGGCTATGCCACGCGGCCATATTTTTCGGTGCCGCTCTCTCATCCCCGAATTTTCGCGCTTAATCGCCCAAAGGCTCGTTCCTTGCCGTCCTGAAGGCGGCGTATAATTTATCGACTCGACGGCCGCCTAGGCCGCTCGGTGTCGTTCGGCTCGGTTAACGCACGATACTTCCCGCTTTACTGGTCTACCTATCCACGTTACGCCGTTAATGACGCTTATTTCTCCGATATCCCCCTCCGCCTTCGCACTGTACATATATCACAGTCCGCTCGTCCTCTCGCTCTTCTCCGTACTGACTCTTTCTGCATCCCTCTGCCCCGCGTCCTGCGTGTCTGCTGTGTCACTATCGTCTCCCGACTTTTCCCTGGTCTCTCCCTTCCCACGCCCCCTTCTCGATCGTAATAGCTCTCCGCAGCACCCGTTGTCTCCCGCCCGGGCTTCTCTTTCACGACCAGCCATGCGTGCTCCGCAATCTCTTACATAGCCAACATGATACTCTCCCGAGCTTAGTGTACTCGGTCTGCATCCCTCTCCTCTCATCTCCTCTCCGTACCCTCTCACGTCCGTTCACCCTCGCCCCCTGTCTTTAGCAGCGCAGACATTTTACTCACCGGTCCCATGCTTCCCCCCCCTCCCTTTTCACCTGTGCACCCGCGGAGCGTCCCATCACACTGTATGCCATCGCACCGTGTATCGTACCCTCGCTGCATGTACGCGTACCCTAGACAGGAAGCCTATAATATATAATCTCCTTCCCCCAACCCCGCTTCGGCCGTCAAGCTTCGAGCTTGTAGCTTGGACAAAGCGCTGCGCGCGCACGCAGACTGTAACAACCGTCCGTAGTACTCGGACCCCGCGGTGGTGAGCGAAACGTGGTGCGCAACGCAACGGTCGCTAGTAGGCCGGGCGGCAACTAGCCACTGGGGACGGGGCAAAAGGCGCTGCTCCACCAGGTCTCTTCCTCTGCGATGCGCGCGCGCGAGAACGCGCGACGAGCGCCGTGCGAGCGCTGAAGCCGCGAAGCTACAGCGGGTCGCGAGATCAACCTCGATGCTATGCAGGCACAGCGCGAAGAAGTACGTATAGACATCACGATTCATGCGCACCAGTTCGCGCGCGCGCCTAGAGCGCGGGCAAATGACCTGGACGAACATGGCAGCTGCCTGTTCCGGCCCCATACATACAGCGAGTACGAGGGTCGCTTCGCGGCAAAAGAAGGGTCCCGCGCGCAAAGTGGAACAGACTGCGCTGGCCCCTGGGGGACACGTTCGAGGTACGCTGCTCTCCCAGCTCCGACGGGCTCCAATTCGCGGGTGCTAGAACCGCTGCGAATCCGTCCTGGAGAGGGGAGGGGCCTCACCAGATCTCCGGGCGGGCGAATTGCCATATGTCGGCGGCCATACACACGCACACACGCACGCACGTACACGCAGGATAGCATTGGCATAGGCTTCGTCCGGGGATAAAGCGCGGCGAGATGACATCGCAGCCGCAACTGTGTGTGGGTGCGTGCGTGCGTGCGCGATCGCTGACTGCGCGGGTTCTCGAATCGCATGGAACCTTGCAATCGACGGGCGAGCTGAACGGCGGGAATGTGCAATGGCACTAGTCGCGCAGAGAGCAGCGCAAGGCCAACGACCGATAGCGGTTCAGGGCACGGCGAGCATTTTTCGCCGAGTCATCGACGCTCGCGCTGGGCTGTCCCAGCACCCAGCAGCTCGACCGACGAGCAAGCGGCCGGCGAGCGAGACAGGTGCCCCGGCAGCTCACTAGAGGATGCGAGATGTGATATGGGGCCACCCCAGATCCCGGAGAGATGGGCGTGGGGCAGGAAGTTCTGCTTATAGGCTAGTAGGCTGGTCGAGACACGGGCGATAGCAGAGTGCAGACCAAGACGAGCACACGCACCAAGACGAGAACGCGCGCAGGACCTACGCGCGATTGAGAACGTTCGCAGGAGCAGCAGTGAAGATGATCGAGCGATGATGCATCATAGGCCGGATATGCGCGAGGCCAGGGCCGCCGTACGCAATCGAGCTCCTTGCGCCGGGCCACAGTTGGCGGATATGGCATAGGCACATAAAGTTCGCGCAGGTACGTAACGTATGGTACGGGTCCAGCGCAGCCTGAGCCTCCGTCACCAGTCCTGCGCCGATGAGCTATCGGAACACGGGCGCTCCGTGCATCACACCCGTGCTTCCGTGCAGGGGGCCATACATAGATAGAGGTCCCTGGGACGATAGCCATCAACTCCGAAGCCGAGCCGTGGGTCCGGGGCACGGAACAGGAGACGGAGCGCGAGGTTGGTATTGATCTTTGCCTGATCCTCACGGAGAGTTGAGACACAGCCTATCGCTTGCGACTCCGACGCCTACGATGTCCACGCCGGAATCTCTTCGCATTGCCATACGCGACCACACCGTTCCGCTTGGAACTCCGTTGAGAGCAACTCGAGTTCCGAGTCGAAGCACGCCTACGAGCATGCCGATGATCAGGTCGACGATCCGCACTGGGGCATTTGGAGGCCGTATGCCGGACACAATGGACATGAGACAATGGGAGACGGGACTAGGGAGTGAATGTGGCAACGACCAGACTTCGCTTCTTCCGAGGTCCAAACTCTGACCGACTTCTGAGAGGCGTGACTCTTCCGCTCCCTAGGTTATGAAAAGAGCAATCTATATGGAGCATTCCGCAGGCATGCTTCACGAAGGTTCAAACGCCACCTCTAGAGCGCGCCGAAGCCAGGAAGGCCCACAGTTCTTAGTGAAAGGTCGTGGCGATGCCATCAGAGCTGAAGTCAGCCGAAGCGACCATAGGCGCGTCGGGGTCGACTGGGCGGGGGGGTCTGCGGCCACTTAGGAGTGCTTTCATGAAGTCCTTGTGCTGTTGATGCTCCTTGCACTCTACACGCATTCGGTGACGAAAACGGGAATGGGGTCAGCGGCACGGTATCAAGGGTCAACGGCAAGGAGCCAGGTGAGTGATAACGTTGGAGTATAGTACGTACTCTTCTTGTGCGCCGGCCAGTCTTCTTTCTGGCACGATGGGCTACAGTAGATGACTTCTTTGCAGCCGCTACAGCGCTTGAACTCGGCTGCGCGTACTTCGCGCGCGCCACACCCGGAGCGCGCACATGTCCTCAGCACATGAGACTTCACCTCTGGATCGTTGTTCGCCCAGTTCCAGATGTGTGAAGGCATCCACAGGTTCTGGGTAAGCCAGAGATAGTCGTGCGCATCCTCGGGCCCATTCAATGAACGCGGCAGGTTGTTCAGCGACTCTGCGTAGATCATGGTCAGATAAACTTCTAGTGCTATTCATGATGCGTACAACGTACTAGGCTGGTCCACTCTGGCCAAGATCTTGAGCAACACATGCGGGTTGACGGCGGCTGCACAACGCAAATACTGCCTCGCGATGTCACAATCACCCCACAGCTTGTACGACGCGAGTGCTGCTGTATACACGACGCCTGTGTGGCCATAATTCTTCACTTTCTCGAGGGCTTCGGCTGAGAGCGGCGTCTGACTGGGGGGGCGGAAGGCGCATCCACCACGAGGTGGCCAGCTGCCCCTGTACTGGGGATCGAGCCAATCTTGTGCAAAAGATAGTGCGTCCGCCGTGCGGTTAGCTTGGAGGAGCACAGAACCGAGCCAGTAGCGCTGTCCCAAGTTATCTCCTGGACACAGACGAAGCATCTCGATGATCGCGTTCCTAGAAGAGGGTGTGTGAAGTTCTGTCATCTAGATTATGTGGACCACACACTCACGCGGACTTGTTGTAGTCCTTGTTTTCGAAGGCAAGTCGCACGATGGCCTGAAGAACGCGCATATAGGGACGCGTCTCGATGAGACCCCAGAAGTGACCGACATTATCATCGTCGTCGTCAAAACAGGTGGGTCCGAGGATCTGGCGCAACTGAGCCCGACCTGAGAACTGATGAGTCGACGTTCGTACAGGCTCAAAGAACGCACGTACCCTTTGCTTCACCTTCCTCGAGCAATCTGATCCCGATGTCCATCGTGGGCATGAGGAAAGCCAGTTGCACGATGGCGTCGAGATTGTTGGGATCCTCCATCGCCTTGAAGAGATACGGCAAAGCTTGCTCTGGCTTTCTTCTGCGGCATAGATCTTCTCCTTTCTTGAGGCTACCACCAGCCGTCCGATTGTGAGCTATACTCGAGATTGAAGCCGATCTCTACTCACTTTCTGGCGGCCTCCTCTGATATCATGCCGCCTCCTACGCCCATAAAGGCTTCCATGCCCATGCGCTTGTCCATGCTGATGAGATGGTTGTGGAGGTTGCAGTAGTGATTGTCTAGTCGACAGAGTGTTGACGGCAGCTGAGGACGCGTGGGGCGGAGAGGATTTGACCACCGATATCGAGGGGCCCGCAACGCGTCGTCACTCCACCTTGTGATACCGAGTTGTGACCATCCGCGACCGTCACAAACAAGACGCTGTGATCGGAAATCATCCTCCTACAGTAGTACTAGTAGCCCGTGGGTCCAACGAGTATAGTATTTCTATTGATACTTGTAAGAGTGGAAGTTTGTACGGACAAGAAGGTAAATTGACCGTGTCGTGGCCATAGAGATGATTATGTGCGGCAGATATACAAGGTTTCTGATCTCAAACTTGAATTACGGTAAGATCAGACACTACTTATTGCTGCATCTGTCGATCGAACTCAGCTCGATGAGAGACGAGGCTGGCGGATAGACTTCAGCGGTGAATGTGTGCTAACGTAAGTATATTGACGCAAGCAGTTGAGAGTGCTTTAGTATGCATATTCGGCCAATGAGTCCGAGGATGAGTCCGAGTACCCGTCGTCTGAGACAGAACTTGACGATTCGGAGCCGAAGTCATCGTCGCGTGAAGAACCCGCCAATAGCTTTTGGCCATAAACAAAGCATTCTACCAAGCGTACATCAGCATGCCAAGTCATAACACACAAGACTAACGCGGGAGGAAGGGCATGGGAGACCGACGCACCTAGCTTATGCTTTTGCCAATCCGCTTATCGACCCTCCGGGCTGCAATTCCACTCCTCCTTGCATCCGCCACAACACTTGAAAGTGAACACCGCTTCCTCGCGGTTGGAACACTCCGCATATCCGCATCGCTTCAGTGCCGCCTCCTTGACGTCAGGATGCCTTGTGGCCCAGGCCCGGACGTCAGGCTCCTTCCACAGGTCCTGCATCAGCCACAAGTAGTCGTGAGGCTCCTCGCGGCTGTTCGGTGACCGGGGCCCGCTGTAGGGTTTGGCTGTAGGATGGTTCGGGAGAGAATGGGACACTACGTGGAATCCTCGCAGAATCCTCGCAGTGGGCGCCACAAGTCAACATAGTCTGCACGAAGCTGGCTGCAAGCGCTAAAGGGATGTGCATGGCGAAGTTCCTCTACACGGGGAATATGTCCTAGTATTAAAGACTACAGTAAAGACAACAGAGATGATACGCAACCTGGATTGTCCGTATAACGAAGCGGACTTAACGCTGCAGTCTGCCAATGAATATATGCGCAGCTCTCGGAGGTTGCTGCGCAGATGAGAGGTTGTGGTGATAAAACAATCCTCGCTCGGGGCCCTGTTCCGTAGGGCTGGTACAAAATGGCCTGCAGTGTAGCAAGATGATGGATACGGTGTGGCATACAGCGCTGTGAGAGGTCGACTCCGTTGTGTTCGCCCTCGGTCACTTGCCAACTCAGTTGCCCAAATACATATGATTTGCCACTCTGCGGATGATATATATTCCCTGGATTGCGACGTGAATCAGCTCGAGCGTATGACTTTATCATCCGATGATGGAGTCTAAGACGAAACATACATAGATCGTGACTTGCAAGTTGCATGAAAAGAGCCTGCTAATTAGCGCAGCGCTGGACAGTGTCCCCCTGTTTCGTCCGTAGTCGGAGATGTTGCAGGATAACGGGACTAATATCCAGAATTGCCAGCACTTGTCGCGTGGACATATATAATTGAGAGAGCGCAAAGAGGTGACGAAGCGCGCGGAAAGGGCGGGCGGCTGCTTGCCCAAATTCGGCACGCATACGCAACGTGACCGTATACTTGTTGCCTCTGTCCGCCATGTCAAGTGTGGCCGCAAACCCGCTCCGGACGTCCCTCCGACGAGCGGCAGTATGCTCGCGCTACTCCTCCACGCAAGCATCGCCACCACACTCTCCCTCTTCATCATCCCAAACAAAACTCAGTGTCCAACCTAAAGCAGAGCTGCCCCCGGAGAAGATGCGCGCCCTCGTGGACCTCTACCACCAGTCCGCTACATTCATCACCCCTGCGAATCTCTCCGACAAGATCGACGAGGCGTTCATCTACCGCACGGCCAACAAATCCAGGCTTAACCCCGAGAAGCCGCTGTCCAAGATCCTGTACGACCTCAAGGTCCGCCGGGCTTTCCCCAAGTTTGGGGAGAAGTTAGGACCGACGGTCAAAAGAACGAGGAGTCCGGCGGTGTTGAAATATGAGGATTGGAGCGAGGAGCGGTCGCCGAGGGAGCAGCAGGTGTTCAGGACGCTGCATGGCGTGTATAATCGCGCGAAACCGGGGTACGACGCGCTTATGGATGAGCAGGCGAGCGCGGAGAAGGGTGAGGAGGACGAGCAGCAACAGGAAACGCAGGGCGAACAGGGTCCTCTATGAGTGAGTTTGCGTACTATCACTGCCGGAAGTATACAGGATCTGATGGTAATATCTTACATTACAGTACATATCATACGTTCACATCGTTGTGGAATACGCAACTTCCTATTTTCGCATACATCTAGTCTTCCTTGCAAATCCTACAACTATTACAAGCCGAGAGCTTTGGGCAGCGTCGTCTCCGCTGGTCCGAGAAACAAAAAGTCTGCGTCGCCGTCGCCGTCACTTCTGTCAAGATTGAAGACTGCCACCTTCCCACCGTTCATTTTGACGGCGTGGGCATAGCCCGCGGCAGGATAGACCTTTAGTTAACAGTCAGTTCCGGTCCTTTATCAACCTGCCTGTCTTGGTACTTGCCGTCGACGAGGTGCCCACCACGATGCACAGGTCGGCGTGGTCGACTAGCCCATCTAAAAACCACGGCATCTCCCCAAACCACACGACTCCCGGACGCGCAAGGGACCCACAATTCTTGCAGCGGGGTAGATCCTTCTCGTCAATGTGCGGTTCGGGCTCGTCGCGTGCGAAAACGTTCTCCGTCCCCGCAAGAGCCGGACATACGGGTGAGTGGAGATTGAATTCCCGGTGCCCACACCGTGCGGAAGTGCACACGACGTCGAAGAGTCGCCCGTGCATCTCGAGCATGGAGTTCTGGACGGCTGACGAGCTCACCTCGTCTGCAAGCTCCGGGTGGGTCTCAGCGATTTGCGTTAGGGCTCGGCGGCTGAGGCCGTCGACGTTCTGCGTTATGAGCGTGAAGGACGCGCCCGACACGACCGTCTCCCTGATGGATGGGACGGAGAACTTTGCCAGCGCAAGGTGCCCAGGATTAGGCTGGGCTGCTAATGCCCTAAACAATTAATGGCCAGAGCGTCGTATGCAACTCGGCAGGAAGAGGGTGTCATTCACTTCTCCCGTAGATAGTAGTAAAATTGCCAGACCCGTGAAGGGCTTGCGCGAAATGCTTCGGGGGTAGCGAGCTTGATAGCATCGTACTTTCCGCCACAACCCTCCTGCTCCTCGAAAGGTAGGTACCCCTAGTGATCCCGTATTGAGATTGAGCTCAGCTCACTCTCCCGAGACCACACATACCGGATGCTGCAGATAAACCTGCACCAGCCACTGCTATGGTCCGCTTCGAAGACTTGAGAGCGGACGTGAATGCAGACATGTCGTCGGAAGGCGAGGAAGACATGGGCCTGCGGTGAGGGAAAATGAGCATTGTACCTCGAAAAAATCTCACTTCTTAGAGGCGCACTTCGCTCGACCTGGTTTCTAGGCAGCACGGGGTCTATAGTTCGCTCACAAAATCATTTGGTAGCTGCCAGGCGCTGCTGGTATCGGAGTGCGTACAAGTCAAAGCTAGTCACTTCTCCCGAGACTGCCACACTAGCGATCGGGCAGCGATCTGTATCACGTGTATTGCTCGATCTCGATCGACAGACTTTTCACGGTCCTGCGGCTCCTGCCCCACACTGCCGCATTTTACACATTTGTCCCTCTCCTCTGACTCCCTCTCAAACGCCTAAATAATCCCAGCACGCACCACCCCTTTTCACCTTCTCACCAACATACCCGATGGCCAAGTCGACTCGCTCTAAAGTCAAGCGCCATTTCCGCGCAAAGAAGCGTGAGCAGGGCGTGTACGCCGCGACGGAGGCCGCACGCCTCCACCGCCTTAACATGAAGCTCAAGGTCCTCATCACGACGGAGAAGGATGAGGAGACACCAGAGGGCGATGCAGGCGCCGAGGGCGAGAGCGGAGAGTGGGTCGACGACGGTGCAGCAGGTTGGTCTCCGTTCTCGTTCGCCGCTCTGGGCTTGATCGACCCGGACGACATCACGGCCGAGCGCATGGGACAGCTGTTCGAGCCCCTTGGGGCGTTGTAGAGGACTCTGTCAAGCGAGGGCGATCTGAAAGAGGGTCTTCGAAGCCTCGCGGCACCAGTGCTCTTCCCCTCTCGGGCCTGCCCTAGCGGACTCGAGCTTCTCTCCCCAGCCCGTGCCCAGCTGTTCCTCCTGGATACGAAGGCTGACCTCCTATGTAACAGACGGCCAAGCGCCATCTGACGAGAACGCAAACGGAGCAGGTTCGCACGTCCCCACTGTATCCGTAAACACACGCTTACCATGTACCCTACCCCCTTCTTGCGCTACGTACTATATGCTGCCCCCACTATTCCCCCACCCCCTACCCTCCATCACAATCCATCACAATCCAATCGGACTCGGACTCTCAGACGCAATGGACCTCGACCCCGCCCCAGGCCCCTCCACCGAAAAGAAGATCTCGACGCACGGCCCGCGCAACTCCCGCCGCGAGCAGTGGCGCGCGTCGAAAGGCTTGCCCGCACGGCCCAAGTCCAAGGGCACGAACCGCCAAGGCGGGATCGCCGCAAGACGGAAAGCTGGGCGGCCGAGTCGGAGGCGGTGAGCTCCCGGCTTTTTTTTTGGGGGGGGAGGGTCTGCGCGTTGCTTTTGTCGGACGTCCGTCGCTCCTATTTGGGTCGCGGTCCTGCGTTGTTGTCTGTACTGCAATTCTTTTATTTGTTTCACTCGGCTCTACATGCGAGTGTGAGTGCTTGCGGATGCCGCCGGGCAGGACGAGCAATGGCGGCAGCTGCGCGGATCGCAAAGTGGTAACCTAACGGAGGGTGGTATCTAAATGAGCGACTGCACCGACAGGTCGACGTCTGTACGAGACAGGTATGCTATGAGTATCAGAGCCGAGAGTAATACGAGATATGACACAAGAAAGCAAGATAGAGAGATGGGAGATAGAGATGTTATAGCGGGAGACGGAGACGAGTCGTCGCACTGGCGTCGCGGGCGCCGTGGGGCGAATAGAGTGGTCGATCCGATCCCATGAGGAACAGGCACAGGGCAACGGCCATGCATCGGCGGAACGGGCTATCCGCGGAATGTATTGTACTGCACAACGGGTTGGGATCAATGTCCATTACTTCTGGCAACATACGTACACCTCTCCTCTTCAACCATCCTCACATCCAAGAGATAGAGCAGAGTCATGCCACCGCAAGCAGGCAGCGGAGCAGGTGGGGATTACAGGGGGAGGGGCCATTTAGCAGCGGTCCGGGGGCGCCGGGTATTATAAGGTGTGACGAAGCTAATCACGGTACTTGCTATTCGAGGAACGAGCCAGTGAGGTGGAGGGAAGGAGGGAGAGCACGAGTACGGTCATCATCGCGGCGGACGCACAGCGACGCCGCGCACGCAGTCGTGAACAAGCATTTTGTGGGCGTAACGAGCTGCGAGTACGAACGGACGAGCAGGTACAGCGATGAGCGGAGAGGGGGTCCTTTGCGAGGGCGAGGGCGGTCTCAAACGGCGTTGAACGAGGACTTGTCGTCGCCCGTCAGCGACTGCGGCTTGTCGGTCATCGCCGAGGTCGGGCTGGCGCTGCACCAGATGTACATCAGTATATGAACCGTACGCTGCGGCAAAGGAAAGCACACACGCGAAGTCCTCCATGACGATCTGGTCCGTCGTGACATGCACCTCCGGTCTTGCCGGATACCGAACGGTCTTGTTCTGGGTGAACCGGTATGCGGCGTTGGGCACGCGGGGCGAGGCGAGCTGCGTTGCGCTGTGGACGTAGATGTCGTCGTCGTCCATGTCGGGGAGGCGGGTCACTGTCCTGGTGGCCGATATAACGCTGCAGGGACTCGGGTTAGATTCCTGAACAACGTGAAGTGACGGGGGGAATATGTCACTCACGTCATCACCGTAACGGGAACCTGTGGAGATACTGTGAGTGAACAATCGCTTACAAGCAGAGACAGAGCACTCACAGTAGTGATACTGAGACGGTAGCCCACATATATTCAGTTACGGCTGTCAAATCGTGGATCGTGGGGGGCTCAGAACTTACAGGTCCATGGTCGCTAGGATCACTCGAGTCAGCAAGAACGATAGGGGAACTTTTGGAGATCGCACTCACTGTTGAGATTCACGATGCTGAAGATCTATTGAAATCCGCTATGTCAGTCCAACATTGGATGACCCACAACAAAGGTTAACTCACAGCAGGGAGCGCATTGAACGTGAATGCTATCAAAAAGTAAACGACACCCTCCCTGAAGAGGAGCTCCCAGACGCTTGACCCCTCATCGCTCTTCATGAGACCAGCGACATGGAGGACTGTAATGACGAGGTTGAAGCCCAGCGCTAAGAAGAGATAACCATCTCAGCACCATCGTCTCACTGCACGACACACGTCCAGATAGCGACAACAAATTGACACGCACTCGACCAGAAGGTGACGCTCAAGAACACCCTGTTCGTGTGCGACAACGCCGTCGCGACACACATCTGCTGCACGGCGTCGTACTGGGCCGACACGGTAAGCATGCCGCGGACCAGGAGCGCGGTGTGCGCAAGGCACAGAGTCCCGAGGGCGACCACAATCGGGAGTTTGCGTTCCCAGACCGCGATGCTGTTTGGCGAGCGGTAGGCGGGATGCGCGTATCAGCGGCCGTCGCCGATCGGAATCGCGACATGATTAAAAAGCAAGCTTACGTCCGGAGCATGAGCACGACCGAGGCGCAGATGATGGACAGATTGCCTGCCACCTGTCCAGTGTGAAGTGAGAAAAGTTCGCAATGCGAAGGTAAAGGGAGACAACATACGCAAATGAATATGTACAAAGAATGGCAGTTGATCTGAAGCCCGGTCAGAGGATTACGCTAGAGATAGATAGATAGGACGCGACGACGAACTGCATGCTTCACGGTGAACGAGGCCATCCTGGAGATGGCTGTAAATACCCATTGACGCAAGGACAAGACAACCGCAGCACACTTACAGCGACGCGATGGACAGGACCAGGATGTACCGAGCAATGAAGAAGGGAACTGCATGGGGTGTTCAGCTTCACAACAACGGGAAACGAGTACGACAGCGCATACCCTTAGCACAAAACGAAGTCAATGACGGCAGCGGCAGGATTGATATGGTCAGCTTACCCATTGCCATTTCACCTTCCGTTTCCCTTGGAGAATTGACCACTCGAAGTCCGAAGTTTGGAAGACCTCCCAAATGTAGAGACCGAAGCTTGCGAACACGACATTAATGTTGGCCGCTGTATTTACCGTCGAATTACTACAGACTCAGAGTGAGATTGAAAAGGCACGTACCGCCATCCCTGGTGAGCTCCTGCTGGGACGTCCAGTCGACCATGTTTGCGAGGGAAAGGGGACCGAGGAGGCAGAGAGGAGAGGGAGAGGAGGCGCAGGCACAGGCGGAGGCGGAGGCGGAGACAAACACGCAGGCAGGGCCTGCGGTAGACACCGTCTTTACTTAAGAAAAAGGCCTATTGTCCGGAGGCGACGTTACGGCACGTGTCGCCTTGCTCCGAAGGGGAACATGGACGCCCTCCGAGCGCGTTCTCGCGCCCGTTTCCCGTTTCCGCTGTTCCCCTTGTTCTCACAACCTGCCACGCCGCCCGCGTCCTGCGTTGCGTCCATGACGATTGCGCCTTTGTATTTGCATTTCTGGCTGGCCTGTCCGCCAGTCTCTGTCTTGCTATACGCTCAGCGGATGAGAGCACAGGAGGGGAGGGCGAGCTGACGCGGAACGCGCCAGAGACGCAGAGAGAACGGACTGTAGGACGGCGTGGCGTCGGGCGGGATGAGCGCTACGCTCGATCGGAGACAGCCCCGCCCGATCCGCGATACACTCTATCTCCAGATCTGGCATCTCCTGCCTATCCCGGCAGGCGTAGTGCTTCACTAGTACTGCTCTCGCGCTGCGAGCTGACTCGCCCAAGGCTTCACTCCCAGTCCACAACCAAGCACCGCGCTCTGACAAATGCCATCGCTATCACGACTTCCGTGCAAGCTTGCCTCTCCGCCCGTCGGACAAACTCTGTGGCTGCGACGCCTCGTGCGTGCGGCGTGGAATACTATAGGCCACATGCGCGGTCAACTTTCGAGTTTCATCTGAGCTGTAGCAGCCCTGAGCACTACCCTAGCCGCTTACGTAAATATACCCTCTCCGCACTCGCGGAGCAGCCGCCTTACAAGCAGCCGACTGCATTTGTTGCTACGCAGTAAACCCCAAAATGAAATATCGCACACGCCCTCCGGGCACGAGGCTGGCGACTCAAGCTTCTGTCCTGTCGATCTCGGAACCTCTAATGCAAACGAAGCTCTGCAGAAGTCACAGCATCATCGCAAGAGGAAACAAGCTTCCGCCCGCGGTGCCATTCTTCGTGGGATGCGCGCTGCGTCCGCCGTCCTAGGAGCCCGCGAGCGTACCAAACGCCAGCGGCGGCAATGCACGTCAGTCCTGTCAGGATTTTCTGACAGCGGCCAGCCCGCCAAAATAGAGTCCCGGCACGACCTTCCCAGTCAGAAACGAGGAAGATGTTTACGTAGAACGTAGAGTCGGCATTCACTGAGAGGCCTGACTCACTATTTGACGTTTGTCATTGGCCGGTCATGAGTAAGGTTCGTACTAACGTCGGTCATAGAATCCCCAGCGCAGCACGCTGCCGAATCTTTTGTGAAGAGGCCGCTCTAACAGGCATCCCCAACATTCCAAGGAGTCGAAGGACGGGGACGTCAGTTTTCCAGTATGGTTGCACCGCGGTCAAGCAGTGTATGGCGCCGCGGTGTGCACCACGATTGTCAGCAAACATCTGTGGTATGGCGAATGCCCAAACTTTTTCAAGCGAAAAAAACCTCCAGAGGCGCTAATCAACCCCATCAGGAAAAACTCCCCGCGCGAATTCACAGAAAATTAGTGCTAATGTCAACTAATGACGCCCGTGACCATTGGTGGTCTTATATCTCGAGATTTGCGAGCTGGATAAGTTCCTTGAAGGTAATAATAGGCATACATACTTTACTGCAGGCCCAAAAATCAAGGACTGTATGCTCAGAACACGTACAAGGCAAGAGAGACCATCTCTGCGTCTTTCCAAGTCAATTGAAGCCTGCCCTAAATACGGGCGCTCACACCACAGCCGCATCCCATTGCGCGCTCGACGCTCCGTTGCCACGTCTCTCCTTCCGACATCAGTGTGCCCACCCAACCTTTCCTCCTTCTTTTCACCGCTACATACGGGAGTAGCCAGTTTGACTGGTGGGTGATCTAGTACTAGCGGACATGGTGGTATGAGAGTGATACTACAGAAGCTGGGGTCCAGGTGAGTTGTAAGATACCATGCTGCATAGCAACTCGAAGGTGCGTAA